CCTTGATTTTGGGTTCCCAGCCTCTAGAACCATGAAACAATAAATTTCTGTTGTTTAAGCCACTTCATTTCCAATATTTTGTTTTGGCAACCTTAGCAAACGAATACAAACATCAAATGGAATATTGTGTCTACTCCCCAGTGTGTGGGCTGCAGCAAAAAGTCATAAAGATGAGATATACACAGGCTATGAAAAGAAGCCTTTCACTTGTTTCTCAGTTCAATCTCTGGTGTTTCCACAGGGCAGCCTGATCACGAGGACAGTCTGCTTCTGCTGGTCTCCATTGTGTGCCAACTGGTAAATGGACACCTTTTCAGAGGTTGTCCATGCATACAGAGAAGAGTTATTTTGAAATGTTGTGTTTACAGGTTCTCAGCTTGTTTTCTAAACCTCTCTAACTGGAGTACATGAGGACACAGCCTCTGAGTCTTTGTATTCAGGATGGACTAGCTCAAATAATATATAATTTCAAAGGATGAATGTAAAGTCCTTCCTTAAACAAATTGATTGTATGGGTAAAAGATGAAAGAGATCTGGTTGGACAATACTTCCTGTCAGACAGACATAGCAAGGGGTTTTAGTTGATCATGATGTTATTATGAGCCAACAGGGATATCGCTGCCCAGAAAGCTAAAAAATCATTAATGCCCAGGAAGTATGAAGGCTTGTTATGAGGCAACAATTTTGCTGTATGCTGCATTGGCCAGATCATGCCTGACCTGAAATGTACAGATTAGCTTGGCACCACATCATTAAAGTTCATCCAAAAGGGTTGTGGGTGGAATGGTGAAAGTTCTGGAAACCATGTTATATGAGAAACAGTTGATGGACCTTGATTTATTTAGCCTAAAAAAGGAAGCATTTGGGAAGCAGAGGAGGAAATATTGATTGTTCATTTTCAAATACATGAAGGTTACCATGTGGAAAAATGGTCATAGTTGTTCTGGAGGTCCCCAAGAGAAAGAACCAGGACTAACAGGGTAATGTTAGACAATTTCCAGCTCAAGGTTAAGAAGCTACTTGTAATCATTAGTTTCCTTAAAATAGGCTGGGGTGCTTGCTTAGTGGAATGGTGAGCTTGTTATACTGAAAGATCCAAGCAAAGTATGAATACCACCTGTTATGGGGGGGAAGGTGGGTGTAATGTGGGACTTTGAAGGCTGATATTCAAAGGTGTGGCAAGAGTGGCCTATTAAGATTTTGCAAGTCATCCTGGTCCATGTTGCTAACTCTGATGGCAGAGTCTTGGGCTATGTCACCCTAATGGTGACTGTTTTCTCCATCTCTGCAAAACAGACTGTAGGCTTGTTATCTAATTTAGATCATCATCACCCAAAACAGTGTTGCTGTGGTTGCTGAAAATGACCCTGGGATGCTGTGCTCCTCCATCTGAACTGACAGATACTTGCTCAAAGGCAGTGAGGGATGGAGCTCCCAGGTACCTTCCCAGCCTGAGTCTTGTTCTTCCCAGCTGTAAGATGGAGAATGTGTAGCATAGTTGTTAACACCATGGGCTTTGAAGCTACATTACCTAAGTTCAAATCCTAGTTCCATACCTTATTATCTGTATGAAACTATTACTTAACCTCTAGTGTCCTTTTTCTGTAAACTAGAGATGCTAATAATTGAACCTCTCTCAAGGATTGTTGTGAGAATTAGGTGAGCAAAAGGATGTTACATAAGAGTCCACTGATACACATATTATTCCATTTTTAACCTATCTGCCCCCGGGCTGACACCTGCACCAAGATGTTTACTCCAACTAGCCTCAAAAATGACTTCAGTACATGAAAATGATACCTAGATGCAAACCTGACATGTCATCCCACAAAGCTATAATCAATCCTGGAAAAATAAATCAGATTTTAGATGGAAAACCACCTAAGTACTCAAGTTCCAATTAATAGTATCTACTGAGGCAAGCTCCATGCTAAGCTCTAGATCAGTGGTTCTCAAAGTGTGATCCCTAGATTAGCTGCATGAGCATCAATTGGTATTAATTCATTCAGTTACTATTACAAAAATAACATAGACTGGGTGGCTTAAACAATAAACATTTATTTCTCACCATTCTGGAAGCCAGCAAGTCCAAGATGAAGGTGCTGGCAGATTCACCATCTGATGAGAGCCTGCTTCTTGGTTCATTGACCGTCATCTTCTTGCCATTTGCTCAAATGCCAGAAGGAGGGTAAGAGATCTTTCTGGAGCTCCTTCTATAAGGGCGCTAATTCCATTCATGAAGGCTCTACCCTTATAACCTAATTACCTCTCAAAGGTAATTAGGCCCCACCTCCTAATACCATCACATTGGTGTTAGCATTTCAACATATGAATTTGGGGAGTACACAAATATTCAGTCCGTTGCACCTGGGAACCTGGGAGCTCCTTTTATAAGTATACTAATTCCATTCATAAGGGTTCCACCCTTATAACCTAATTACCTCTCAAAGGTAATTAGGCCCCACTCCTAATACCATCACATTGGTGCTAGCATTTCAACATATGAATTTGGGGAGAACACAAACATTCAGTCCATTGTACCTGGGAACCATTCAGAAATGCTAATTTTCTGGCCCCACCCTAGACCTGCTAAATCAGAGACACTAAGTGTGGGCCCAGCAATCTGTGTTTCAGCAAGCCCTGCAGGTGACTCTGAGGCATGCTAAAGCTTGAGAGAGTTGTTAATGCAGTGGATCCGGGGTGAGGCCCAAGAATGTGCATTTCTAACTAGTTTCCAGGTAAGCTGATGCTTTAGGTTGAGGACCACACTTTGAGAACCACTGCCCTATAGGCTCTGAGCCCCTTTTGGGGAGCTACGACCGACACATGAAACAATTAGAGATCAGTTAAGTGTCTTAAGTTGTGTGATGTTGCCCGAGTGGAGCAGAAGAGAAAAAAGGCAAAGATGACTGAAATTAAAATGAAACCAACAGGCTGAATAGAGAGGGAGTCTCGTGAGCAGAGGCCCATAGGTAGGACAAATGGCAACTACCTAGCTGGAGAGAAGGGTAGACGAGAAAAAGACTGGTTAGTCCAAATTAGGCCAGATCATGGAGAAATTTGATAGGGAAAGGAATTTAGATTTGATTTAGAAGTTCCTGCTTGCTCTGGAGCAGGAAAATGACAAGTGGCTGCAGGGTATTAGAAAGGTTTTTCTGGGTGAATTTGAGGAGGAAGGGACTGGAATGGAGGCTGCATTTGGAAAGTTCGGAGACAGGGGGATGTGGCTACAAGAGCTTGCTGCAGTCAGATGACTGGCCAGGGGTTGCAGCCTGGCTTCACCACTTGCAGTAACTTGCTTCTTGGCTAAGTCAACCTATGTGCTTTAGCTTTATCATCTGTAAAATGGAGTCGAGAGTCATTGCTGCCTTAAGTGGCCATTACTATAATGTAAGGGCAAGGATTTGAATTAGCATGGTAGCAGGTAATAGAAATGTTAAAAAAGCAAAATAAACAAACTCCTCTCAAAGTTTTGAGCCTGGGAGAGTGAAAGAATGGTAGTACAAGAATTACAAATGCGACTTCAAGATGAAGAAAACTAATCTGGTTTCCTATCAGAAACAATATTGCAAACTCAGCTTCATTTTATTTCCTTGTTTTGGCGAAACAGATTCTCTAGTAGTTTCTTGAGAAAGAGTGTATGATAGGTAAATATTTTGAAATGTTGTATGACTTTCCCACTTGATTGATAATATGGCAGAATTTTAAGTGGAAATCATATTCTTTTAGAATTTCAAGTGCATCTCTTCATTGTCTTTGAGCTTTGGGTGTTGCTGTTGAGAAATCTGATGACATTCCGATTCTTGATACTTTGTGACTTTTTTTCCTCTCTGGAAGCCTTTAGGATCTATTCTTTGCCCTTTCATTCTGAAAACTCATGTCCTTCAGTCCTGGAAGTTTTCTTTGAATTACTTAATTGATTATTTCTTCCCCTCTGGACTGCTCTTCCAATTTTCTTATCCTTCTCCTTGAAGAGTATTTGAAAGGTATTTTTGCTCTATTTTCTTCAAATCTTCTGTTGACTCTCTTATTCATTTCTGCTATCTTCTTCCTAAGTTTATCCACATCCCGCCTTTTTTTTATTGCATCCTGTTGTGGCTTCATCTTCTATTACCTTCCTGGGAATATTACTGAGTTTTTTAGAAGTGTTCTCCCTGCAATGTCTGTTTCCTCCATATTCCTTTTTGTTGGTGTTTAGGCCTCTTCCTCTTATATTATTGGACTTTTGTGTTTGCTGTCCATGATTAAAAGTGAAAAATAAAAAGTAAAAAGAGAGGAAGCTCTGGGTGGGCGGCTGGTGCTTTTGACTTTGAATTTTACTATAGTGTAGTCAGGGTAAAGGGTTTGTTGAGAAAAACCCTGATGTCAATATCTTTGGTCAGGCACAAAGTCACTTATTTCCCATTTTAGGTATAGTACCCATGCACTTACTAGAGAATTTACCCTTTCCAGAGAATTAAGCCTCCAAACCTCAGCCTATGTGGGAGGGAGAGGCTGCATAGAGACATAAGGCTGAAGAAAGGATCTAGAGCTCTACCTGCTTCTCAAGCAGCTTTTACCTAATCCCTCCTTTTTTGGGGCATCTTCCCCCTGTACCTCCTTCACTCCTAATTCCTCAGACATCTCTTGCAGTTCTGGAAACTGATGAATAAATGAAAAGCAATAAGATATATTGAAGTATGAGGAAGCCATTTGGTTTAAAACTAATTCAGCCTGAACTTGTTTTTCCAGAAGGGTTGAACATGGCCTGTCAAGCACGCATTGCACATCTGCTTTAAACATTTACAATGTCCCAAAGCCAAGAATGATGCCTTTAAAGATAGAGATGTTGCCTTCCCCCATATCAGCATTTCTTTATAGATAAGCATTTCTTCCCTGAAACTAAGAATTAATTACTGACCTGTTGTGCTAGCAAAGCATTCATGACGGTGGTAAAACGGATATTCCTGTCATATTTGATGTATGTTCCTTGTACCAAGATAGTATATAACCACTCTGTAAACCCTGCTTCTTCTGAGTGTGACCTTCCTTGGTGAAGGTCGTCTCTACGGGGCTACAGTCCTCAAACCTGGCTCATATAATAAACTCACCCCAATTTTGATTAATAGATAGATTATTGATTATTTGCATTGACATTTCTTGGCAGAGTTGCTGCAGGATTTCAGAGAAACCCACTGGAGACCACCTGGAATCTACACTGAACTGGTGTTTGGTACCATAGGGGCCCACTGAACCCCTACTGGCTTCACCGCATTCTTCGAGTGACCCTGGTGAGTTCTCCTGAAACCCAGACTTCCTTATTTTAAATTTATGGTCCACAGTTTTATATGAGCTGTTTCAAACCTTAAGACTAGGTGTCTTAAGGGGCTACTGGTACATATCCTAGGTGAGAGGAACCTAGGGAGACTAAGCCAGTAGAGCCTAAGGGGAACTTTGGAGTGAATGGGGCAGACGAACTTTTTAATGTGGCTTTACATTGGAAAGAATTGTGTCTATAACGTCTGAACAAATTGTTTGATAGAGAAATGAGAGTCTGAACTTGTTTAGCTCCAAAGCGAAGGGATATCATCTCCTTCCAGCTGAATGGTGTTCTCACCTTGTGGAAGTGTCAGAAGATCAGTCCTTATGATGCACAGCAATCCCATAGGGAACTCCACTGTCATTCACGTTAATTAACTAAAGGCTTGTCCCGGGATGCACACATAAGGATTGGCTTCCAGCACTTTGAGCCCCCATAGAAGTTTTAAGCTGCCAGTGGGAGAAACTGAGGCACATAAGAGGGTGTTCGTGAACTTTTTGGGGAGTGACACTCACAAACAGCAATTTCTATCCCACTACACAGTCTCTAGAAATTATTCAGACTTTATAGTAAAATAGAACTAAAAGAAAAATGGGAAATCGTGCTTCTAAAAGCTGACCAGTTCCTGAACAGGTGGCCTCCCCTTGGAACTCTGGCTGGCTGACACTTGCAAGTGCCTAACAACATGAGATAATTGTAAATGGCTGGCAAGACAACTCAGGATAATTTAAAATTACAGTGGACACTTTGGGTCTCCTTTTGAGCTTCCAAAACTTGTCTTTTGAGCACTAGGTTTAAGGGCCACAGAACAGAGAAATCTTTACTCTTTAAAGAGTCAAGTGTGCCATCTTCTGGCACAACTGCTTAAAAACTAAAGGTTTGGGAAGCTGTAAATATTTACAAAGAACAGTAAAATCTTACTAGCTTGTTTCCTGTCCTGAGGGCTTGGCTTGATAAGCATCAGGTTGGGGGCCCCAAAATATGGTTGGAGAAAAATGCAGTTCTACCCCATTTTGTGGTCAGAGATGGTCAGACAGAAATACAGGCTGCACTCCGTTTGTGGCTAAGAGTCCTACCAAATTGCCATCAGCCTCAGGGGAGTTACATTGGTCATTAGAAGGAATGCTACAATTAGATAAGATCATTTAAGAAGTGCACTTAAAAGTGAAGTCTTCAAAATTCCAAAATAGCCTTATGGAAAATTTTGTTGCAAAAAAGCTAATAAAAAAATTAAGTTAAAAGAGGTTCCTAAAAGTATGTTAGATCATGGCTTTACAGACACCCTCATAATCTACCTTCGAAGAAGGGCCCAATATGGGCCCCTCCCAGAGTTAATGACACTCTGAGAAATTTTCTGAGAAACTGCTACATTCAAGATTAATGGAGTTATTCAATACTGCCAGGTATAATTACTGTGTGTCTTGGTTGAAACCTGACAAGATATTTGAAAGGATTTAGCAACTGATTTAGTTTCTAAATCAGAAATTTGGCCAAATCGGAAGCTGATATTCAGAGCCTGATAGGAATTTTTTTTTACACCTTCTTCCCTTAGTTAAAATAAAACTAAGTATACAGAAAGAAAGAAGCAAATTAGGGATGATGTAATGAGAGGTAGATCAACCTACAATGTCATCTCAGTTACGACCCAATTTCTGAGGAATTAAAAGCAAGTGTCTTTAACTTACAAATCTTTGCAAAACTGGAAAAGCAGCTCTAGAGGCAGTTCAGATTCCACCCACTTGCTCGATCTCAAAAAACTTGTAACCTCTCTAGGAACTGTTATCTAGCCCATCACCAATTCCTTAGACTGAAGGAACAAAAAGGGGAAAGAAGAGAAAAGTGGCTATAGAAGTGCCCTTGCCCAAAGTCTAGCATCTTCAGTGTCTTCTCCACAAATATCAGTAGTAAAAGCTTAAAACCAAATTTGGATTCAATTATTCTTTCATAACTAGTGAGCTTTGTATTACTGTAGCTGATTCATGGCAGTAATTTTAAAACAATAGCTGTGGAGTCTCTGTGTATGCATGTCTATATATATGTTGCATATGTGTGATATTTTTACCTCTGGATGGTATAATTTCTAAAAGAGCTCTATTTAATTGGCTTAAAGTAAGTGCTTATATAAATGTAATAGAAACTAACCCAAATCTCTTTCAAGTTAACGTGATATAAAACAATCTTTAATTTATGTAAATGAAAGCTTATTTAAGTTTGTTGATTTGATTAAAATAAACTTGTTTCCAGAGTTATCAGCATTGGATATGACACAGACATGTTACCTCTGTTACAAAATTTGTCAGCAAAAAAATAAATTAATTAATAACTTAGAATAATAGCTGATTTTGCCTAATGTCTCATGAAGTTTTGTAGGCAATCTAAATAATTATTGGGAACAAGTAAACTAAATAAATATGAAAAGATAAAAGTGTTGAATGAGCTTTTTAACAATAACTCTGTGTTATGGTATAGTACTTAAAATAACTTCAAAAACCTTTTGGTAACTTAACACTTTAGAGTTTTGCTAAATTAAATGATAAAATTTATTGAGTACCTAGGTCATTTCTACAAAAGATAAATTATTAGATATTAATTACTAAACATAGATTTATCTATCTTTGTCTTCTTAATATAGACAAACCAAAAAAATACTTGGGTTTATTGATAAATATGTTTTGTGCCATGCTGAGAAATTTTCTATGAGAAAGGACACGTTTCTAGAGAATATTTGTGGATCTGCCAATCCACAGCAAGACAATATAAAAAATGAAGGCAGTAAGATGTATGTTTTCAGTATAGAAGGTGTAAGGAATGGAAATGTTTTTGTTTGTTTTGTTAGGAAATATAAATTTGTCCTAAACTACTAGGAAAGAGGGAAGACATGGACAAATTCTGAATGTAAAAAGAAAAAAAGTTATAGAAGCTTTTGAAGAGAAACTCTAAGAGTTTTGTGCATGGTCAAGTTGACTAAAATTAAAATGAATTTAATTAAGTGAATAAGTTTTAATATCAAAAGTGAAGCTGGGAGGCTGGCCCCGTAGCTGAGTGGTTAAGATCGCGCGCTCTGCTGCAGGCGGCCCAGTGTTTCGTTGGTTTGAATCCTGGGTGTGGACATGGCACTGCTCATCAAACCAGGCTGAGGCAGCCCCACAAGCCACAACTAGAAGGACCCACAATGAAGAATATACAACTATGTACTGGGGGGCTTTGGGGAGAAAAAGGAAAAAATTTAAAAATCTGTAAAAAAAAAATGTTAAGCTGGTTCAAAAATTAAAATTTGGTTTTCTTTCTCTTAAAAGGATAATTTTTTGGACTTTTAGTCTGCTCTTGATAAAAAGATTATGAAAGTTTTTTTAATTACTTTTAAGTAGCTTACCAGGAGGGTAGGGATTTTATGTTTTATCAAAATAAATTTCCTGTATTGTTTTTATCAGGTCTTTAATCACAGAAGCTAAGGTTTTTCTTACAACTATTAATTTTCTGTATTTGCCTGAAAATCATTAATTGTCACCATGGTTAAATGGATAATTCAGCAGTGTTTCACAGCAACCTATGATCTTGTTTGACCAAGTGTTTTAAAACCTTTTGATATTTTTGACAAGCTTCCTCAAAATTCAAATCCTAATGAAATCTTTTGTTTGACCTGAAAGTAACTGTGAGAATTTATAGTGGATCCCTGAGACTTCTCAAAGAATTTGTTCTCTCTTCCTATAAAGAGGGAGATATAAACTAATTAGGCTTGTTTGATATGTTAAATTACATGGAAAGCATTGTCAAATAAGTGATGCTAAGCCTCCTTTATGAATAACCTTGCATGCATATGTTATTAATATGTGGTTTTAGAAATTATATGAAATTTTTGAAAAAATTTTCTAAGTCCTGGTATAGTTATCACTTGTGATTCTAGTCATTATCTTAACCCTGCTACCTTGCCTCCAATACTATAGGAGGAAAATGACCATGACTGCATTTTATTATGTAATATGGTTTACAGATTCACTTAAAGGATGAACAAGGACATTATCAGGCTGGATATCCTGTCCAGCCTTGAGAATGCCCACTACTTCCTATTAACTCTGCTAACCCAGTAAAGATTTCTTTCTACAGGTTGAAGAAATTGCCATGGAAGAAGAGAAACAAATATGGCAACAAAAACGGGGAATTTTTGACACTACCACGCAGATGTTGTCCAGGCCTGATAAACTCACAGTGCCTACTGGAACACAATTGCCACTGCTCCAGCATATACAACCCTCTGGGCACCTGCAAAGATGATTTTATGGGGAAAACAATACTTTTGGAAACTTTCTCCCATATTGGCTTATAAAGCCTATCCTCATTGTGCTATATGCCCAAACTATAATCCAGGGAAACTACTTCATGGGTCGCAAGGCCACTTTCCCCTTCTTAAAGGACCCTTTGAGGTACGGCAGTTGAACTTTGCTCAAATGCCACCAACTCGAGGATATAAATATATCTTCTCACAGTGGGTTGAGGTCCCAAGACTCTGGACCAGGCCTGTATTTCCAACCTTAAATCTTCTCCTTTAAACCCTTGTAATGCTTACATCAAATACACATTTTATAATTGCTCCATTTAAGGTTTTCAGAATGTTATGCTTAAAGAAAGTGACTGGTTTGGAACATACTGGTCTCAAAGGCCAGGCATTTACTGGGTGGCTCCTAATGGAACTCAGTGGTTATGTGGAACAAGCCTCTGGCCTTGGCTACTGCCCAGATGGCTAGAACACTGCACCCTGGACTTCCCTTAGATGCAGGGAAGGATTCAGCCTGAGCTAACATCTGTTGCCAATCTTTCTCTCCTTAAGGCCAGATGCACTCGTTCAGTGTTCCATTGGTACGACCACCCAGTGCTTATATTTGTTCCTTCCTTGGGGCTAGAAAATGTCATATTACATATAGAAGCTCTGACTAAATTTACTCAAGAAGCCATTAATGATAGTCAAGCAGAGATAGCCTTATGAAATACTGAAATGTCTTTAATGAGAAAGGCTGTCCTTCAAAATAGAATGGACTTTGATATTCTAATTGCATCCCAAGGTGGTACATGTGCAATCATTCAAACTGAATGCTGTTTTTATGCCTGACGAGTCTTCCAATGTGTCATCTCTGCTAAAGCACATGTAAAAAACCAAGTGTATGTCCTAAGCAATCCTACACCTGGCCTTGATTTGTTTAGTTGGCTCCCTTCAGGTATTGGTTCCCCTTTGCGATCTGGATTGCAATTCTTATTTCTATTACTCCTTGGAATTCTTGTATTGATCATAATATTCAAACTAATTACTGTTTTCTTCACTCAGTGGTGTAAGACTGGCATGCAGGCTAGAGTAATGATTGGTCAACAACTTAAGATGGTTGATCGATCTTATAACTCTGGACAAATTTTCTTTTCTGATAAAGACTACACCTATGAATGAATTTCTAAACTAATCATTTCAAGTATTGAGTTATCATTACTGTCACTGTACCTGTTCTATAATTGTAAACAATGTAAGTATAAGGAATCATGTAAAAGCACATGTACAATATTTGTGTGACAACCTGAAATTAATTCAAATATTACATAACCTATAAAATGCTTCCCCTATTAATATACACCTCTGTGCTTGGCCACTATGTCCAACTATTTATCCCCAGTGTGGATGATTGGGTAAATCAATGAAATAAAAGCCTAGCACTGAGGGATATGATGAACCCAGGGCAGGCAGCAACCACTCTAGTGCCAAGGGACAATATTTTGATCATCAATGCTTGTTATAGAAAGATTATTGATCTAAAGGGGAAAAATCATGAATAAATAAAAAGCAATAAGATATATTGAAGTATGAGGAGAAACGTATGAAGCCATTTGGTTTAAAACTAATTTTGCCTGGCCTTGTTTTTCCAGGAAGGCCTGGCATGGCCTGTTGAGCATGCATTGTACATCTGCTTTAAACATTTACAATGTCCCAAAGCTGAGAATGATGCCCTTAAAGATAGAGATGTTGCCTTCCCCCTATATCAGCATTTCTTCCCAGAAACTAAGAATTAACTACTGACCTGCTGTGCTAGCAAAGCATCTTGTGACTGTGGTAAAAGGAATATTCCTGTCATATTTGATGTATGTTCCTTGTTCCAAGATGGTACATAACCACTCTGTACACCCCACCTCTTCTGAGTACTTCCTTCCTTGGTGAAGGTTGTTTCTCCTGGGCTATTGTTACCAACCACAAGCATGTCCGTTTGCCCAATGCACGACAGAAAGGCCAGATACGGAGTCAAAGGTCCTTTTGTAGAAAGAAAAAGACTTTATTGCAGGGTGGGCAAGCAAGGTGACAGGTGGCAAGGCTCAGATTTGCCTCCCCAAGCAGCTTTTGTGTAGGATATTTATCAGGGCAAAGGGAGTAGGAGGGTGTTGGGGGCTGAGAAAGGGTAAGAGGAAGTTTCACGAATTCTCTGTGCAGGCATGACTGTCTTTCATGTTTCTCCATGGGTCACGTGTAAATCTGAGGGGCTCTGTGGGTTACATGTGGTGGATTTCTGGCCTGTGATATCCAAAGTTCACTGATCAGTCATTCTGGCCCCTCAACATGCCTGCTCAACGTTTGGTTGAAGGGTTGTCGGCAAGTTATTTCCTTATCTGCAGTGTACTTGTTATTTTGCAAGACAAGCTCAGAAACTTTGGCTAATTTGTTTCTTACTTTAACCTCGTGAGTGTGGGGTACGGTTTCACTATAGTCCTCAAAACTGGCTAATATAATAAACAGCCCAATTTTTATTTATAGATTGATTATTGATTATTTGCGTCAAAGAAACCTTTGAGGATTCTATGGTTTAAAGTGCGTTGTTTCTCAGCTTTCCCCACTGCTGGGGCTTGGGGTACTTACCTCTCACGCTCCTGCTTTTGAGCTCCAAAATTTTGTTGCTGTCATCTCCAGGTCCTTATGGGCCTAAAAAACACCATCTTCTTTCAGAACGGATATTGCTAAAAATCTTTTGGCCATTCCAACCATGTTGCTCAATCATCCCTTTTAAGACGTATTACTTCTCCAGTTTTAGGGTTCCCTCCAACTTCAGACTCCACAAGGAATACACAAACTATTACACAGAGCCAAAAAGAGGTGCAGAGTGTTGGGGGGCGATATAAATGGTACAGAGGACATCTACTTGAGTCAACGGTCTGCTGGGAGGGGCTGGCTCTCTGGGGTAGACGTTTACCGGTGACTTGCTCCTTTATCCAGGTCCCAAGCTCCCAGCCTTGGAGACTGCCCAGCCACTCGCCTGCCTGCTTGGAAAGCACCAGCTCGCCCCGCCCAGCCCGAGGACCCGCTCCCAGCACCCAGTGCCCGCCGGCATGACCCTGCCACCGCTCGGAAGCCGGCGCCTCCTCGCCCGTCCGCTGCGTGGCGTCCCGGGGCTCGTTCCGTTGTTGCTGCCGCTGCTGCTGGCGCCACTCTGGGCTGGGGCCAACTGCCCATGCCAGGATCCAAATCTGTGCCGCCCGATCAGCCACCGCCCCAACTTCGAGGTCAGCGCCTCTCCTCTGCCCCTCGGGGCCGGGTCCTCAAGGCCCAAGAGAAGTTAGAGTAGAACCGAGTCCTAAAAAGAGGTGACGTGGGTGCCAAAACCTACTTTGACCACTTGCTGAGGGCCTTACTTTTATGGATTTCCTTCATCTTATAGATGAGGAAACTCCTCGCAGTCAGAGAGGTTGAGTAACTTCTCCCAGGTCTCACAGTAAGCGCCTGCCTGGAAGAGCTAGGCAAGTATTTAAACCCAGATCTGACTCCAAAGTAAAGCTCCTTTCATCACTCTGCTGTGCCTCTCCGGTGGCACTCTGGGCTCTGGGCGTAGAAGCAAGGAGGTAGGATAATGAGATATTCCCTAAGTAGCAAGACCCATTGTTTTCCAAGAAACTGAGGATTTGGTTTGAAAGAATCTCAGCACTCCATCAGTACATTGGCAGGCAGAATGCTTTGCTTACCTTTTCTTTTATCTACCAGCTCTTTCCTTTAGGCACCTCAAAACCACCTAAGAAGGATGGTAAAAATAGGTCTTTCAGTGAATTTTCCTTCTACCCACCTAAGAATTTCTAAGGCCTGTGGCAACTTTAACCAAACTCCCTTTCTCAGGCAATATTAAGACCACCTGACTGCCTAGCGTTTGATGATTACATCTGGAAGGTCGAAGGGGTTAGGGTCAAAGAGCAACTCTTGTAAAGAGTGGGGCAACTCCCAGTTCTAGTAGATTAAGTTTGAGGCAGGGGCATTTAAATGCCAATAAAAAGGTATATGTACATTGCTTAGAAGAAGAAATAAAAGTGGTGAAAGTATTTATGGAGAATCTGTCTAGTTTGGAAGCCTGAGTCACCTCTGAAAGATTCACTGTATCACCGGATACCTCTTTGTGGATTAGGCAGTGTTTGTGGGCATTTGGAAAACCAATTATGCAAAGAAACAAAATTTTGTTCATTTATGTATTCATGGTAAATCGTCTTTTTCTCTCCTGATCTTTTCTATATTTTCAAATGCAAAGACTAGACTACATTGCTTTTTTCCTTATATTTCCAATTGATTCATCCAGCTCTTTTTTAGGATTTCTATTATACCACAAGCTCTTGGTATTTTTTTTTAAACAAATTCCATTTTATTGTCAGAATTAAAATAGGGGATAAGGTTTGTGATGGAAGTACGAGTCTAAAAATAATGAGTTGTTCAATTTCATATTCTGTAATTTTTATTATTTTAGTGGGCAATTGCTTAGCAGAAAAATGAGTTATGCGTAAACTCTGAAAAGCAAAAAAAAAAAAAAAAAAAAAGAGAGATTGAGAAAATTAAGAAATGTCTGGTTTAACTTTTATAGCTAGCTCTCCCCACCACTGCTCCTCTCCCATCCATTCTCCCCAGAGCAGTTCAGTGATCTCTCTTGCTTGCTTTCTCTCTCTTATTTTTTAATGCAAATCTTATGCCCCACCCCTGCTTAAAACACTCTAATGGCTTTCCATTGATCTCAGGATAAAATACAAAAGCTTTACTTGATCTTGCCGCCACCTACCTTAGTAGTTCTATCTGATTCCACGTACTGACAGGATTTCTGTGCTCTAGCCACATCCTTTTGGTTCCAGAAATTCATAATTCTCCTGAGGTATTGAAACTTTTGCCCTTTTTTGTTCCCTCTGCTGAGAATGCTTTTTTGTCCACAAGTACCCCTTCTGTATTCTGTCCAGGTCACTCCCTAGATTTTAGTCCTCCCCTAAAAGTGTGTAGTCCTCAGGGGAAGTTTTCCTGCCCTACCAGGGTAGCAGATCCCCTTTATATGCTGTATGGACCCCTCCCCCTGCCATTTCCCCCTTAACACTATTGTAATTAAGTAACTAACGGACCTGGTTGGTCTCTCTTTTTAACCTCTTTGTCACTAATGCCTAGCAATATACCCTCCTTGTACCTAGACCTTATTGGAAAGTCAATAAGTATTTGCTGAATCAATGAATTGACACCTTATTTGGAATAAAATAAAAATGATCAGTGAGGCTTCTGTGCTTCTAGAATTATCTGTGGGGGGAAATACTGAAGAAATATAACATCAGCTGTCTTAGAATTTAACTTGAGTACTATTCTAAGAAGTCAGGTTCACCAAAAATCATTCATAGTAAATGCAGTATCTATGGCTCCACCTGCAGCAGCCAGAAACTTGAGTATTGTCAACCTCCTCCCTTTCTCTTACCTTACTCATCCAGTCAGTCATGAAGTCCTGTTAATTTGCCTCCTTAGGATCTTCCAGATCTGTTCATTCATCTCACTTATCTCTGCCGCTCCACAGCTTTAGTTGAGGTCCCCATCATTTCTTGCCTGGATTTTTCCAACAGGTTTCCTAATAGATATTCTGCCTCCAGTTTTAGCCTTTCTTTAATCCATTTCCCATTTCAGCTGAAGGGATTTTTCTAAAATGCATACACAAATGCATACCTAAAATTCATACATTCTCTTTTTAAATCCTTTTCCCTCAGGATGAAGTACTAATTTCTCAAGAGGGCTTACAAGGCCTTTCATGATTTAACCCTGCCTACCACTCTCTTTGTTCTTCACTGCTGTCTCCCTCCAAGTTAAGTTCTAGGCACCAGCCATACTCAATATTTAGTTACACAGCCACCATGCTATCTCTGCCTATAGGCCTTGGCACTTACTGCTATTTCTTCTTAGCCTACCCTTCCCTGCTTCCCAGGCCTGGCTAATTTCCCTGTCACCAATTCTACTGGGACCCCTATGTCTTATTCACTGTTGTACTCTCAGTGCCCACCATGCCTGGCACATGGTCGGTGTTTAATTAATGTCACATTGGATGGTCAGCATGATATTCTTCTTGGCTTAAGTGATGGTGCTTATCGCTGTTGTTCTGGCAGGTCTTTGTGTTTGATGTTGGAGAGAAAACTTGGAAATTTTATGATTGGTCACAGATTACAACTGTGGTACTTTTTGAAACATATGACTCAGAACTTATGTGCCATGCTCATTCAAAAGGAGCCAGAGTAGTTCTAAAAGGTGAGTTACAGCTTTTACCAGATGTGTCCAGCCCATTGGTAAGTTTATTTTCATAGTTTGCTATCCTGACTTGCAAAAAAATTCCCTTTTCATCTTCATCTTATATGTTTTTTAGCATGCTAAAATTAATCTTAGATACTGTTTAATTCATTTCACAGATACAAATTTTTTAAAGAATAAGCCACTGTACAGTTTTGAGCAAAATATGACTGATGACCTTTAGCTAGTCATAGTTCACAATTTATGTTTCTAATTTGGGAATGATTTTACCAATTATTTATAATAGTTATTTTGGAGATTAATGAGTAATGGCTTTCTATTATTTTAGTATATTATGTATCCATTTGGAAAACTTAAATTAGGGGCTTTGTATTCCAAAATAGTGAGATGTTTTAAAGATATTTTGATCTCTGAAATGGGTTTGTGAAGAAAATGTCATTAAACTGTGAAAAGGATATATGCACAAAAGATGTATATTTCTTCCATAGGAGATGTATCCTTAAAGGCTATCATGGATCCTAATTTTAGAGCATCCTGGATAACTCAACAAGTTCAGTTGGCCAAAACACAATATATGGATGGAATTAATTTAGACATAGAACAAGAACTTAGTTGTTCATCACCTGAATATGATGCATTAACTGCTTTAGTCAAAGAAACTGCAGACTCTTTCCATCGTGAAATTGAGGGATCACAGGTAAAAATTTATTTCTTATTTTTTTGAATCCCCTTATTTTCCCTATCAAAATATATTCATGAAGGTATGACTAATTAAATCTCAATTTTATAGGAATGGAGTAGGAAAGAATTTCAGCACATATATCCTAAAAAAACTTTCTGGAACTTTTGAGGTTCTTATTAGAAAAGTTTTAGGGATTGTAAGGTGCTAAATCTGTTCTCTATTCACATAAAAATATAATACTGGGATTGCCCCATCCACTTGACTTGCAGCAGGGTTAAAAACATTAGATAGGCAATGGGGTCAGCAAGAATCAGGAAGGGCTTAGCTGTCTAGGCCCTGCTTTCACTAGTGCAGGACAGAAACACCTCTTGCATATGAGTAGGGGTCATTCTGGGAAAGTATCTCACTTGCTTCATAGACTCTGAATGACTTGCAGAACACCCAAGGTCCAATAAGTCTCAACAGACTAACTCCATAGAACTTGTCAGACAAAAGGCAGTGTGCTTCCCCACTGCCATAATGAGCATGATTAGAGCAGAAGATCACACACAGCACAAGGCATCTTGCCAGGCAATGTATGAGTAACACAGGATAATGTGGCCCCAGATCAGTGACTCTCAAGCCTGGCCACACATCAAGATAACCAGGAGTCTTAAAAAAAGTAAACATCCACACATATACACTGGAACACACTCCCACAGATTATTATTCAGAAGGTTTTGGATAAGCCCAGAGTCCACGTTTTTAAAAAGTTTCATAGGTGATTATGGTTAAGAAATACTAGGCTAGGAGATTCTGGATCAAATGGAGACAGAGGAGGCTCCTCCCATGGACGCATGGAATGTACAGCTACACATGGAGCAACCTCCTCAGAGAGAAATTCAGAAACTAGCTGAGTGACTCCTACACATAGGGTGACTGATAAAATAACCACATACTAATGGGTAGGAAATGCTGAGATACAGTCTTGCAATAGAAAAATATTCCATGCAAATGGAAACCAAAAGAAAGTAGGGGTAGCTATACTTATATCAGACAAAATAGGCTTTAAGCCAAAAACTGTAACAAGAGACACAGAATTTCATTATATAATGACAAAGGGGTCCATTCATCAAGAGGATGTGACAGCTGTAAATATTTATGCACCCCACATCAGAACAACCAAATATATTGAGCAAATACTAATATATCTGAAGAGAAAGAGAGACAGCAATACAATAATAGTAGTGGACTTCAATACTCCATTTTCAGCAATGGATAGATCATCCAGAGACATAATCAATACAGAAACATCGATAAGGAAACTACATGGTAGATCAAAGGGACCTAACAGACATACACAGAACATTTTATTCATCAGCAGCAGAATACACATTCTTCTCAAGTGCACATGGAACATTTTCTAGGACAGATCATGTGTTTAGGCCACAAAACAAGTCTTAATAAATTTAAGAAGACTGGAATCATATCAAGCATTTTTTCTGACCACATTGGTATGGGAAACTAGAAATCAATTACAAGAAGAAAATTGGAAAATTGACAAATATGTGGAGATTAAAGAACATGCTATTGAACAATCAATGGGTCAAAGAGGAAATTAAAATAGAAATAAAAAAATATCTTGAGACAAATGAAAAGAGAAACAAATATACTAAAACTTATGGCATGGAGCAAAAGCAGTTCTAAGAGGGAAGTTTATAGCAATAAATGCTTACACGAGAAAAAAAAAAAGATCTCAAACAACCAAACTTTACATCTCAAGGAACTAGAAAATGAAGAACAAATAAAGCCCAAGGTTAGAGGGAAGGCAATAACAAACAGCAGAGTGGAAATAAATAGAGACTAAAAAGACAATAGAAAAGATCAATAAAATTAAGAGCTAGTTCTTTGAAAAGGTAAACAAAATTGACAAACACTCACCAAAAAAAGGAGAAGACAAATAAGTGAATCATAAATGAAAGAAGAGACATTACAACTCATAATAAAGAAATACAAAGGATCATAAAAAACTACCATGAACAATTATACACCAACAAATTAGATAACCTAGAAGAAATGGATAAATTCCTAGAAACAGACAACCTACCAAGACTGAATCATGAAGAAATAGAAATTCTGAGAGACTGATTACCAGTAAGGAGATTGAATCATTAATCAAAAACCTCCTAAGAAAGAAAAGCCCAGGACTAGATGGCTTCACTGGTGAATTCTACCAAACATTTAAAGAATAACGACTACCAGTTCTTCCCAAATTCTTCCAAAAAACAGAAGAGGAAGAAGCACTTCCAAAATCATTTTACGAGGCATTACTTTGCTACCAAAGTTAGACAAGGACACTATAGGAAGAGAAAATTACTGGCCAATATCACTAATGAACATAGATGCAAAAATCCTCAACAAAATGTTAGCAAACCTAATTCAACAGTACATTAAAAGGATCATACACCATGATCAAGTGGGATTTATTCCAGGGATGCAAGGATGGTTTAACATCTGTAAATCAATGTGATACACCACATTAACAAAATAAGGATAAAAAAATCAAACAGTCATCTCGATGCAGAAAAAGGATTTGACAAAATTCAACATCCATTTATGATAAAAAATCTCAACAAAGTGGGTATAGAGGGAATGTGCTTCAACGTAATAAAGGCCATATATGAAAACCGAAACATCAACTAACATCATACTCAACAGTGAAAGGTTGAAAGCTTTCCCTCTAAGATCAGGAACAAAACAGGGATGCCTAGTCTTGCCACTTTTATTCGACATAGTACTGAAAGTCCTAGCCAGAGCAATTAGGCAAGAAAAATTAATAAAAGGCATCCAGATTGTAAAGGAAGAGGTAAAGTTTTCTCTGTTTGCAGATGACATGATACTATATACAGAAAACCCTAAAGATTCTACAAAAAAACCTGTTGGAACTAATAAACAAATTCAGGAAAGTTTTAGGATACAGAATAAAAAAAAAATCAGTTGTGTTTCTATACATTAACAATAAACTATCAGAAAGAGACATTAAGAAAATCTCATTTACAACAGCAGCAAAAAAGTAAAATACTTAGGAATAAATTTAACCAAGGAGGTGAAAGATCTGTATACTGAAAACTACAATTATGTGCCACATAATGATGTTTCAGTCAATGACGGACTGCATATATGACAGTGGTGCCATAAGGTTAGTATCATATAACCTAGATGTGTAGTATGCTATACCATCTGGGTTTCTGTAAGTATACTCTATGATGTTCACACAATGATGAAATTGCCTACTGACGCATTTCTCAGAACATGTCCCTGTCATTAAGTGATGTGTGATTGTATAAAAAATTGATGAAAGAAATTGAAGAAGATACAAATAAATGGAAAGATATTCCATGTTCATGGATTGGAAAATTTAATATTGTTAAAATGCCTATAGTAGCCAAAGCAATCTACAGATTCAATGCAATCCTTATCAAAATTCCAATGGCATTTTTTACAGGAATAGAAAAAACGAGTCCTAAAATTCATAAGGAACCATAAAAGACCTCAATAAGCAATTTTGAGAGAACAAACCTGGAAGTATCACACTTCCTGATTTCAAACTATATTACAAAGCTGTAATAATAATAATAGGATGGTATTAGCATAAAAACAGACACATAGATCAATGAAACAGAATAAAGAGTCCAGAAAAAAACCCATGCATATATGGTCAATTAATTTATAACAAATGAGCCAAGAATATACAATGGGGAAAAGATTGTCTCTTCAATAAATGGTGTTAGGAAAACTGGATTAACACACGTAAAAGAATGAAACTGGACCCCATCTTATACCATACACAAAAATCAACTCAAAGTGGATTAAAGACTTGAATGTAAGAACTGAAACCATAAAACTCCTGGAGGAAAACATAGGGGATAAGCTCCTTGACATTGGTCTTGGCAGTGAGTTTTTGGATTTGACACCAAAAGCAAAGGCAACAGAAGCAAAAATAAGTAAGTGGGACTACATAAAATTAAAAAGCTTCTGCACAGCCATGGAAAGCATCAACAAAATGAAAAGGCAACCTATGCAATGGGAGAAAATATTTGCAAGCCACATATCTGATGAAGGGTTAATATCCAAAATATACAAGGAACTCAATACAACTCAATAGCAACAAACCAAACAACCCAGTTAAAAAAATGGGCAAAGGACCTGAATAGACATTTTTCCAAAGAAGACATACAAATGGCCAATAGGTACATGAAAAGGTGTTCAACATCACTAATCATCAGGGAAATGCAAATCAATGAGATATCATCTCATATCTGTTAGGATATCTATTATCAAAAAGACAAGAGATAACAAGTGCTGGCAAGGATGTGGAGAAAAAGGAACACTTACACACTGCTAGTAGGAATGTAAACTGGTACAGCCACTATGGAAATCAGTTCCTCAAGAAAGTAAAAACAGAACTAATATATGATTCAGCAATCCTACTTCTGGATATATACCAAAGGAAACAAAATCACTTATCTTGAAGAGATATCTGTACTCCCATGTTTATTGCAGCATTATTCACAACAGCAAAGGTATGGAAATGACCTAAGTGCCTGTTGATGGATGAATGGATAAAGAAAATGTGGTCTATATATACAACGGAATATTATTTAGCCTTAAAAAAGAAATTAAAAAAAGAAGGAAATCCTGCTATTTGTGACTATATGGATGACCTAGAGGGCATTATGCTCAATGAAATAAGCCAGAGAGAGAAAGACAGATACCGAATGCTATCACTTATGTATAGAATCTTAACAAAAAAAATTGAAATCCTAGAAATAAAGAGTAGGCGATTGCCAGAGGCTGGTGGGTGGGGGAAATAGGGAGAGGCTGGTAAAAGGGTATAAACTTTCAGTTATAAGACGAATAAGGTCTGAAGATTACTATATAACATGGTGACTATGGTTGCTAATACTGCATCATATAATTGAAATTTGCTAAGGGAGTAAAACTTAAGTGTTATAACCCCCCCCCCCCCAAAAAAAAGTAAATATGTGAGGTGGTGGATTTATTAATTAACTCCATGTTGGGAATCTTTTCACAATATATATGCATATCAAATCATCATGTTTTACACTTTAAATATATTGCAATCTTATTTGTCAATTATACCTCAATAAAGCTGAAAAAAAAAAAAAGAACTACTAGGCTAGATAGTGAGTTTTTTGAAGGCAAGGACCAGCTTCCAGATGTATAACACAATGTTTAAAAATTTGTTGGGCTAGGGGCTGGCCTGGTGGCACAGTGGTTAAGTTGGCGCAGTCGGCTTTAGCAGCCCAGGGTTTGCTGGTTTGGATCCTGGGCGTGGACCTACGCACTGCTTATCAAGCCATGCTGTGGCAGGTGTCCCACATATAAAGTAGAGGAAGATGGGCATGGATGTTAGCTCAGGGCCAGTTTTCCTCAGCAAAAAGAAGAGGCTGGCAGTGGATGTTAGCTCAGGGCTAATCTTCCTCAAAAAAAATTGTTGGGCCAGCCCTGGTGGCCTAGTGGTTAGGTTCAGTATGCTGTGCTTCAGTGGCCTGTGTTTGGTTCCCAGGCATGGACCTACACTGCTGGTCGGTGGCTATGCTGAGGTGGTGGCCCATATACAAATCAGAGGAAGACTGGCAGAGATGTTAGCTCAGGGCGAATCTTTCTCAAGCAAAAAGAGGAGGATTGACAACGGATGTTAGCTCAGGGTGAATTGTCCTTAGGAAAAAAAAAAAGTGTTTATTGAGTGAATGAATGATCCTTGCCTTTCAAAAATTTAAAATCTAGCTAAGTAGGAAATATAAATATAAGGTGTAAATATATAAGTATATAAAAATATGTGGCAAATATATATTTATATAAATATGTATATTTATACATAGATAAATATATAAGTGGTACATGTAAGTAGTATATGTGAGTAGTATATATAAGTAGTATAAACCAGTGGCTCTAACTTATCTCAGATCACCTGGGAGTGCTTGTTAAAAATATCCCCAGAGATTGATTCAGTAGGTCTGTGATAGAGCCTAGGAACTGTATTTTTACCAAGTGCTCCAGGTGATTCTGGTACAGTTGGTCAATATGAACTTGAGAATCACTGGAAAAATAATAAATGATATAAGGATTGACATCTCTGTAAGTTTATGCAAATAGAGGCAGCTTGTCAATGTGGAATTCAGCTTTTCCAAGAACAGCAAATACCTGGTATTCAGGCCATCATAGTCCTCTCTTCACAAATTTTGGTCTCAGAAACTTTTCCTTCATTCTCTAGGTTGCTGTTATTAATAGGTTAAATTGGTGTGTGGGAAACCACCTATTTGCTAGTCCTGCTGAAGCTATAATGAAAAGGCAAGGAGGAAGAGCTTGAGCAAATACTTTGCAGTAGGAATATCTATTTCCAAGTTTTTGAGGGATAAGTAAAACAATTTGGGCTACTATGTCAAGTTCATGTTAGGTAAATTAGTGGGAGCTAAAGATGCCTGGATAGGCCAGACTGTGGAAGATCCAGAATGTTAGACTGAAGAGTATGCATTTTATTCTGTATGTAATGGGTTACATGTGTAGAAAGTGTTTGGGGAAGATTATTCTACAGCAGTGTGTAAAAATAGTCTAGAGGAGAAAGGGAGACCAGTAAGGACTAACTCAATAATCCAGTAATTTGGGATTTATAGTTTGGATTGGGATGATGACATAATCCTAACAGTAAATATTCAATAAATATTTATTGAATTAATTAATTAATGGAAAGGAAGGAGCAGAACGATTGTGAGAGGCCACCCAAAGGAAAATGGGAGATTAGTTAGAGTTATGAGGGAAGAAGAGTGAGAGAATGGCCCAAAGGTTCTTAAACAGGTGACCAGAAAGAAAATGGCTAAAATAGAGTCTGGAAGGAGAAATAAGTTTTGAGGAAATGATGATAATTTAAGTTTACAGAATTGTGGTCATAGAATTAAAGGTAGAAATGCTCTTGAAGAGATCTTTCTATGTCCTCATTTTTATAGGTGGGAAAATAGATTCAGATGTTTTAAGTGACGCAGACCTAGTTATAACAGAGCCAAGATTAGAACCAAAGTCTTTTGACTTCTTGTCTAATATACTAATACTGCCTTCTCAAAAATATGAGATTAACTCTGACAGGAAATCCAGGTGAAAGTACTCTGAATGCTGAGGTGAGGGGTAAGGACTTACAAAATGGATTTGAAATTTACCTACTTAGAGGTAATCATTTATCTTCTCTATTGCTATGATATACCTCTCATTTTGTAATGGGAGGCAGTAATAAAATGGGATCCAATATGTAAAAAGTTCAGTTTATAACCTATTTTGCTGGAGAGCTATTGAGGAAAGCTTGTACTTGTAAAACAGACCTTTCCTTTGTGCTAATACTGAGAGAATTAGAGAGAGAACTTTGAGAAAGTCCTAAAAAGAGTTATAGTAGAGGCCAAAGTGTAAAAATTTTAATGAAAGATTTTTTGTAATATTTAAACAGTGTATTTATTGAGTGCCTAATTAAGAAAAATCCCAACTTTTAATGACGCTTTAGAACATTTTCACACATATAAAATAAGGCTAATTAATATTTGGTTAAGGTAATAAATATTTCAAAGAGAGTCATCCTTGTTGAAGGCTGGCTCATCATTTAAAATGAAGATAATTTCTCACTCAAGTTTTATTTGACTATTTCCATAAAATAAAATCATTTAAGTGATTTGTTCAACATTTTGAGTTGATTAATCTGTACCTGTAGCCATAAAACACCACTATTCTTTAACTGTTATGTTGGACTAAACCTACATGTAATGTAACTGTAAGTCAGGGGCTCAAACACGCAACGCAGGCTAGTCAGCTTGTGCCAACGGATGACTTATTTAGCCTGCATAACATTTTTAAAACCTTTGTCTTTGAATTCTTTTAGTGTGCTTTTCCTCTCCAGTTGCTCCACCATAATCTATTGTCATTACACCTGTTTATTTCAACCTGCTGAGTTACCAGTCTAGCCTCTCAAGACATGTGAGTTTAAAACTTCTACACAGTGCCCTGCTCCTGGTCTTTGTAAATGGCCAGACATGTCTGAGTCCAAATATATGTCCATTATCCAAATATATGTCCAAAACATTGTCCAAATATATGTCTAGGTCAGTCCATGTAGGGAAAAATATATTTCTTAGAACTGTTCTAGTTCTATACATGTCAAGCCCTACGTTCATATACATAAGCAGTTCTGTTTTCTTAGGTAGTATGAGGCAAGAGAATATATAATCAACAAAACATCTGACATAATATGCATATTTGATCATGTTACATAAAATGGTATATTTTTTCCACAGGTAACCTTTGATGTTAATTGGTCTCCAAGGTACACAGACAGGTGCTACAATTATACTGCAATTGCAGACGCTTGTGACTTTGTCTTTGTGATGTCTTATGATGAACACAATCCAGTCTGGTCAAAATGTACTGCAGCAGCCAATGCCCCCTATAATACGACATTAACTGGTAAGAATCCACAAAACTTGCACTTATTGGTAATATTAATTCTAGAACCTCAAACATTAAGATATACTTAGTATTTCTAAGTCATTTGTATACCTTTTCCATTTGTAAAGCTTTCTTGAAACATATAAAAATCACTTAATTTGGAGACCTTTAAAGTTTAGAAAGTTTTTAACTTTTCACTTAGCTCTAAAATCTTGTGGGTTAGGTATATTATTATTAACCTTCTATTATAGATAAGGTAAGGGAGTTAAGCTCTCAGGGTTGCCCAGCTATTAAGTATTGTATGTTGGGACTCAAGCAGGTGTTCTAACTTCAAGTCAACATTCTTGTCATGAAATTACACAAAGAAGATATTTGCTTATCTAGAATTTGACAGGATATTTTTGTTGAAATAGCCAATATTAAATAATTTAATAGCAAAGATAGTTCTGATGTGAGTATCTACCATACATGATTGATAGGACTGGCTTTATTTTATTTGGCATTTAATATTAGCACCCATGCTGTATTAAAAATTATATCCCTATTAGAATTAAGAGTACTTCTGATCTGTCATTCATATGATGTTGCCTTTGCATTATCCTTTCTAATGTTTGGATTCGTTTGTATCTCATCAGCGAATTGAACAAAAGCTTGCTTGCTATCTTTTGGACTCAACTGAAATTTTCTAAAATAGTTGGCATTGATTTAATTGTTGATTGACTAATAAATAAAAAATCTTTTCATTTTCATATAGAGATAAAATCTTAGCACCTGGCCTCATTTTAATGTACCCTAATTGTTTGGATGGGATAGTCTGATCATAAGCATATAAGATTTAAAATATGAAAAATAATTTAATTTTGTTATAATTACAAAGTAATTATTTAATCCAGTGTTTCCAAACTCTGTTTCATGAGATGATAATTGTGTCCTATCAATAAAAGGCTCATTATCAAATTTTTTTGGGAAATGATGCATATCCCACCCCTTTCTTAGATATATAATAGTACACAATAACTTTAAAGGCTCTGAGAAGCAGCATACTTACTTAATTCAACATTCTAGATAATCTTGGAACATCTCTTGGTGGGAAAACATAATTTGCAGCATTGTACAAGACAGGGGTTGACAGTACCAGGAATTTGTTCATTTTTCTCTTTGTTTCCTTGAACTACAGATTACCTACTATAGACTAAGAGGGGGAACAGTTCTTATTCCCAGCTGTAATTCATACTTATAGGGTATTTGTAAAACATGAAGCACTTGTACTTTCTGTAAGAAATTCTGAGACCATTCCTGCCACAAAGTTTAAGACTTACAGAACTTTTTTTGAAACTTTAGAATCTAGAATATCAAATATATAATGTCTTAGTAGTTAATAGACACAATCAGCATGCTTTCTTGAAATGTGCCATTTTTCCTGGAGTTAAATTTTGTGAATTTTTTGCTTTAATTTGATGTTAATTGTTTTGAATCTTTTCTATTGTTCAAAAAGAAATGGTTTAGAAAGGGATACAGAAGTTATAGTTCTTAAGGGATGACACTTTTATAACATCATATTAAAGAAATATGGTATTAGTATTTTGTATAAATGTACCTGTTTTTACAAACTTAGATTCTGAGTGGTAGCATAGCTTACGCAAACACATTAGTAGACATATAAAGAGAAAAAAAAAAGCTTTTCCTGTCCCTATTTGATTAGGATATGATGACTTCATCAAGAAGGGCATCAACCCTAAGAAACTTGTAATGGGTCTTCCCTGGTATGGTTATGATTATACCTGCCTGAATCTTTCAAAGGTAAGAACAGATAATTTCTCATGTAATTTTTTTCTTTCTGTTTTTTAGAGCCTTTATTTATATTTTTATAAATATTTAAAAAAATTTTTAATACATTAAATATATATTTTATACAATAATAATACAGATCTAAGTGTAATATATATTTTATTTTATTTATTTTAAACTTTAGAGTTTTATTTTATATATATAAACTTTAGAATTTATAAACTTCTATATATATAGAATATATGAACTTTATTTAGAATTTCTGAAATATAGTTTGAAACTAAAAAGCAGTTTATTTTTAATTATTTAATCTCATGAAAGTTTCTGAATATCATATATTTCTATTTAATAATAAAATTTAACTTTTATTCTGTATAGTCAGGTTATCTATTTTTGGGATATATTTTATTTCTAATACGTAGTTTTAATTATGTTTTCTGGTTTGGCTCCAAAGATTTGCTTAATTGATAATCTATAACATGAACATCTTTGCATTTCTAGGATGATGTTTGTTTCACTGCAAAAGCCCATTCTCCACCTTGTAGTGGTGTTTTAACACATCAAGTGCCATATAAAGAGATTATGAAGCAAGTAAATAGTTCTCTTTCTGGAATCCAGTGGGATAAAGATCAGAAGTCTCCTTATTATAATTATAAAGTAAGACTTTTCACAAATTATGAACATTTATTAGTTTTCATAATTGCATATTTCTATAATTACGTATTTGATATTAAGAATTTCTATTAGTTTTCCTTTAGGGTATAACATACAGACTGCTGTTTACATTAGTAAACTTGTCTTTGAATCTGTGTAATCAGGAACTTGACTTCCCTGGTGAGCAATTCAAGTTATGCTAATAGTGGAACTGCTCTGCATAGGCCACTTGTCATTTTAGATGATGTTATCAAAACATGCATATCACAAAGAGGATTTCCTTAATAGCTGACAGCTATGTTTGATGACTATGTCTTCTGAAAGGGCTTTGGGTCAAAATACGTTACTAGCTCAAAAGCCTCCATTCAAAGTAGCCTAAAGGTTCCAATAAGGTTCTTATATAGGGAGGAATGGGGCTGAGAACAGGAGACGCATCATCATGAACTTTACAATGGAAAACGGTATCATTTCAGATTTCAAGTCAGTCAACTACGTGATATTAGACAAATTATAAAAAATGTTAAAAATTAGAGACAGAAAAATATTACAAACAGAAACTTGAAGAAACAGAGTAAATGATTAGTAATTCCGTCAGGCAGTATTTGATAAATAGGAATTACCATTCAAAGAGGCAAGAAAAAGTTATATTTTTCATAATTTACTTTCAGCACAATAAAAACTTTTTCAAACCTCAAGACTTTAAGTACAAATCATCTTTGAATTTACTTTGGATTATGTTACTGTAAAAGGAGCCCTAAAATGATACGATGTAAGTTAACTTGAGCAAGAATTTATATACCTTACTAATGGTCTGATACCCATTTATAAAAAATGACTGCAAACATACTTAATAAATTATAATTGTTATACATGTACATGCCTGTATATCACTTATATAGAAAGCTTTAGTGTAGAGCTTTCTAAACTTTAGAATCTAAAATATATACCTATTAATTAAACTATAAGGTATATTGTAATCCTATCTTTGCCAAACAGTATTTATAGAACTCTGTTCTTGGAACTGTTAATATCACAGACACACACACATACAAATACACACACATGTGCCATGGCCAAATATATGTGGAAAACACTGCATACTGTATGTCCTTCCTAGAGATTTATAATGTTACAATGTATAACATTGATATAAAGGATTTGAGATGTGCAGCAGTATATAAAGCCATTTAATTGTTTAACATAGAACCTTTTTCACCGCGCTCTTAGAAACATGCAGGGGGAACATGTTTCATGGATATCAGTTTGGTAAAGGTAATGTAACCAATTATACATAATTTAGAAATATTTACTATAGAATAATAGTTTACATTATGATGTACTGTTTTTTTTGTAATCCTTGACTTATTTTTTCTCTAATGAATAAGAAGACACATTCTTTAAGGTTGTAGAATTCAGGAACGATTTTGATGAGCCTTGAAGGCCATTAATTTAATGGCAGTTTAGACATCAACATAGTTATAATTACTTTGTTCTTCTCTTTTCTTCCTTGTAAAATTCTATAGCAAGCAAGATCAAGTTTCTGTTGTGACTGAGGAGAATCATTCTGCCTTCTTATGATGTCTCAGCAATGGTAGCTTCATCTTATACTTGATATTCTTGAAGGCATGCATGCCTTAATCATGCATATATCAATCTTAGATATACTCAGTTTCATCCTTTGATCTTTCACTATTTTGAGGCATTTGAAATTTCTTAACAGTATCAAGAAGGCTCAAGTACTAGCTAGGACAGTGGCAAAATTTAAAGGTATATGTCTTTGGGTTTGCCCCTGAATCTTCAAATATAAATCTTTCTATATTTAGGTACAGGTTTTACAAATGGCCTCTTAATAGTGAATCACAATTGTTACTAGAGCATGCATGGCTTTTCTAATTCTAAAGATTTTAAAGACTGGAAGATAAGATACAGTATGATATATGCTCGTACGTGGTGAGTCTACTATACTTAAATATGACACACTTATTTCTTTACTAAGTGACTACTGTCCTTCAAAGTAGTCTCTTAGGAGACTATTCTAATTCCAGTGGTGCTACCATAAATAAAAATGTTACTGGCCTTCATAGAGAATTGCCTTTAAAAAGTTTCCCAGATGTATATAAAAATCAGTAAATTGTTTTTAATCACAAGTCTTTTCCCCTTTCCTTTACCCTTTTACTTAGATCTGCTCTTTTCCTCCCTCCTTTATCCCTTATCTAATAGCTTATATACCTTCGAAGAGAGACTGTGTTAGTGCTAGATAGAGGCAAGTGTTCTGGGAAGAAGGACTTACAGGGAAAGTAAGCATAAGACTATTTTCTAGTTTATGGTTCTTAATCAGGTATGTGCATAAGTTGCCCATGGAGTCCAGACCGGACAGGCTCTTAGAATCAATTCTGTAAGACCTAGAAGAGGAGATATTTTCCTTGTCCATTGCCATTACTTTTTGATTTGGCCAATTCATCACAAGCAAAATCATCTGTTGAGCTCCTAACTAGGCACATTTCCAGGAACTGTAGGGAACACAAAAAAGTGTATAAGCTGGGTTTAGAGGACCAGAGCAATGATCCTCCTTAACCTTAGTTTCACATCAGAATTACTGAACGGAACTTTAAAATGCAAATAAACAAATAAATGTATGTCTTAGCACCAGCTCTGGAAGATTTGATCCAATAGGTTTCATGTGGTATGGGTTCCAGGTATTTTTAAAAGCCCCACTAGTGATTCAGATGTACATCTTGGTTGATAATCATCAGATCAGAGCAAGAGAGGAATCTTAGGGCATGAGAACGACTTTAAACAGAATTTATTAGGAGGTGTAATCTCTGCTGTTGTAAAAGTGCCACAAGCAATAACATCTAGAAAGTATCATATACAGAACCATGGAATCAGAGCTGGAAAGTACTGTAACCTAAAATTTTTATTATTTCATTGTATCCTTTTTGAATATTTGGATTTAAGAAACTTTTTCCCCTCTTATTGTACTGAATACTTTAAATTTCCATTTTGATTTATTTGTATAGGATTCTGATGGCCGTATTCACCAAGTGTGGTTTGACAACCCTCAGAGCATTTCTTTAAAGGCAGCATACATACAAAACCGTGGCTTACTCGGCATTGGCATGTGGAACGCAAACTGTCTTGACTACTCTGGAGACCCTATAGCCAAATGGCAAACTGAAGACATGTGGAGAGCCTTAAAACCAAAGCTGTGACAGAGATGAATATCTTTGTCAAACTATTAAGATTTACAAAAATGATCTGTATAAATAGATCTAGTTTCTTGGAGATAAAAAATGTATACATTTTTGTCATGTTGCTATATATTTGTTATTAGTATATTCAAAAACAGAAAAAGAATAAAGTGTTTTGATTGTTTGAATTTGAAAAATACATACATATTTATATCTTCAGTGTCTAGAAACATAAAGGTAAGAAACAAGTCAACTTGCTATATTAAATATTCCTCTATAAGATATTTAATACTATAATTAGGAATAATCATCTTCAGAATTTTATTATGCTAAATTTTCCCACATGATGTTAAAATATATGCTTACAAATGAATGCTAATTTTTAAAATATGTATTGTTTGAAGTGGAAATTGTTTGCTTAGGATGGCTTTTTAAAAACCCAGTCTTTGAGAAGCAGTTTGCTCTGTGCTTTTTGTTCAATAAATCTAAATTTGAAACCTGCAATTTAATGTCTGCTCCTTAGGTTCAAACTGATGCAAATAATTTTTCAGCTTCTTGACTCCATATAGTACTTATGTTCTCTGAGTCACTTGAATTTAACTCATTTAAGCTTCCAGAGAAAAAGAAGAAAATGAAGGATTAAAATCCTCACAAAATATAAGACAATAACTCAGTCATATTTTGAATTGGTAGGTTAGAGCTACCTAATATTCTTCAACTAAACTATTTTTTATGAGGTTATATTTGAAATTTTCAGGAAAAACTTGGTGTTGAAGCTGATTCTATTCATTGTCATTTACTCTTCCAATTATTAATATTCCTTCATTTATGGACATCTATAATTTATTTCTTGACCAGTTTTCTTTTCACGGTTAATTTTTTTCTTTTTCTATATTTCTTCTTCTGCATTTTACTTTTATCTAAAGACATTGATTTCTTAACTATTTTCTTTTTCTAACAGAGAAATTTTGTGCAAAGAACTTTTCTAAATGTACAGAGGTCTCTGTTCTCTTTCTCACGGCAATTAAGAAGAACACTGTGTTGCTCTTATATTGATTTCTATAAATGCTAAGATTAAACATAAATCCTGCCTTCTCTGCACATTTTTTCCCATACAAATTGGAATAAATGATGATTCAGTCTCCAGGTTATTTCATTTCCTACTTACACAATTATTTATGCAAAGTAAAACCAACCATTTTCCATAGCATTTGCTAAATTACCATTGATTTTCTATTTCTAAAATAAATTTTTCAAATTTAAATTCTTAGATACTATCCTCTATCATAGTTCTGGATGCAAGTTCAATATCCCGATTCTTTTATATTTCCAGATTGCTTTTAATTAAAATACAATGAACAAATTGTCTCTATTTATATGCAAATCGATTCATATTTACTAAAATATATGATTTTTGATTTTATAGTCCTATTAGCTATTAAACTGAAGACTACTTAAAAATGAAAATTATAAAATATAGTACTTTAAAATATGTAATAGACTTGAAACTTTCAAAAATAACCAGAGCCACTATTTTGCTTTTTTACACATATTTCCTCAAATACTTTGTAATACCCACATGAAAAGTGAAAAAATATAAAACTTATGCTTTATATAAAACATTGCCAAGGAGAACAATGGTTAAACAAATCTGTTCAAATAAATATTTAAATTTTTTGACAAACAAAAGTTTTAAATTAACACACCTAATTGAGATTGTAAAGATGTATTCATTTTCTTCTGTGCTAGTTCAGCTTTCAATGTGCGTAAATCTGAAACTGCTTGTTTTCTCATCTATAAAAAGAATTACCTTTCAGAAATGAACTTTCATCTTACCCTTCTAAATTATATCATTATAACATAAATAGAGGTTTTGTAACTGCTTTAACTGTCCTCTCTCATTTGCCTTCAATGCTTTTACTCCCACTGGGTCCCCATGGTAAATGCATAGGTCATAAGTCCTGTTGAATAAGCATGCTTATTTACTGCTAGATAGGCTATCAAATAATTTCATTTATTAGTATAAAGACATAATAAAATTAAACTCTTCTGAAAAACGAGTGAGAAAGAATTTTATCTTTTGCTAAAGCTTCAAAATCTGTTGTTCTCAATGTGTAAATAAAATAGTAAAAACAAAAACAAAAAAGAAAATTACAAAAAACCTTAATTCCTAGCTCTTAGAAACTGAATAGTTACTTTAGAAATATAATTGTGTTCACTCTGTGGCAAGCACTCAGAAGTGTTAACCCCTTTGATTCTTTCAAAAATCTTTTTGAGACAGATACTATTATTTTTCCCCAGTTTACAGCTGAGGAAAGTGAGATGCCTATAAGTTAAGTAACTTGCTCAAGGTATAAAACTAGTTAAGTGGAACAGCCAGGATTCAAAGTCAAACCGATCTGGTACCAGAGCCCCCGCTATTCCAAGTATTGTCTGTGGACCAGCAGCATTAGCATCACCTGGGAGTTGGTAAGGAATGCAGAATCTCATGCTTCACCCCAGACCTACTGCGTCAGATCCTGCTAATTTTAACAGGATCCCCAGCTGACAGCTCATTACACTTTGAGACACACTGCTTATACTATACTATCTTGAATACAGTTGCAACAGACTCAGGCTAGGTTTTCTGTCCCTAAGTTCTGAATTTTATAGGTAGTTTTGAGTAAATCATTCAGAAATCAATAATAAATACTTAATGATGTCTACTATGTGCCAATTAGGCACTGTGGTTAAATGTAGGATTTTTTTCCCCAGTCTGTAAGCTGAAAACTTGGTTCCCTTTTTTCTATTTGTCTTTCCTGTTTTTGTACTAATAATTCTAATTTGGGTTTAAATCATTAATAAGTGATATTTATAAGGTTAAAATATACAAAGATTGTAAGATCTAATAGGCATGTTTTCCAGGGAAAAAGACCACTGAGAAAGTCATAACTGAAGGCTCTGGGGGCATTTTTATTACTGCCTTCTAACCACCCAACTCTCCTTAAGTGTACAAGTTTCCACATAGGCTTCTCTCCATTTTTTTGAATACAGAAAGTTTTCATTCATCCAACAAATTATTTTTTTGAGTGCATACCATATAAGAATGTTAAGTAGCTCATGTTTTCTTAAAAATTGTCCTTTCCCCTTTCTGTATTTTAAGTTTAAGCTTCTCAGTGCTAAGCCAAGGCTTAGCCTTGAGAACGCTGCCGGTGAAAAGAATCCAGAACTGCGCTGTCGAATACAGTAGCCACCTGCCACGTATAGCTATTTAAATTTAAATTAACTAAAATTAAATAAAATTTAGAATTCAATTCCTCAGTCATACAACAAGCTACATTTCAAGTGCTTAATATCCTTATGTGGCTAGTGGGCTACCATATCGCACAGTGCAGGTATGGAACATTTCCATCATCGCAGAGGACAGTGCTGATTCTAGAAAAGGGTCATTATTCTGTGTCATAAAGCTATTTCTGATAAAGAGGTGAGTTGAGAGCATTTACATAATTATATATATATGAGAGTAATCAGAGAGAATGAGATAATTACACAAGAGAGGGGAAAAAATTAAATCAGAGCTCAGAGAGCTCAGTGGTTTGTCCGACTTATTTATGAATGATTCTAATATATGAAAATTACTTCTTTTAAAATATTTTATTGAAACTACCTATTCACAGGGTCTTTTTCTCTTAATTCTTAGTGAAATTTTACTAAATTTTATTTTGGCCTTGTTATAATATGCATCTTTTTTAGGATTTAGTGCTTATTCTTATACATTTTTTCACTCATGCTCTTTGTTGTCAAAGTAACAATTTTAAGGCAGTCAATCCTTACTACCCTTATGCTATGGATACCCAGAGTTAAAACACCAAAATACTTTATTTCAAGATAAATGTTATAATCTGATTAGGAGAAATGCAAATTACCTTAACATCTATTATGAGCTTCATTTTGTCAGTATCCAATTTTCTCTTAAGTTGGTCAATTGCATGCTGTACCTCAGTGATCTGGATTATAAGGTAATTCTGTGTGAGATATATAAAGATATCTTTATTTAGTATAACGTCTACTCATTTTTAACTACCTTGCAACATAAGCTATGAAGCGACAACAAATATCGAAAGAGCAAATCATGAAAATAACCTATTCCATAAAATAAACATTGCTTTGGGGTAAATTACTATTGACTGCTGATTTCTTATGTTTTAGGGACCACTTTCTCTTCTGTTCTACTACCATTATTCATGTATTATAAAAATAAATGATATTTGTAAAAGTTACCATTAAATTAGCACCATAAAAGCCAACAACTATTACTATGAAAGGAATACACTAGTTTTACGATACTAGAAGGCTTTAGAAATTGGCATAACACTTTATGAGCTAAGTCAGATTAGAATTACTTTAAAATATTTAGTAATGACATACTATATTTCATACAAGGAAATCTATTTAATACAAGAAAACATTTAATATGAGAAGCTCTTTTGGTTACTTTTCAGAAAAGTTTATGAGGTATAATGGTCAACAAAGAAATTATTTAAAATTTTAAGCTGCCTTTGTGAAAAACACAGCATATATTGAACTTGATAAAACAGTAAGATAAAAAGTATCAGCTATCTAAAAAAAAAATCAGCTAATATGGACAAACCATTACTTGAGCTTAACTGGATTTTACATTAAATTTATCTAAAATAGTAAACTTTTACTCAGAGAAACAGAGAAGAGATTGGTGGTTGTCAGAGGCAGGGAGTGGGGGTGAGGGAAATGGGTGAAGGTGGTCCAAGGGTACAAACTTGTAGGTATAAGACAAATAAGTTCTGGGGATGTGGCACATAGCGTGGTAACTACAGTTAACAATACTGTATTCTATATTTGAAAGTTGCTGAAAATAGATCTTAAGTTATCATCCTAAGAAAAAAATCTGTAACTAAGTAAGGTAATGGATGTTAACTAAACCTATTATGGTAGAAATTTCACAATGTATACATAAATCAAATCATTAGGTTATATATCTTTAATATAATTTTATATGTCAATCATATCTCAGTAAAACTGGGAAAAAAATACAAGAGTAAACTTTTAATATTTCATCATGTCTAAAGTTAAATCCATACTCTTAATCATAATTAACATATGATAAAATCTTTTTTGGATAAGTGGGATCAGCCAACAAAAATTAAACTGATAACTGGCCTCCAGAAATTGTTTGTTGTTTAATTATATGGTGGAATTATTCAATTAAAAAATAAACTTCATGTCTCTCATCTGTCAAGATTCAAGACTATCTCAAGAAAAAAGTGAACAAAATTAATACAATTTAATAATTTCTTTCGAATATCAATACCTTTAGATTCCGTTGGTATTATTACCCACCCACCCCCACAACCAAAAAAAAAGGAACACAGTGAACACTGTTAGTCTGCTGTCATCCTTCATGAAGTATTCATCTCTTTCCCATAGAATCAGAAAAAGTGACCCAATTGCCAAGTACAGAGGTAGATCCTAAGTAGTCTAAGTCAGCACACAGCATTCTCCAGGAACTATTAGCAATCCAGAGCAGGCCTGGTTGATCTGTCACCATGCTAAAGGGAAAGTTTCATATACTCCATGCATCTGGGAGAGGTTCTCTCTTGTTTTAGAGGCATATAGCCTTAGCTTGCCTTTGGCAACTTTATTGCTACCATGAGGAAAAACAGTCTTACAATGAAGCCAACACTGAAAATAACAGGGATAAAATATCAGCAGCACCTTGGCCCTTAAAGACATCATTAAGCAGCAGATTGTATCTCCTCAGCACCCTCTACATGAGATGATGAATTTTCTTATTGTTTAAGCCAGTTCAAGTCAATGTTTTGTTACCTATAGCCCAAAGCATCCTAAATATGATAATACGAACAATTATAAAGCATATATATATGTACATTTTTTAGATTGGCACCTGAGCTAACATCTGTTGCCAATCTTTTTTTTAAATTTATTTTTTCTTCTCCCCAAAGCTCCCCAGGACATAGTTGTATATTCTAGTTGCAGGTCCTTCTGGTTGTGCTATATAAAGCATATATTTTGAATAGAACTTCTCTAATAGAATGTGAACACATTTAGTAGTACCTTAGAGTCTGTGATGTTTGCCAGATTCTTTGGTCTCATCTTGATCTCCCTGGCTTCAAGTTGCATGAGCAATTTTTTATAATACAGTTCCAGATCTTCTCTAAGTTTTGTTAAAACTTCTTCCAATGATGCTGTAACTTTCTTTGTTTCAAAGTACTTTTTCTTCCAACCATCAGAGGCTACAAAAAAAAACCAAAGCCTATAGTTTGAGTCAGACTAAAGGATTAAACTTTTCAATCTGGAAAGGACCCTAGAGTTAATTTAAACCCTTCTCCTCTCTCCTCTTCCTCCTTTATATGCTAAGGACTTTAGAGCTAGGAGTGAAATGTTTACTGAATTATAAAAAGACTTGTCTACAAACATAGTAAAATAGTGATAAATCCAGGGACCACAACCAAGTTCTTCTTTAAGTTTGTAGTTATTTCTAAAAAATCTTTATTAAAAATATTACCTATAGCAAAATATGTATACTTTTTATTTTGATTACTTTTTTCCATAATCTGATTTTAATTATTATTTATATAATTAAAACTATGAAAGAAAAAGGCATAATATATTTTTTTAGATTTTTCCTTATTTTATCACCCCCTAAAATGACTACGTCTTGTCAAATCAGCTGATTCTGATTCATCATTTATCAAAATTATTCCCAATATAGCCCAAACCTCTATAGGGCAGAAGTTTCTCAAACCTGAGACCCTTGGTTGAGAAAATTGGAAATTAAACACTGCCAATTTAGGGAATCACTTTGACACCAGTGAGATTCTAAATACAAACTTAACAGGAACACAAACTACATGCTAGTCTACCAGAATATGCTTATGTTAATTTTTTTTATTGAGTTATTGATAGGTTACAATCTTGTGAAATTTCAATTGTACATTAATGTTTGTCAGTCATCTTGTAGGTGCACCACTTCACCCTTTGTGCCCACCCCCCACCCCACCTTTCCCCTGGTATCCACTAAACTGTTCTTAGTCCATAATTTTAAATTCCTCATATGAGTGGAGTCATACACAGATTACCTTTCTCTTGCTGGCTTATTTCGCTTAACATAATTCTCTCAAGGTCCATCCACGTTATTGCAAATGGAATGATTTTGTTCTGTTTTGCAGCTGAGTAGTATTCCATTGTATATATGTACCACATCTTCTTTATCCATTCGTCTGTTGCTGGACACAGGTTGCTTCCACGTCTTGGCTATTGTAAACAGTGCTGCAATAAACATTGGGGTGCATAGGACTTTTGGGATTGCTGACTTCAAGCTCTTTGGATAAATACCCAGTAGTGGGATGGGTGGATCGTATGGTAGTTCTATTTTTAATTTTTTGAGGAATCTCCATACTGTTTTCCATAGTGGCTGCACCAGTTTGCATTCTCACCAGCAGTGTATGAGGGTTCCTTTTTCTCCGCAACCTTTCCAACATTTGTTGCTATTAGTTTTAGATATTTTTGTCATTCTAACGGGTGTAAGGTGATATCTTAGTGTAGTTTTGATTTGCATTTCCCTGATGATCAGCGATGATGAGCATCTTTTCATGTGCCTATTGGCCATCAGTATATCTTCTTTGGAGAAATGTCTGTTCATGTCTCCAGCCCATTTTTTGATTGGGTTGTTTGATGTTTTGTTGTTGAGTTGCGAGAGTTCTTTATATAGTATGGGTATTAAGCCTTTGTCAGATATATGACTTGCAAATATTTTTTCCCAGTTAGTGGGTTGTTTTTTTGTTTCAATCCTGTTTTCATTTGCCTTGAAGAAGCTCTTTAATCTGATGAAGTCTCATTTGTTTATTCTTTCTATTGCTTCCCTTCTCTGAGAAGGCATGGTGTCTGAAAAGATCCTTTTAATACTGATGTCAAAGAGTGTACTGCCTACGTTTTCTTCCAGAAGCCTTATGGTTTCAGGTCTCACCTTTAGGTCTTTGACCCATTTTGAGTTTATTTTGGTGAATGGTGAAAAAGAATGGTCAATTTTCATTCTTTTACATGTGGCTTTTCAGTTTTCCCAGCACCATTTGTTGAAAAGACTTTCTTTTCTCCATTGTATGCCCTCAGCTCCTTTGTCAAAGATAAGCTGTCCAAAGATGTGTGGTTTTATTTCTGGGCTTTCACTTCTGTTCGATTGATCTGTGCACCTGTTTTTGTACCAGTACCATGCTGTTTTGATTACTGTAGCTTTGTAATATGTTTTGAAGTCAGGGATTGCGATGCCTCCCATTTTGTTCTTTTTTCTCAGGATTGCTTTAGAAATTCGGGGTCTTTTGTTGCCCCATATGAATTTTAGGATTCTTTGTTCTAATTCTGTAAAGAATGTCATTGGGACTCTGATTGGGATGGCGTTGAATCTGTAGATTGCTTTAGGTAGAACGGATATTTTAACTATGTTTATTCTTCCAATCCATGTACATGGAATGTCTTTCCATCTCCTTATGTCGTCATCCAATTCTCTCAGAAAGGCCTTGTAATTTTCATTCTATAGGTCCTTCACTTCCTTAGTTAAATTTACCCCAAGGTATTTTATTCTTTTTGTTGCGATTGTGAATGGTATTGTATTCTTGAGTTCTTTTTCTGTTGATTACTGGAGTATAGAAATGCTACTGATTTATGCAAACTGATTTTATACCCTGCAACTCTGCTGTAGTTGTTGATTACTTCTAACAGTTTTCCAATGGATTCTTTGGGGTTTTCTATATATAAGATCATGTCGTCTACAAACAGCAAGAGTTTCACTTCTTCCCTTCCTATTTGGATTCCTTTTATTCCTTTTTCTTGCCTGATTGCTCTGGCCAGGACCTCCAGTACTATGTTAAATAAGAGTAGTGATAGAGGGCATCCTTGTCTCGTTCCTGTTTTCAGGGGGATGGGGTTCAGTTTTTGCCCATTGAGTATGATGTTGGCTATGGATTTGTCGTATATGGGCTTTATTATGTTGATGTAGTTTCCTTCTATGCCCATTTTGTTCAGAGTTTTTATCATAAATGGCTGTTGGATCTTGTCAAATGCCTTCTCTGCATCTATTGAGATGATCATGTGGTTTTTATTCCTCAGTTTGTTGATGTGGTGTATCACGTTGATTGATTTGCGGATGTTGAACCATCCCTGTGTCCCTGGTATGAATCCCACCTGATCCTGATGTATGATTCTTTTGATGAATTGCTGAATTCTGGTTGCCAAAATTTTGTTTAGAATTTTTGCATCTATGTTCATCAGTGATATTGGCCTGTAGTTCTCTTTTTTCGTGGTGTCCTTGTCAGGTTTTGGTATCAGCGTGATGTTGGCCTCATAGAATGTGTTAGGAAGTGTTCCATCTTCCCTAATTTTTTGGAATAGCTTGAAAAGGATGGGTATTAAATCCTCTCTGAAAGTTTGGTAGAATTCCCCAGGAAAGCCATCTGGTCCTGGGGTTTTATTCTGTGGGATGTTTTTGATTGCTGTTTCAATCTCTTTCCTTGTGATTGGTCTGTTCAAATTGTCTGCCTCTTCTTGAGTGAGCTTTGGGAGATCGCAGGAGTCCAAGAATTTATCCATTTCCTCTAGGTTATCCATTCTGTTGGCATATAGTTTTTTGTAGTATTCTCTTCTAATCTGCTGTATTTCTGCAGAGTCTGTTGTTATTTCTCCTCGCTCATTTCTGATTTTGTTTATTTGAGCTTTCTCCCTTTTTTTCTTTGTAAGTCTGGCTAGCAGTTTGTCAATTTTACTTATCTTCTCAAAAAACCAGCTCTTTGTCTCATTGATCCTTTCTACTGCCTTTTTCGTTTCAATAGTATTTACTTCTGCTCTGATTTTTATTATTTCTCTCCTTCTGCTAACTTTGGGCTTCATTTGTTCTTTTTTCTCTAGTTCAGTTAGGTGTGCTTTAAGGTTGCTTATTTGGGATTTTTCTTGTTTGTTAAGATGTGCCTGTACTGCGATGAATTTTCCTCTTAATACAGCTTTTGCTGTATCCCATATGAGTTGGTATGGCATGCTATCATTTTCATTTATTTCCAGGTATTTTTTTATTTCTTCTTTAATTTCTTCAATGATCCATTGCTTGTTCAGTAGTGTGTTTAGTCTCCACATCTTTGTGCCTTTCTCAGCTTTTTTCTTGTAATTAATTTCTAGCCTTATAGCACTATGATCTGAGAAGATGCTTGTTATTATTTCAATTTTTTTAAATTTGTAGAGGCTTTCCTTGTTTCCCAACATATGGTCTGTCCTGGAGAATGTTCCATGTGCACTTAAGAATGTGTATTCAGCTCTTTCAGGGTGGAGTGATCTATATATGTCTATTAAGTCCAATTGTTTTAGTTTTTCATTTAGTTCCACTATTTCCTTGTTGATTTCCTGTCTGGATGATCTGTCCATTGATGTGAGTGGGGTGTTGAGGTCCCCTACTATTATTGTGTTGTTTTTAACATCTTCCTTTAGGTTTGTTAATAGTTGCTTTATGAATCTTGGTGCTCCTGTGTTGGGTGCAAAGATATTTATAAGCGTTATTTCTTCTTGATGAAGTGTCCCTTTGATCATTATATATTGTCCCTCTGTGTCTCTCTTTACCTGTCTTATTTTGAAATCCACTTGGTCTGATATGAGAATTGCAACACCTGCCTTTTTTTCCTTGCTATTTGCTTGAAGTATTGTCCTCCACCCCTTCACCGAGTCTGTGTTTGTCCTTGGGGCTGAGGTGTGTTTCCTGGAGGCAACAAATTGTTGGATCTTGTTCTTTAATCCATTTTGCCACTCTGTGTCTTTTTATTGGAGAGTTCAATCCGTTCACATTGAGAGTGATTATTGATGCATGTGGACTTAATGCTGTTAATCTGTCGCTCATTATCTTGTTTTCCTGTGTTTCTTTTCCTGTGTGCTTTAGACTTCCCATTTAATACTGCAATTTCTTATGCTGGGTTTCTTAGATTTTTCCGTATTTATGATTTGTGACTCTGTTCTGTACTTTATTTTAGTGTCTACCTTTAAGTTTGTATTTAGAATCTCGTGTATAATATAGTCTATTCTCTGGTGGTCTCTTACCTACTTGACCAATACTGATTTAGACCCTTTGCTCTTCCCCTCCTAAATAATTATTTTCATTTTTTATTCCAACTCGTCTTATTAATTTGTAGTTAGAGTGCTAAGATCGTCCTTGTTTTGGTAGTTTCCTTACCTTTACCCTAATGCTATAATCGAATATTTGCTATCCTGTTCTGGTTCTATCCATCGGTCTCCCTAGTCTGTGGATTGTGTCCCCTTTCTCCCTTTTTTCTTTTTTCAAGTATGAGAGCCTTCTTGAGGATTTCTTGTAACGGAGGGCTTTTAGTTACAAATTCCCTTAACTTTTGTTTGTCTGGAAAAGATTTAATTTCTCCCTCTCATCTGAAGGAAATTCTTGCTGGATAGAGTATTCTTGGCTGAAGGTTTTTATCCTTTAAAGCTTTGAATATATCACTCCATTCTCTCCTAGCTTGTTGGGTTTCTGTAGAGAAATCTGCTGACAGTCTGATAGGGGCTCCTTTATAGGTTATTCTCTTTTTTTTCTTACTTCCCTGAGTATTCTCTCCTTATCATTCCTATTTGCCAACTTTACTACTATGTGCCTTGCAGTAGGTCTTTTTACATTGACAAATCTAGGAGATCTAAAACCCTCCTCTACACACATTTCTCCGTTGATCCCTAGATTTGGGAAGTTCTCTTCAATAATTTCGTTAAGCACACTTTCTGCTCCATTTTCCTTTTCCATACTCTCGGGAATTCCTATGATCCTTATGTTCTTACTCCTCATTGAATCCATTATCTCTCGGAGATTTTCCTCATTTTTTTTAATTCTTAGTTCTCTTTCTTCCTCTGTCTGGCGCCATTCAGCCGGTCTATCCTCGATTATGCTAATTTTCTCCTCTACGTTGTCTACACGGGCATTCAGGGAATCCGTATTCTGTTTTATCTGGTCCATTGTGTTTTTCATCTCAAGCAATTCTGTTTGATTCTTCTTTATGATTTCAATCTCTTTTGTGAAGTAACTCCAGAACTCGGCTTGTTTCTCTATCTTTCTGTCTACCTCATTGAGTTTTTTGATTATAGCTGCTCTGAATTCATTATCACTTAGTTCACCTAATTCCAAGTCCTCAGGACTTAATTCTGTGTTTTTATTGTTTTCCTTCTGGTCTGGGGCTTTTATAAATTGCTGGATGGTAGAGGAGCGGTTTTTTCTCATGGTGGTAGAATTCAGGTGCAGTTACAGCCTGTCGCCACTAGATGGGGGTCGAGAGTGGCGTGTTATGAGCTCTCCACCTTCGGGCAAGATGGCTGCGCCCACTGGCTTCGCTGCTGGGGAGGGGCTGTTACTCACATGCACCGGTCTGGGTTCAATCAGTTCTGTTCTCTGGTCTCCCAAGGCCCTTGATTTATGGGGTCCCCGCAGACAGAAGCTTTCCCCCTGTCAGCGGGTCTCCACTGAATCAGCGGCAGGAGTCCTGGATGATCCCCCGGTCACGCGGCCCCTCCCCCGCTCCTTCCCGACCGGCGCCACAGCGATCGCAGACTCTAGGGGAGGGAGCAGTGTTCTCTCCTACCGTTCCAGCGCCTCCGGAGGGTGTAAGCAAGGTTTATGATCTCCGCCTTCTTGGTATTGTAGGTCTCTAACGAGCTGGCATTATGTTTATTCTCTGAAATTCAGTTCTTCCAATCTTTTGTTGTATTTTGGAGGGGAGAGAATCCCAGGTCAGCTCACCCCGCCATTTTGCTCCACCCCCAGGAACCATGTTAATTTTTTTAAGATTATCAAAAAAATGTAAACCCTAAATTTAAAAATTCTATGATATAAGATGATTTGATTAAAATTATATAACTTTATGACAGTTTATCTTAGGATTTTAGCTATTTATTTCCCTCACGTCCTATATCCAATCCCTCACCAAGTTCTACTGGTAGATTGTCCAAAATACTGTTCAAAATACTTCCAGGATCTGGCACATCCCACCTTCTTCAATGCTACATCCCTAACTCAATCCACCAGTGTCTTTTGAAAGTTGCATTACCTTTCTCTGTTCCCACTCTTGCCCCTCTACATGCTATACCATACAGCAGTTATTCTGATCTTTCTAAAATATTTTAAAAATCGTGTAAATCCCTAGCTTAAAAATCCTCCAGTGGCTTCTCATCTTACTTAGAATAAAATCCAAACTCCTTGAATTGACCTGTGTGTTCCTCGCTGACCTTTTTTTTTTTTTGAGGAAGAGTAGCCCTGAGCTAACATCTGCCACCAATCCTTTTTTTACTGAGGAAGACTGGCCCTGAGCTAACATCTGTGCCCATCTTCCTCTACTTTATATGTGGAATGCCTGCCACAGCATGGCTTGACAAGCGGTGCCATGTCTGCACCCAGGATCCAAAGCAGCGAAACCCGGGCCACCGAAGCAGAACATGCACACCTAACTGCTGCACCACCGGGCCAGCCCCTGACCTTTTGGTTTTATCTCCCTTGACATTTCTCCTTATTTCTCATGCTCCAGCCACACTGGCCTTATTCAGGTCCTTAATAACACAAGCTCATTCCTATCTCTGGACTTTGACATTTATATTCCTTCTGTTCGGACTCTTTTTCCTGTATCTCTTCACATGCCTGCCTCCTTGTTAATCAAATCTTAATGATATCTCCTCAGAGAAGTCTTCCCTGCAAACTCCAAAGCATCTCTCCTGCCCTATGACTATTACGCTCTTTTAAATTGACATCTCCACTCTGATCAGTAGCTGATATCGCCTAACTTATTTGTTTATTGTCTCTCTCCTCCCACTAGAGGCAAGCTCCTTAAGGGGAGGACCATGTCTGTCTTGTTTACTCTTGTATCCTCAGCATCTAAAACAATGCTGAGAATTGAGGCACATAGGAGGTTCAGTACATACTTGATGGCTGATACATGCCTTTTATCTTGAAACATTCCTGTTGAAGCAGAAATTGATCATTCTCATTTTATAATCAGAGTGAGGCACAAAGAGGAGAAATAAGTTGTGTAAGTAAAAGATTGATCTGGTATTAGAATCCTGGTCCTGTGATTTCCAGTCCATTGCTCAAATTTGTCTGATAAAATTGCTCTTGTAACAGTATAACAAGGCTGAGTCACTGCCACCACGTCCAGGATAACACTTTAATATTATGAGGTGGAACTGTCAGAAATCTCTCTTGATATTGTCCATAACCTTCAGTCAGTTCTAGTACTGAAGCAATAATTTTGCTGTAAATTGAGAATCCTAAAATCAGTCAACTCCATATATACCTTTCACCCTTATAATCCTCACACACAACCCAAAATGCAGGCCTCTCAAATTGTTAAATATCTCTCAAATGATTATCTTATATTTTCTCCACATTGGCTCATTTTTCCACTTCCACCAGTCCGAACAACACTCTTTCTAATTCTATTGCAAGAAAACTACCTACTTTTGCTACATAATTTCTCACATTCATTAAGTTTAGCAAAGCAGACAGAATACATATCAAAAAATTAAGCACCTAGGGGAGACTAAGGGACTCAAAGAAGGCTTCTAAAGTGATATCCAAACTGAGATTGAATGATTAGTAGGAAATAGCCACATAAACTGGGAAGAAAGGGATAGAAGGAGAAGATAGGAGAAAAAGATGTAGCCATCAGAGGGAAAAGCATGCCTGAAGGCCTGCAGCTAAGAGGCACAAGCCAAGAGGAGTCACACTTCAGATTCTAGGCTATGTAACACTCTTCCTGGAAGCCTTTCTTGGAATCTCTTCCATCTAATTTAGGTGTTCTTCTTCTGGCTTCCTATGCACAGAATTCTGTAATTCCCTTACCATAGCCTTCATCAGGATGTGTCATTACTACTTAACTTGATTATCATTTCCCATTTGAAAGCAGGGACAAGATTGTGTCTGCTACTAGTATCTACTCAGCCCCTAGAACAGTGGCTAAATTCAGTAGGCACTTAACAAATATTTAATAAATGAATGGAAGAATGAATAAAAAAAATGAATGCCAGTTATAAGAAATATTTTAATTTTAAAAATCCTATGTAAAGCATGTTTCACTTATTGTGTAAAGAGTTGAACAATGATTTTATGTTTTCTATCAACAGTGTACTGGTTAAACCATAACATAAAATAGTAAATATTAATTAATTATAATTTTCTTATTTATTTTAAAACATAAATTCTATAAAACTGCTATGACATATTGAATTTGATTTTTTTGTGTGTGTGTGGGGAAGGATTTGCCCTGAGCTAACATCTGTTGCCAATCTTCCTCTTTTTGTTTTTCCCTCCCCAAAGCCCCAGTGCATGCTTTTATATCCTAGTTGTAAGTCCTTCTAGTTCTTCTATGTGAGCCGCTGCCACAGCATGGCAACTGACAGACAGTTGGTGTGGTTCAGCAACTAGGGATGAACCCAGGCTGCTGAAGCAGTGAGAATGCCGAACTTTAATCAATAGGCCATCAGGACTGGCTCTTAAGTTTTCTTTATAGTGATGAAAGATAAGTAATAAACTTTACCTTGATACCTCTTCAATCTGCTTTGTTCAAATAGCTTTTCAACTTTTTTTACTAGTTCTTCTCTAATTCTTTCCAGATACCTTCTTTCTTCTTTTACTTGTTTCATTTGTTCAATAATCTTCTCTCCTAAGATTATAACCCATACTCATCAATGTCTAAAAGCTAGAAGATGGTTCATATCCTAAAATACAGAGTGTAAAACCTAAAAGTGCTTAAAACAGCAAGAATAAATTATATATATATATACATACACACACACACACACAAAAGAAAAACTCTGTTTTTCTTGCTGCAGGATAGCATTTGCCACTCTGAAAAACAGAGAGGAGTCATTTCAGTTTCCAAGAGTGACATATAGGGGGATTTATATTTATGTAAAGAATACAGTATGTGTCTTCTGCATTTACATATATGCATAGAAACTAGGTAAAACTCAGGTAGTTACACTTCTTGGTTTAATTCTTTTGGCCAAAGTTATTGCACTTAAATCTTACATGGAAAATGTACATTTTAAAGTATTTTTTTAAAAGCAGAATAATAATACTGACTAAACATACACAGTAATCAACATAAAATTCATATACTTCAAAATAATTTAACTTTTTTGCTGTAAAATACAGACAATAAAATTTAGTATTTTAACCATTTTTAAATGTACAGATCGATGGCATTGTGTGTGTTCACAATGTTGTGCAACCATCACCACCATCCAACTCCAGCACTTTTTTATCTTCCCAAACTGAACCTCTATACCCATTAAACACCAATTCCTCATTATTTAACTGCCTCACAGAATCACCTGTACTTACGGTGTCATCATACTTACTCTCAATCTGTAATAAGGAGATAGTTATTCCTGGAGAAAGAGCAGGAAGTGAAGGAAAATCAATAAGATCTGGTAGGGTGACACACTCTTTTTTACCTATCTGTAAGCAAACATGACAATTGGTAAGAGCTGGTAGGGTGACGTTATTTTTCACCTATCTGTAAGCATTTGGTAATCCACAACAGCAACACATTTTTTTTACTTATATGGTGAGGAACTCCCATTCTGTATTTACAGCTATAGACTCTCTTATGCTCCAACTTCTCCATTCCACCGTTACTTGGATATTATACACAGGTGCATCAAACTTTAAAAAAAAAGAATCCATTATTCCTTTCTCAATGTGATTTCCTTCCAAGATTTCTGATCTCAGTTACTTGTTATGATAACTTTTAAAATTTTTCTAAGATGGCTAGTGATTTTTTCATCTTTAGCCAATTTTGATAATTTATATTTGCTTACAAAATTGGAAATTATCTCACATTTAAAAATTTTTGCATATATTTTATTCTTATATATTTTATCTCCTTTCTATTTGTGCTTATATAGGCGTCATCTTTCCTAATTTTTATGTTTCCACTCTTTTTTTATAAACTACCTAAATCCTTACCAATGTTGATGTTTCTCCCACTACTACTGTATAGATCTTGAATTGTTTTTAATTCTGCTAGGATTTTTACTTCTTTAACTTATTAGTTTCTACTTGTATGTTCATTAAGCCCTTACTCCTACTTTCTTTGTTTTATTATTCTTTTTCTAGTTTCTTTTCTTTTCTTAATTTATAAGGTCAAGTTCCCACAGGATAACGACAACCACCTAAATTAGAATCTCTCCACACACCCTCCCAACTACTAAAAAAGGAAAGCAAGTAAAATCACCCATAATTTATATCTACAGCATAGCTAGGATACAGAATCCTTTAATTTTCACATACTTTAATTTACACATAAGTAAGGAAATAAACATCCTGGACCAGCAGAGAGTGCCCAGGATCCTGCATCTAAGCAGAGTCAGATGTGGACTACGCATTAGAGAGAATATACACAGATAAAATATACACAGTAAAAACCAACCACGGTTTAGTCTGGAAGGACAAGGCCCTACATCCAGAAGAGAAATACTGAGAATAAGGATAAGATCTGGTAAATGACAGCACTTTCTATGAGGAGTCCAAAAGAAAAGGGCTTGTAAAATGTATGGGGCCAGAGATGCTCAGTTAATCATGGGAAGACATGGCTTCTGGCAGAGAGAAAAATGCTTCAGAAGCAAAAGGTGCTCCTTCAGGGCTAGATGGTAAGAGAAAAGAAGTGGCCAAGATAAAAGCTCTGCTGAATCAAGTTAGTAGAAAAGAATTCAAGGAAAACAGACTCCTTCCCCAAAAGGTCCCATTCAAAAATAAATAAATAAATAAATAAATAACTGCATTTGACTATATCAACAGAAGAGGGCACTCCTGACCTAAGAAGCAGAATAAGCCACCAAAATGCCCCTCCTTGTTCCTCTATAAGAACACCCGTGACTACTAATACAGAAAAATCCAACACAATAAACATGGACAACATCTACAAAATAATTTGGCATCCACACAACGTTACTTTTTAAAAACCCTCAAAGTTGAGAACTAAAACAAAACAAAACAAAAATAGGCAACCATGAAGCAGAGAAAAACTTAACAATACTTCCAACATAGATTAAATATAATTAAGCAAACACTTGCAGATATTAACAAACACTGTAAATCTGAAATTTAAAAACTCAGACGAAAAATGGAAAACAACAGGAAGATGTGAAATGGAAGTTGGCCAAACTGAAGAAAGAATTTAAAGACAAAATACAATTTTCTCAGAAATGAATAAATTAGCAGATATCTAAGAAGGAACAGATATGACCAAAAATACACTAAGGATAACGGAGGACAAAAATGAAAGGAGCAAAGAAAATGCAACATAAATAAAGAAAACAGTAAAACAGATCAGAGAGAAAGTGCTATATATAAAAGGTAAAGAAGATCTAAGATAAGACTAACTGTGATCTTGTAGAACAAATCTGCTATTTAAATTGTTCTCTAAATTATTATTTCAGAAACATTCTTGAAATAAAAGTTTTCCAACCTTAGAGGTTAGAGGATGGGAGACAAACCTCAAGAAAATTCAAGAGCCTGCCAAATCACTGAAATTTCTGGTAGTTCCCTGGTGTGGGACATGTTGAGACTGCCCCTTTAAAGTGAAAAACAGGTTTTTGCATCCAGCCTCAGCTACCAGTGAGAATGAGTTTGGAGAAATAGTTACAGCATTTGGACATGCTGCTATTTTTTCTTTTTCAATCAAGTAATCTAAAAGACTGTCCATTTTGAGTGGGCCCAAGGTAAGAGAAGGCTCACAAGGTGATCCAAGAGGCTTTGCATGTGGTGCCGCCACTTGTGTTTGTGTGCTGATCCAATGATGCTTGATGTGTGGTAGATTGGAATCATGGAGTCTGCGACAAGCCCTAGTAGAAAAATTACAGCTCAGAGGTCTTGGGTTTTGAAGCAAAGGCATGGCATCTTCAGCAAATCTTTGTTGTTCTACTGTTTTAATCTGCAGCTTCATTTCAATTTTAGTATAAATGCTATGTTGCAATACCACATGTAAACAAAAATTTTTAAATCATACCTGATTGTCCTCTCTTCTAATGATATTACCTCTATCATCTTCATTTTTCTGAAACAACTGACTTAAAGGGAAAGATAGATTTGAAAGTCATATTAAAAAATGATTCCATAAATATTAGCTTTTCATATGTTATATATTTTGTCTGTAAACACAAATATAACATTAAAAATTTTTTAAAGTCAGTCTAAGACTATTATTGTATTATCTTTCAAACTCAATGATAACCATAAACTACATTTAGTATGAATAATAAAATTGTATTTTACTATATTATTGATAAATTCAAATCATAATCCAACGTCCATAGCAAGCTAAAATAACCAGAAATTTTATAAACATATTTTCCTCATAGTTCTTTTGTGAATAACTGTTTATAAATTCCTTGTCAATTTCAAAAGACTATATGCAAAACTAAGTGCTATAATTTTGAATGAAGTGATACCAATGTGAAACCCAAGCATACTGATTAGGTTACCCATAATCAAGAATCTAAGAGAGGGAGAAAAATCAGTTCTAAGAAAGGCAAACAAAGATAGAAATTTTTCTGTCATTAGGTTGCCCCTAATGACAAAAGGATTACAATGGAAATAAATTTAAGCAATAGATTATTTCTCATTATATAGGATTAGCATGTTTGTATATTACAGTAAAGTTCTGAATCAAGGTAATTTTAATCGAAAAGATCACTAATTTCACTTGTATCTTTGTTCTAATTAGAAGTCCTTGACAGCACCCTGCATATCTCACTCCTTTTCTCATAGTTTAGATTATGACATGTGGAATCAACATCTATACTAATTACCTTTCTCTGCTGCTAAAATAATCATTGTCTGAATCTTCCAATGATCCTGGCAATTCAGAATTTCCAGTTTGATTTTTTCCAGTCTGGCTTTCTTTTGGAGTGGCTTTTCCCCAAGCTGATGTAGATGTTCATCCAATAGCAAATAAAGTTCATAATATTAAGAACATACTAAAATAAAATTTTGATTTTATATGTACATGCTATAACCTTGTCCTATGTTTCAGAATCTCCAGGAACTCTACTATACATGATACAAGGCAACAATTTCCAAAGTGAATTTCACGAAACATTAGTTTATGTGACACGAGAATTATTTGGTCAATTTAGTTTGGGAAAAATTGGATTAAGCAACCCTAACAGGACAACAAACCTATACACACCATACATACATATACACACACACACTCCTATTGCAGGATTTCTCTGTTTTTATGTACAATGAGAATTTTCAAGGGGGGGATAAGTTGAGTTTTACTCAAACTTGTCTTCAGAAAGCTTTTAGTATTCTGAGGAACCTTCTCTGCAAAATGCTGGTATAAATATAGGGCATATAATGTCATTTGTTATTTCACATACATTTCCATTTATAAAATCTCCCCTCAGTTTAAGAGAATTTCTCCATATTGGAAAACTACACAATCTGTCATTAAAACATTAACATTAATTTTCTACGTGATCTACATGAACAAAAGATCCATGAACCTGGCAGTGTCAATATAGATTTTTTTCCCTTGGAGAAATCAATTTTTTTTTAATTTAGGAAAAAATGAATGAGTCAAGTCAATATTTGAAAAGTCATTTTACAAGGGTTGCCACAATATTTTGCAACCTGAAGCCCGTATTGGTTTAATTTTAGACTGGCTGCTACCATTTATTTCCCAGCTGGCACTGGAACAGTCATTTAAGGACAACAAACAGGGATTTTCTAAAAGCTATATTCAATGCAAAATGAACAAAAAATGGATATACCAGCTGTTTAAAAGCTAAGAGTAAAAACACTGCTCCCCACATTCATCCCCCCAAAAAACAATGCAAAACAGTAGATTTTGAGTTACATTTTGATAGCGATACAGGACATTTATCTCTTATTCCTAGTAACAGCTTAAAGCATGATGCACTGCACCATTCAATACCTATGCAATTTAATGACAAAAAGAAAGCAAGCCTATTTACTTCTGAAAAAATCATAATACAGTATTTTGCGAGCTATAATAAATATACGTATAAAATGTTAGAGATTCACAGAAAAGGGAGTGATGACTGTGAAACTATGTTTTGAACTGTGAGATGTTTGCCTGGCAAAGAAGAGAGTAAGGAGTTTAAGCAAAGAAAACAGCAAGACAGAGTACAATGTATGCAGCATTTGTGGCAACAGTGAAAGGTTCAGTATGACTCCAGCACAGTGTTGTAAAGCATGGGCTTAGTCAAACGCACAAGAGTTCAAGTCCTGGCATTATCATAGCAGGTGTGAGCTCAGGTAAGTTATTTCTCTAATGTCAGTGTCCTTATCTCTAAAGTGGCATAGCGCATGTACAGCACCCAGCACAGTGCCCAGTCCTTACAAGCCTCTTGCCTTTAAGTTCTGATTTCTATTTCACTGCATTTCCTGGTTCAAGTCTTTATTACTTCAGTCTTTTCTCCATATTGTCACCTAAGTCGTTTTTCTAGAACTGAAATCCCATCATGCCATTCCTGTTAAAAACTTCAGATGGCTTCCCACTACCTACAAAATTCCTTAGCTTTGCAAGAAAGGCTTTTGCAGTTCAAGTCCCTACCTACCTCTCCCCAAGTGTACTTCATGGAACTTCTTCCTCTCCTTCCTATCCCCAAACTATAATAATACTAATAGTATTATACGATTCCTAGCTAAAAATTATTGAACCAACGACCACATTAAGCAAATCCTGAAAGCTCCACTTATATCATTATCTATATGAGGGAAGCCGGAGTCAGGCAGTGAACAACCTGCATGGCCAAAATTTGCAACCCTGGGTTTGAAGTCAGAGTATGAAGGTTCTCTATGCCATGTTAAGGAACTTGGGCTTTAAACAGTAATCAGTCTTTCAAAGGTTTTCAAGCAAGGAGATAAATAATCCAACCTGTAAGAAGAAAAATGATTATGACAGCACTCTTGAGGATAGATTAGAAAGGAGATTATAAGCAAGGAGGCTAGTCAGGATGGTTTTTAAGATTCCTTTTCCCTATGAGTCTATTATTCTACAATAAGGGAAATTTCAAAGCTTAAAGTCTGAATAACTGGAAGAATGACGAAACCAAGGAAAAAAATCAAGAAAGTATACTGGTTTGGGGGCAAAGATAGAGTCAAGTATTGAAAATGTTATAAGTTGAGGCAGGCCAAAAATGTAAAGCTGTGTAGCACAGACCCATGGGAAAGAAGAGAAGATAACAAATGGAAGGGAATACTCATTTCTATATGAAAAATGGGAGAGCAATACTTCTTTTCTCTCTCATTAAAGGACTTGTAAAACATACTGTGCATATTATTATCAGTCATACTTGATAATATTACAATGTTAGAGCTCAGATATTTTGCATTCTCATGCACTACTAAAGACCAATTAGGCAATTTTAAGAAACTGCACAACTATCATAAATAAATGGTAGTGTACATATGGAAAAATTAAGGAACTCTATCTCACATCACACTTAAAAATTAATTCCTGGTAGACTAATGAACTAAATGTGAAAAGCAAACTATAAAATGTTTGTAAGATAATACAGGACCCTATTTTCATGATCACAGAGTAAAAATGGGATTTTTAAAGAAAATATAAACACTAACCATAAAAGAAAATGCTAATAAACGTGACTATATTAAAATTTAAGAACTGCAGTTCCACTTCTGCTTAAGACGTAGAAAGACAAAAGAGTGCTCCCACCTGAATAAGGAGAAAAAGGTAAATAATCTATAAAATAATAGCTTTTCTTGACTTTATCAGAGAGTTGAGGTTGTAAGGAATTGAATTCCAATTCCCTCCAAGATGGAAATAAACGAAATGCTTCACCTTTGGCAGAGCACAGAAGGAAGAGGTAACTTGCTAAAATTCTAAGAAATTCTAAAGGCCAAAGTGGGCTACCGAGACAGTTTGGAATCTCTAGGATCCCCAGATACAAAGAAGAGTAAATAATTAATAGCAAACTCCTTTCCATGTGCCTGTATCACATGCTTACAAGAAAAACTGGGCAGGGGACCTGAAAGAGCCATCAGTGGCACAGAGGTATAAAACCCCATCCTTCTGAACACTTTTTTCTCACACAAAGCAAAAGCTTTAAGCCAATGGGGGAGAAACAGGAAACTCATCCATCACAGGGCTCAGGCAAAAATCCACTGCTCTCAAAGAGGGATAGAAGCAAAAGCCATCTGCCCTAGAGAGAACAGGTAACTCCCCTCCCACTTTGAACAGTCTTACACTGAGGAGAGGGTAGGAAACCCCCCCACCACTAGTCCTAGGCAAAGGCTGAAGGATGGGTAGAAGCAAAAGTTGTCAGGATCATCCTGGGCTTAGGATCATGAGCTGATACAAAGCATAGGTTTACTACCACTGGGTGAAGGGAAAGAAACTCTCTCAAATATAAAAAGTCATTTTCCCTTTATTTTTAATCTCTTTAAAAGATAACCGACAGTGTAAAGTAAAAATGGTGATAAAGTGTTGTAGAGTTTATAACATATGTAGAAGTAAAATGTATGACAACAATAGTACAAAAGATATGAGGGAGGAAATAGAAGTACACTGCAGTAAGGTTCTTATATTATACATAAAGTTGTATATAATTTGGAGGTAGACTTCAAATGAAAGGTATATAACATATACCTTAGAGCAGAGTCAGCAAGTCTTTTCTTAAAGGGCTAGATAATAAATATTTCAGGCTCATGGACCATATGGTCTTCGTCACAACTACTCAATTCTGTTGTTGTAGTGCAAAAGCAGTCATTGACAATATGTAAATAAAGGGGCATGGCTGTGGTCCAATAAAAATTTATTTATAAAAAACAAGCCATAGACATGGATTAAAATAAAATAATAGGCGTTTACTGACCTCTACCCTACAGACACCACCATGAGTTTTTTTTTAAACGAGGAATAACTAATGAGCCAATAGTGGAGATAAAATTGAATCATGAAAAACTCAATTACCCCCCAAAAATGCAAAACAATAGGAAAAAAAAGAAAAGAGAAGAGAGGAGACAAATAAAAAACAAATAGCAAGACAGTAGATTTAACAACCACACTAATAATTACATTAAATATAAATGGTCTAAACACCCCTGTTAAAAGGCATAGATTGGCAAACTGGATAAAAAAGTAAGATCTAAATATATGCTATCTACAAAAAACCCACCTTGAATATAAATTCATAGATAAAAGTAAAAGAATGGAAAAAGATACAGCATGCAAATGACAGTCAAAAGAAAGCCAGGGTGGGTATATTAACATCAGAACAAATAAACTTCAACATAAAAAGTATTACTAGAGATAAAGAGAAACATTACATAATAATATAGAGGTCAATTCATCAAGAAGACATATTAATCCTAAATGTATATGTATCTAATAACAGAGCTTCAAAATACATAAAGTAAAACTGATAGCTAGTAGAAGGCCTCAATACTCTTTCCTCTATAAATAATTAGATCATGTTGACAAAATTTAAGAATTCCTTTCATCAAGAGAATCATAAAGAGAATAAAAAGACAAGCCACAAACTGAAATCTAGAATGAATTACATACACATACACATGCATGCACACAGATATGCTGGAGAAACCATATATGTGTATAAAATTAATCAATATTTAAAAGAAAGAAAAGAAAATGGGCAAAACACTTGAATTAAAGGCAAATCCAAATGGCCATTAAACATATGAAAAACTATTCAACCAAAGAAAACAGAAAAGAAAAATAAAATATTTGGAATTAAAAATTCAGTTTAAGGATTTAACAGGAGATAAGAACACAGCTAAAGAGCAAATCAGTAAGATAGATTTGGAAGAAAGATCTGAAGAAATTATCCAGAATGTAGAGCAGAGAAATAAGGAGAGGGTAAATATCTGATAGAATGACAAAGTTATGGTTCAATAAGAACTTTCAGACATTGCTGCTGGGTACAACCACTTTGGAAAACGCACATACGTTATTTAGTAAAGCTGAACACATGCAAACTATGCCAATCCTAGGTATACTCCCTTGAGATCCTCTTGCACATGTACATTTAGGAGTCATGTACAAAAATGTACATAACAGTGTATTTGTAAAAGCCTCAAACCAGAAACAAAGCAAATATCTATCAGCAGAATAGGTAAACAAATTATGATATAGTTATATAATGGAATGTTATACAACAATGAAAAGAAATGAAATAGTATTTTATGTGACAACATGGTTGAATCTTAAAATTACAATGTCAAGCAAAAGAAGCAAGTCCAAAATAAGATACTTCCAATACAACTCCATCTAAATAAAATTCAAAACAGACAAAACTAAAGTATTGTTAAGGAATATATATTCAGGTTATAAAACTTAAAGAAAAGCAAGAAAACAATTATCTCAAAAAATCAAAGTAGTAGTTATCTTTATTGAGGAAGGAAGAGGATGTGACCAGAGAGACCCACACAAGACTGGAAAGCTCTTCTCAGAAGAAGTAGAATAACAAATAAACAAAAAATCATTACCTTTGAAACAGCCATTAAACTTCTAAAAAAAATAACAGGACAAATGCATGAAGCTGTATTTAGAAAATGTTGCTTGCAGCACTATTCATAATAGAAAAAACATTAATATAGGGTTGAATAAATAAATTATACCATAAGAAAATTTTATAATGATGTAGATCTATATTTATTGATAATAAATGTCCATAATATATTTTAAAATCAAAGAAGAGTCTTTAAAAGAATTTCTGTGTGTCCTCATTTTTAAAAGTTAAAAAAATAATTATTATATAGAAGAACTGAAAAACTAATTGGAAGAATATACACCAAAATAGTAACAGAAGCTATCTCTGGATGGTGCAATTATTATTAATCTTTATTTTCTTCTTTATACTTATTGAAGTTTCTATGATTTCTAAAAATGATCATACATTGGCTTCTTATTTAAAGAATAGTTAATTTTCTGGGAGTAATACACCAAGAAATTAATACCATTTAAAAGATACACCTACACAAAATTCAGAGGATTAAGTACTCTCACCAAAGATTTTTTGGGTTTTATGCAAGTAGCATAATTCAAGAATTGGGCCAGTGGCCCAGCGAATGAAATATAACACTACTCACAACTTTATATAGGGCAACTGCCTACTTTATTAGCCACTTGACCTTGTACTTTTCAGAAATACTAGGATTCTACTCTGAATTCTTTTTCCCCAGGGGTTTTTTTCCTTTAACCTTTAAGTAACAGCATGACTGGAAAGCAACATTAACATTGCAGAGACATGCCTAGATAAAGAGGTAAAGACTCTCACTGAGCATCTCACTGGTATCAAGTAATAAAACAGGTGGCTCTCATCCACATGTCTCATTAGAAATAGTAATCACATCAGAACAGTAACTATTAAATGCACCTAAGATTAAAGAAAGTGTTAAGTTTGGAAAATCTCTGGGTATAGCATAAACTTAGAATATAACAATTGCTATAATTGAAGATGGAGAAAAATGCAACAGGCTAAGAACAAGTGTATTTTGCAGCTGTAATGGATGCTGTCATTAGTTTGGGGGGGAAATTCATTTCATTTATAAATGTGTGGTATATTCGCTTTTCCATCACAGTTTATTTCCTGTATGTAATTAGGTAAAAAAATCCAACTGATTTTCTTTTTTCAATCAATTCTTAGAGGGTAGTACCAGCTTTATCTATATAAATTTAATTTTGATTTTTTAATTACCTATCATGTTTTAAGAACTGAATTATCAGTAAATTGATGGCTGTAATCAGATAAAAAATATTAAATTATTTGAAATACAAATGCCTCCCAATATTCAAGTTGTTTTGTTTTGGTTTGATACTGTTTTCCTGGCTAAAAGCCTTCTGGACTTATAATAATAATGCCAAAGTTTTATGCAGGAATCCCTTCCTTTCTCTTCTCCTTTAGCCTTAACTTCATCTGAAACTCTTATAAAAGAAGAAACGGTGATAGAGTTTAAGTGCTGTAAGTATTACGATTTTGTTTTTATTTTAGAATAGTGCTTACATTGTTTTTTTCTCCCACCTGGCAAAACTATTTTTAAAAATCTCCAATTTGAATTGTAGCTCTCTTTTCATACTATACATATTTGTAAGGATACCTTTGCCCAGAATTTGCTCAAAGACCTGACTGCTAAAATGTACTATAATAACCTCTTTGTCTTTCCCATTCCAGTTGAAATCACCTTCTTCTGGATTCTTGTTAAGGAGCTCTTTCAAAGTGTTTTCTAAAAAACTGGGATCTGTTCCAGGTTCTTCCTTTGACAAAGTTACACTAACTGGTTTGTGGATTATTTCATCAGCCTCAGCAACACCATTATTAGTCTGCAGCCCTTCTACAGAAACAGTTGACACTGAATAAGTATTTCCTAAATGATCCATTATAGGAAGCAAATATAATTCTGGTTGAAGAGCCTAAAACATAGGAAATTAAAAAAAATTAATTTGTAATTTAAAAAACAGTAAGCTAAAACATAAGCTTAAAATATCACATTACATACATATGGAGGAGCAAATGATTTGAGTTTCAGTTCTGATTCTTGCTTTGTCTTCACCTAGAAATAAATACATGAGAAAAAAAATTAAAGCTTTTGTAACATTTTTCAATTATTTTTACCTCTACTTTTTTCCCCCTGAGGAAGATTCACCCGGAGCTAACATTTGTTGCCAATCTTCCTTGGTTTTTTTTGCTTGAGGAAGGTTTGCCCTGAGCTAACATCTGTGCCAGTCTTCCTCTGTGTTGTGTGTGGGACGCCGCCACAGTGTGGCCGTTGATGAGTGGTGTAGGTCCGCACCCCAGAACTGAACCCAGGCCACTGAAGCAGAGTGCACTGAATTTAATCACTAGGCCATGGGGGCCGGCCCCTTACCTCTATGTTTTTTGCAGAAGGCGCATATCTGTGACATAGAAATCAAATCTAAAAGCTGGTAATAAGACTAGATTCTAGAAAATGTAAAATACAATGCTATTTCTACTCACTGTACTAAATATAATATAAATTCTATGTCATTTAATAATAATAATTATGGCTATCACTTGCATGGATTCACTATGTATCAGGCACTATTGTAAGTGCTTTACATTTATTAGCTCAGTTAATCCTCTCAATTCCATGTAATAGGCATATATATATATATAAAACTATTGTAGTTCACAGACAATGAGATTGAGGGAAAGAGAAGCTAAGTAACTTGACCAAGATTTTATAACTAGGAAGTTTCCAAGTTGGGATTCAAAGTCCAACCTTATAAACTTTATTTCCTAAATATTAAATCCATAGAGTTCATTTGCTATTCATTCATTCATTCAACAAACATTGAGGGCATACTATGTGTCAGGCAGTGTTATATATGGTGGGGATACAATAGTAAACAAGACAGTCTCTGCTCTCACGCAGCTTACATTCTACTTGGGGGAGCAAATGTTAAATAAACATGATTTAGGATAGTGATATGTGATTTATGAAAATAAAACAGAGTGATGTAATAGATAGTAACTTAGAAAAAGAATATCTAAAAACTACATTGTCAGAGAAGGCCCTTTTGAAAAGATAATATTTGAGCTGAAGCCTGAACTATGAAAAGAAGGCAGCTGTCTGAAAATCAGGGGACAGTGCTTTCCAGGTAAGTGCAAAGACCGTAAGTGAGAAAGGAGTTTGCTGTATTTGACAACCAAAGGAAGATTTTTGTGGCTGAAGTGTAGAACCAAGGAGAAAACAGCAGTAGATGAAATCTGAGACACAGCCTGTTCTTTAGGCCCTTCTTATCTCCTGCCCAACTACTGCAAAAGTCACCTGGTTATAATCTCTGCCTCTAGCCTCTTAAGGCTCTCATCATGTCATCTTTTGCTCAAAACTTCAAGGCTTCAGAAAAAAACCCCTAACTTACTAATCTGGCATTTGAGATCTTTAATAAACTACTCTTATAACTTGTTCTCTATTATTCCCTTTCACACAGTCAATGCTCCAGTGCAAAACGAACCACTACTCTTTCTTAGTTGCCTGCTTTTCCACTTCTGTGCTCATTCTATTTTCTCTGCTCAGATTTTCCCACCCAACATCTTTGCAAGATCAAATATTTATCTTTCAAGATCCAAACTGGATATCTCTTCTTCCTCAGAGTTCTTCATCTCTCCTCTTCTCCTGCTGGAAGTAATCTCTTTTTCTTCTGAATATACAAAATATGCTCCTTACTTATTTATGTATTTTATCTTTATTGCTATGCTGAGTATGCTTTAAGGACAAGATCTGCATACAATTCTTTTTTCTCATTTTGCATATAGAAAAACATCAATAATTATTTGTTGAAAATAATAAAAATTAAGGGGCTGGCTCCACAGCTCAGTGGTTAAGTTTGCATGCTCTGCTTTGGCAGCCCAGGGTTCACAGGTTTGGATCCCAGGCATAGACCTAGCACCGCTTGTCAAGCCACGTTGTGGCAGCATTCCACATAAAATAGAGGAAGATTGGCACAGATGTTAGCTCCGGGCCAATCTTCCTCACACACACACAAAAGTTTTAAAAATTAGGATTTTAGAAGTTGACTTCAATTACCTTTAAGGGCCCTCCCAACCTAGATTACAACCTGTGATTGTAATTTTACATATCATGAAAAAGAACAAAAGGTTGTGAGAGTTGTTCCTTTTCTTCCCCATCTGAGGAAAACTAATTTACAGATCACTAAATTAATATTCTGGCATACTAAATCTCTAATGACAAAAACTTCAAATCTAGCTGCTGATCCAAAGAATTCGACAAAGCAAATTCCTTTATAGTAATACTTTGGGGGGAAATGTTCATTTTTTTCCATTATCATTCATTTTATTTAATTTGTTCAATAAACATTTAAATGCCTTTAAGTATTAAACACCTTGTTAGGTACTGGTTATACATACAATAGTGAATAAAATAAAGTCCCTGCCCACAGGGAGCTACAGTTTAATGGCAGAGTTAGATGTTAAACAAATAATCACATAAGTAAATATATAATAATGATACAATATGCTCACTAGAGTGGAATAGGACTATACTGCATTTTAAAGAGTTTAAATATGGAAAAATCTTGATTAAAGAAATAAACCTTACATAGATGTGAGAAACCAGAAACTGAGATCTGATGGCTTGCTGGATTAAGAGTTTCAGCTAGGAAAACTCTCTACTTAGAAAATCCTACCACTGAATCATAGAAACTACAAATAGGAATGTTCAATAGATAATAGCTGATACAAAAAAAAACTACGTTGGAGCCAGATCATTTCACAACAAACAAGGCTAGTTGTGGCCCAAGCATGAGAACCCACTTTTCTTCAAAACACAAGTACTTGTTTAAAAAGCTTTTAAACACTATCATTTAAATTAAAATATATATATTACTTATATGATGACATTTTAACTTTGTCTTCCTTTCTTCCCAAGGAAATTCACACACAAAAAACCCAACATCATTTTAGTGCCTGATAATAAGCCAACAGGACTCACCTTTTCTTGATGATTTATATGCTTAGTAATATTTCCATTTCATTATAGTTGAGATTACATATTTCATGGTATGTTAAGGGGCTGAGTTGATATGCATTTAAGATAATTTGTTAAAGTATGCTTTTCTCTAATCAAAAGGAAAAAAATAAGAAAACTTACCACAGCTAGATTATTTCCAATGCATTTCAGAAATAAAAATTTTTCTGCAACAGCATCTTCACCAAGGAACTCACCAAGACGCTCCCTCAAGGCTTGTAAAGTAAGGTGAGGAGATACTCTGAAATATCACGACATTGCCTTATAATGTAAAATGAAATAGGTTTTGGCTATACTAAAGATTCGATAACTTTAGTCAGCTATCTCAAACAGAAATACCAATTTAACATATATTATATGTTTATAGCTTAAAGCATTATGTTTCTACATTGCCTGGCACTTTGTAGGTCTTCAGTAAATATTTTTTAAAATAAACGATTAAAAGTCTGCCTTTTAAAATTATGCAAATGAACACTGTTCATAAAAGTCCTTTTTGTACTGAAAAGGGAAATGCTTGTCCACTTTTCTCATCCACCTCCAAACTTTAACGTTAAAACAAAACTTTGCTATGGAATTTATATACTTTTATACATATATCAAAGAATAATTTAGCCACAACTATTTATTTTGGAAGTTTGACAGGATTAACTAGTACCTAAAAATTTCATTGATGATCAAATGTTGTCAGATTCTACATCTTTGTTCAATAGAGATACTTCATTCCTCAATGTCTAAAATTTAAAGTTATCACTTACGCTATTGTTGTTCTGAGTTCTTGTTTTTCTAGGATCTTCTGGAAACACTATATAATTCATTCATTGAATCAATAAATATTTATTGAGCACCTACTATGTATGGGTCAGGCATTGTTCTAAGGGATGGGAACACTGCAATCAACAAAACAGATGAAAATCTCTGCCCTTATAGACATTATAATCTAGTAGTGGGAGAGACAAATTAACAAAATAAGTAAGAAAAAAATATAATTTATAAGATACTACTAAGTACTAGAGAGAAAAATAAAGCAGAGAGGGGAGAAAGGGACTATAGCTGAAATTTAAAATACAGTCATCAGAGAAGACCTGAAAACAGTAATATTTGAGTAAAGATCTGAAGATGAGAGAGCATATGTAAAGGCAAAAAGAGTATGTAGGCAAAAGGAACAGCAAGTACAAAGGTCCTGATGTGGGTCCATGTCTCACGTGTTCTAGAACAGAAAGGAGGTTATGTGCTTGAAGAAAGTGATGGGGAAGACTAGGAAGACTGAGGTGCACTCAAGAGAAATAACAGGCAGTCAAATCATACAATGTCATGTATGTTTCCATGAATGTGAAAATACATATATACATAAGAGCACATACACACATATACATATAATCTATTTTTATTTTTTTAATTATTTTTTTAAAGATTGGCACCTGAGCTAACATCCGTTGCCAATCTTCATTTTTTTGTTTTTGTTTTTCATTTCCTCTTCTCCCCAAAGCCCCCCAGTACATAGTTGTATATTCTAGTTGTAGGTCCTTATGGTTGTGCTACGAGGGATGCCGTCTCAGCATGGCCTGATGAGCGGTGCCATGTCTGTGCCCAGGATCCACACCGGTGAAACCCTGAGCAGCTGAAGCAGAGCACATGAACTTAACCACTCAGCCACGGAGCTGGCCCTTCTCTTTCTATTTTTAAATGGTTCAGTGAAAAAGTCATTGTGGATATACTGGTTTAACCACTATTCACAGCTCTTCAACAGGTTTCTAAATTCAGATAATTTCTCTCTTAATTCTCTTTGTGTATAACCATAGTAATATACAGGCTATTCACTGTTTTCTGGGTGACATCTGTTCCTATGGTATTATTTGATTTCACTGTTATACAGCACTATTTATTGATAGTATTCCATTAAGTTAGGGACTGGATCCATCACATGGACAAGGTATGTTTCACTTATAATTTTTCAATTTCCAGAAAGCATTTTTCTCTATAGAAAAAAGTTTGCTTTTTCAGACACTTTGTTACAAGACCCAAAATACTTGCCTTATAAATCCAGCTGAAATGAATTCGTTAGCAACTTCTATTGAAATGGTATTTAATTTATAGTTCCACGATCCTTCAGGGACATAAAAAACATGAAGTTCCACCAACTGAATAAATTGAGAATAATGTCAGTTAAAATATTTTTAAAGTGAAAAAAATCAATTGATGTCTTCTACAAATTTAAGTTTAATAAACATAATTGAAATAAACATGGAATACACGTATCCTTCAGAACAAACAAAAAACAAAATGAAGAGCCAAAACTTTGTTCTTAAGTTGGCACAGTGGCACTTGCAGCACATTTTCCATTGGAAACAACGTCACAGATGTGGTCCTAGATTATCCTAACATCTCTGATATACAGAGTTCTTTCTGTGGCCCTCAGTAAGAATACTAGACTAAGACCAGCTTTCTTATCACCAGCCTTTCCGCCTCCCCTGCCTCCTACCTACTCAGTTCCATTGGGGTGACATTGTGAGATCCTTATCCTTTATATATTGTCTCCCTGACACAGTTGTGATGATTGCTAGTTCTTAGCACCTGCAAAGATGTGAATACTATGGTTTGGGGAATATTTTTGTTTCCCAGAATTCCAGGAAGAATCTATTCCTGACCAGTGACAGGGAAAGAAATGGTTGTTCTTACATAAGGCATATCTGTAAGCTTGTCTGTGCTTATATACACCATTTTTGTTTCTATTAATGTTTTGTTGTGACTTCAACCAGAATCTTTCTATTTAGAAGAATATTTATGTTACTACAACGGAAACAGGACAATTATAGCAAATATAGTCTTATCTTTTAGTCTAATAAAGTTTGAAATTCACTGCACATTAAAAGTTAAACTATTTAAGTGATTATACTCTATAATAAATTTACATATATAAATATATAACAACATTAAATATCTGAAAAAACCTTAAAAAGTTTGACGTAAATATGACCTACTATTAACGTTAGCAATTAGTGATTAGTAGTTTTAATAGGAGATACAAATGGTTCCTGAATGTTTTGCTCAAGTAGTTTTTACTGACCAAGTAAATTACTTCTAATCTTTTGATGACAGAATATTAACCAGAAATTTAAGATGTTTGTATAGACTTCATAGTGAAGTCTGCCTCATGCTGCATTGTTAACACCAGAGCATTTAAAAGATTATTCCCTAGCTATACTACACTATTAATACCTAATACCATACTACACTATTAATACTATATAATATATAGTACTATATAATATCAAATATTAATACTATAACATTTAATAGCTATACTATCAAATATTTGCAAAATCTTAAGAAGTTTGAAGTAAACATGACCTCATCCTTTACACAAACATATTAATGTTTTACAAGAGAAAAAATATTTCTTGAACTAAACATTTTACTCTATTTTTTTTACCAAGTAAATTACTTCAATATTTTCTATAACAATTGATTAGCCACAATTCAAAGTGTTTGTATACATCTTAATTCCATAAGTGAATAGGCAATAAAAAGAAAACATATTTAAACATTACTTGATCTTTGAAATATGTTATGATGTAAATTAATTTATGGTGAGTTTAGATTTACTCATTCATTCAACAAATATTTAATGAGTGCCTACTGTATGCCAGCACAGTTCTAGGCACTAGGGATATGTCAGTGAATACAACGAATATACTTCCCTGCATGTAGCTTATATTCTAATGAGGTATCAGGACAAGAACGAGGATGAGGCAAGTGAGACACCCACTTCAGGGGCAAAATTTAAGGGGGCACCAAAACCTCAGAAATCAAGCAAATAATATTTTAAAAAATCTATTTAATGCAAAAAATTCATGATGAACAAAATATCAAAAATTTAAATAAAGACAGAATTCAATACTACTATTAGAATCTGAGGAAAAAGGAAAAATGTGAACCCCTATATACATGGTTTCTTAAAAATACATTTTTAATGGTTAATTTTTTCCAGAACAAAATAATTGAAAAAATACGGAAAAATTTAAACATATATATTAAAACACATTATTTTGTTAAATATTCTATTTATACCAAAACTCTATATTTATTATAATTTTACTTTCATGGCTTTAATGGAAGCAGACTCACCAATAATATTTTCACTAAAACCAATAACCATTTAAAAAAACATTAAAAGGTGTCTATGGGGGCACATATTCTTCCTTTTGCCTCAGGCTACAAAGTGGCTAGGCATGGCACTGTTGGATTCTATTTCTACTTAAATGTTGATATCTTGTTCATCATGATTTTTCACATTAATTTTTCATTTTTGAAAATACTGTATTAAAATATTTACCTTGATTACTGAATTTCTGATGCCCCTTAAATTTTGCACCTAAGGCAATTGCCTCATTTGCCTCAAACTAGTCCCCATCCTGTGAAGGACACAGACAATAAGCAATAAATATAAAACACTGAGAAGTTACATAGTACATTAGAAAGTGATCGGTACTAGGAAAAAAGAGTAAGTAGAGCAGGGTAAAGAAAATTGGGAAGATGAGGGAGGAAGTAGGTTTCAGTTTTCAATAGAATAGTCTGGGTAGGGCTGATGGAAAAGGTGAGATCTGAGTAAAGGCCTGCAGGTGAAGATGGAATTAGTCACGTGCAGATATAGAGGGAAAGAGTTCCAGAAAGAGCTAAAGCAAAGGCCTTAAGGTGAGAGCATGCCAGTGTGATTGAAGCAGAGAGTGTGGCGGGAGAGAGCAGTAGGAGATAAGGTCAGAAAAACCAGGAAGATGAGTAACAAATTAAATAGGGTCTTTCGGGCCATTCTAACATCTTCACCTTACAAAATGGGAAGTCAATACAGGGTTTTAATAGAAGCATGACATCTGACTTTTATTTTTTCAATATGAAAAAATTTAAACATACATACATATAAAAGGAATAATACTATAAATGTCCAAATACCTAGTATTTAGATTCAAAAGTTAACATTGTGCCATGTTTACTTCCTCCACATCTTCCCTCACCCGTCTCTAAATCATTCGAAGTAAATCAGACATATTACATTATACCCATAAATACTTTGGCATCTATCTCCTAAAAATAAGGACTTCTTTAATAATCATAGTATCATTTCACATCTAAGAAAACTAACAATTACTTAACATCAACTAATATCCAGTCCATATTTAAAGTTCCCCAATTGTCTGATTGTCCTCAGAATGTTTTTTCTATCTAAAATCCAATCAAGGATCACACATTACTTTTGGTTGTGTGTCTTAAAAACTTTAATTTGGAAGACTTTCCCAGACCTGCTTTTTTTCTCTTCATGGCATTGACTTTTAAAAGAGACTGGGTCAGTCCGTCTTACAGAATGTTCAGCATTCTAAATTTATCTCATTAACTCCTTAAGCTGTCATTTAACTTATTTTTCCAATCCCGCTGTCTCCTATAAACAGTTAAAACTGTATAGCCTTCAATTGACACAAGTAAATCATGTGGGGTAAAAATACTTTATAAATAGTGCCCTGCATTTCATATTGCTTCATATCAGGACATACAGAATGCTGTACTTCCAAATTTACTGTATTTAATAACTTTTAAAGGGACAGTAGAATAGAGACTGTAACGGGTAAAAAAATGGAACCTATGGTTATGAACCTATTAGAATAATTAAAGTGTGAGATGCTGTGGCTCAGATCAACATGCTAGCAGTGGAAGTGATGAGAAGTGGTCATATTTTGTATATAATTTAAAGCTAGGGTCAATCCATTGGAAGCGGGATTTGAGAGAGCAAAGTCAAATATGACTCCAAGGTGTTTGGCCTCAGATACTGAAAGGATGGATTTGCCATCACTTGAGATGGGGAAAGTCATGGGTAGTACAGGTATTTGGGAGGGAGGTAAAGGTAGTCCAGTTTCATACATGTTAAGTTTGAGATGTCTACTGGCCATCCAAGTTGAGATGTCAAGTAGGCAGTTGAATATATGAATTTGGAGTCTGAGAAAGAGGACTGGGATGGGGATAGAAATTCGGGAATCCTTAGCATAAAGTTGGTACTTAAAGCTATTAGACTGGATGAACTCACCAAGGAATGAGTGCAGATAGAAAAGAGAACAAAGAGCTGAACCCAATATTAAGAAATCAGGAGAAGATGAAGACCCAGATGACCAAGAATGAGTAACCAGAGAAGTAAGAGGAAAACCAAGAGAAAGTGTTTGCTAAAAGCCAAGAGAAGGAATTACGTCAAGGAAGAGAAAGTGATCAACTGTGTCAACTGTGGTGCACAGATAGATCAAGTATGTTTAGGATAGGAATTTAGCAATAGATCTAGTAATGAAGAGGTGAATTTAATAAGAGCAGTTTTGCTAGAGCAGTAGAGTGAAAGCTTGATTGGAGTTGGTTTAAGAGAAAATGGGGAGAAGGTATTGGGGCCTTGAGAGGGTATGAAATAATTACCTAGAAGAGTGGAAGAGTAAATGAGTGGGTGGAAGATAGTCTAATTGCCTACCAGCAAAAGGTTCCCTTTGAGATTCATAGTCATGACTTTAAAGTGAGAATCCCTTTATGTTGGTTTATGTTGGTATATTTTTCTCTAGCCACATCTGGCTGTAGGTGTAGATATAGAATAAGTGAAGAACCGGGTTAACCAGGGCTTTTGTATTGCCAAAGAGTACAATGAAACAGAGAGGGCAAGGAGTCAAAAGTACGTGCAAGAGAATGATCAAGGCTGCCCTGTGGTATTTAAGCCAGCTATGGAGGACATCACTAGGTGAGAAATAGTAAAATAAACAAGGCGATAGGATCAATGCATTGCAGGTCCCAGTACGGCTGGGGTACTTAGAGGAAGTGAGCTGGAGATACAAGAACTGTAATCAGACAATGGGATACATGAAGTTAGGTTCATGGAGGAATCAATATACAATGCCTTATATAATCCATATTTTTGCTTTATCAAAACTTTCCAAAAATAATGATAAGCAGGTTTTTCTTATATTCTAGTATAAAAAAAATGTTCTTACCTCTGATGAGGAAGGTTGACTTGGATTGAGGGACATATTCACCAATGTCTGAATGGGGTAATTATCAGTGCAATTTTGTGGTTTTTTAAAATATTTCTTCCTTTAAGTAGTATTTAATAAAGGCTGTGACAGATTTTTGGCTTAAGATTGCATTCCACTCACTTCTGGTCTCTGATTTGTTCAAAAAGCGAAAAGAAAAACACAAAAGGCCTTAAAATAGACTCAAAATGAAAATTTAGGAATGTATACAATCACATAGTTATTCTAATTCAAAAAGACATATTACTAGTAAATAGGGTTGGTAATTGCAGTGACGTGAACATACATCTTATACAACTAAGTAAAGTGATAATTACATTATAATGGACTTGCAACCAGGACATATTTTACCATTCTAAACAATTCACTTCCTCTTGGTCAAAAATTAAGGTTAAGTATATGTAGCATTTTACATAAAGTAAAAACATACTTTTGGAAGTGGAAAGACTGAATTTATACAAATGGATGTAGAATGATGAAAATTGTTTCACCATGTGCATTTCTTCCTGGGTTTTGGACACCTCAATAATAATAAATGTAAATAATCACTCCAGAATAAGATGCCAGTCTAAGTGTATTAGGCTACATTTGTGTATTATTTCCTGTGTTTTTCCTCAGAGGATTTATGGTAGTTTACAAGAATGCACAATAAAATTTTAAAAATATAAATATAATAAAAATTGAAAAGTAAGATAGCTGAATTATTACTCTATAAAGGAATTTAGCAAAATGGGACAATCCTTTAGGATACGCTAATCATACCAACACCAGACCAGAAGCTTTTCTTTAAACTTTTTTTTTTTTGAGGAAGATTAGCCCTGAGCTAACTACTGCCAATCCTCTTCTTTTTGTTGAGGAAGCCTGGCCCTGAGCTAACATCCGTGTGCATCTTCCTCTACTTTATACGTGGGATGACTACCACAGCATGGTGTGCCAAGCGGTGCCCTGTCTGCACCTGGGATCTGAACCGGCGAACCCTGGGCTGCCGAGAATTGAAACGTGTGAACTTAACTGCTGAGCCACCAGGCCGGCCAGAGACCAGAAAGTTTTTTTAAGATTTCAAAGCATTGCTCCACCATGGTTTATATTAAAATAGTGATTTAACTCCAATAAAACTTAAAATTTCTGTGATCTGGTACTGATTACAGCTGTATGAAATCCTACCAGAGACCTCTAATTGTTTTAACGGTAGTAAAATTAGAAGATTATATCCTGATATACAATCTTCTAAATCAAATTAGTTTCACATATTACTTCCTATATAAATTTCTTATAATAATTAAAACTTAAATGTGATTTGTCATTTTAACCATCTTAAACATTATTTTAAATATATTAATACTTTAAGAAAACATTTAGATGTTCCATTTCTATACCTATGTAAAGGCCCTTTCTGCCATTGTACTAATATTTGTCTCTAAACAAAGCACAACTCAGATACATATATGATGCAAATATAGTAACTTTCCTATTAGAGAAGAGTTAATGGTAAAAAGCTATAATAATTACAGTACATGGGCATTCATTAACTGGTAAGCAAATTAGGGGGCTAGAATTTTCAAATTCTGTGGATGCATTAAAAATTTTATATTTTCATTCAGAACAAATTTTTATTTATTTTTTAATTTTTTTTAAAGATTGGCACCTGAGCTAACAACTGTTGCCAATCTTCTTTTTTCTTCTGCTTTTTCTCCCCAAATCCCCCCAGTACATAGTTGTATATTCCAGGTGTGGGTACAAATTTTTATTGTTATTTTCCTTTTTGATGTACTTATTTATTTATCTAGCACTACCTTGCTGTACACAGAACAAATTTTTAATTAGGCAAGTTCAAGACAGATCAAGGTTTGCTTTACTATTATCCTAAGGTAAACTGCCCCACTATACTATCGCTTTGAAAGAAACAGCAAAGAAGCCATGTTTTGAACTATAACTTCATTTGTCATTTCCGACTGAATCAATGATGAACACCAAATCCTGGGCTGGGCAGAGACAAATAAAATGGCCTGGCATGAAAAGATGAGCCCTTAGGAATTAGATTGCGAGAAGAGCTGAAGATTCAAGTATGCAGTTAATAGATATCGAAGCAAAAGAATGGAGAAAGGGAAGTTATGAAGTAGCATCACAGCCATGAGGTAAGCCCATGTTTCAGGAAAGCTATAATTCTTCGTAAACAGAGATAGAAAAAAGAGACAAAGTAGAGAGAGTGACTAAGTGGACTGGTAGGGAGAAGTAAACTGTGGAGATACATAGCTGATTCATGTTTATAGCTAAGCACTAGTGAGAAAAGTAAAAAATTTTTGCTGTTGAGATCCCTAGCATTGGATCTACTCCTGGTTTGGCCTATCAGTGCAACAGTTCCTGTGTTTTCTTTGGATTTCCATGGGGTAACTGTCTCCAGTACTGTACTTTGTTGATCTTGACAATAAGCTCCTGATTGCTTGTGGTAACCTGAGTTAAGTCTTTGCTATCAAAACCGAAAGATGCTTAATTAGCTTCTTTAGGCACGCTTAGAATTTGTAGGTGATCCTAACCAAATCACATTTCACATACCAAATCCTAAAGTATAATATTTGGGATTTTCAAATGCTTTCTCTCTTACTAATTAGCTAGTGAACAGAAAAATGGCAACAATTGAAACAAAAGAAGACTGAAGAGAGTGACATCAGCATCATGGCAGAGTAAGCTTTCCCAGTAATCTCTCCTCTCCAACATACAACAAAAAAGTCATTCATACTGGAACAGAGGACATCCAAACACAACACAATGCAGCCATACGATGGAGGGTGGAGAGGCTGGAGGCCCCTTCAGAAGCAGCAGAATTGGGTAAGAGAAAACTTCGCCCCCAGCCCCAAACACTGCAATCTAGGAATGCAGGAGGCCTCTGAGAGGGAAGAAATATTAGAGGATGGCCATTGGTGGGAACATCAAGGATCCCTGAGGGCCCTTGCAGCTTAGAGGGAAGCCCTCTACCAGAGCAAAAGCTTTCATGGGGGGGTGACCTTATCAAGCCAACATATCAGGAGAGCAGACAGGGAGAGCAGAGGGAGAAATCCCTGAGCTCACACAGGAGAAAACATCCCTCCCCCCACCTGCCCAGCAATGGCTCCAGTACTTGGTATTTTGGCTGAAGGCAGAGGGCTCAGAATATGTGGCTTTTGACCTCCACCCAGTGGCAATAGGTGGTAACTGCAATCAAATAACACTAGGATGCAAAAAACCAGAGTCACTCCCTTCAGCAATATCAAACATTATATTAGATCTCCAGACCAGAGAGAAAATGACAAGTACCCAGAAATCAGTCCTGAAGACACAGAAGTATGTAATCTAAATGACAAATAATTCAAGATAGCTATCATCAAAAAACTCAACAAGTTCAAAGAGAATGTCGAGAATCAATTCAAGGAGTTCAGGAGCTACCTCACAAGAGAGATTGAAACTATAAAGAAGAATCAATCAGAAATATTAGAGACGAAAGACACAATGGAAGAAATAAAACAAAATATGGATTCCCTGAATGCTTGAGCAGACATCATAGAGGAGCATATCAGCATAATCAAAGATAGACATGTTGTCCAGATAGACGTGGAGAGAGAGAATTAAGACTAAAAATAAATGAAGAAAGTCTCCAAGAACTATCTAACTTAATTAGGAAATGCAACATAAGAATTATGGGTATTCAAGAAGGAGAAGAGAAGGAGAATGGAGCAGAAATCTTGTTCAAAGAAATAATAGCAGAGAACTTCCCAAATCTAGGGAAGCAAATGGAAATCCATGTGGAAGAGGATATCAGATCTCCTAAATACGTCAATGTAAAAAGGTCTACTGCAAGGCACACAGTAGTGAAACTGGCAAAAGTGAATGACAAAGACAGAATACTAAGGAAAACAAAGCAGAAGAAAATAACCTACAAAGGAACCCCTATCAGGCTTTCAGTGGATTTCTCTGCAGAAACCTTATAGGCTGGGAGAGATTGGAATGACATATTCAAATCTATGAAGGATAAAAACTTTCAGCCAAGAATACTCTATCCAGCAAAAATATCCTTCAGATATGATGGAGAAATAAAAACTTTCCTAGACAAACAAAAGCTGAGGGAGTTCATAGCCATGAGATCCCCTCCACAAGAAATCCTCAAGAAGGCCCTCACACCTGAAAAAAAAAAAAGGGAGAAGGGGGTTACAAAGCACAGAGTAAGGAGATAAATACGCAGACAGAATCAGAGCAGGATAGCAAATACTCAAGTATAGCATTAAGACAAAGAGAAGGAAAACACCAAAAACAAAGATAATCTTGTCATTTTAACCAAAAACTCATAACACAAGATGGAATAAGATGTGAGAAAAACAACTTAGGAGGGGAAGAGGAAAGGGACTGAATCAATTTAGTCTAAGGAAATAAGAGGCCAGCAGAAAAGGAACTATCTTGGGGCTGGCCCTGTGGCCTAGTGGTTAAGTTAGTGTGCTCTGCTGTGGTGGCCCAGGGTTTTGCTGGTTTGGATCCTGGGCGCGGACATGGCACCCAGGCCATGTTGAGGTGGCGTCCCACATGCCACAAACAGAAGGACCCACAACTAAAATATACAACTATGTGCTGGGGAGATTTGGGGAGATAAAGCAGGAAAAAAAAAAAAAAAGATTGGCAACAGTGTTAGCTCAGGTGCCAATCTTTAACAAAAAAGAAAAGGAACTATCTTACCCATGAGATTTTGAATAGAAGCCTCAGAGTAACCACTAAACAAAAAAGCAGAACAGAGACACGAATAATAAATAAGCAGAACCCAAAGAAACACAACATAAAAAACTACACAACTTAACTGGTAGACCAAAATACACAGGACGAGAAACAAGGGAAATGCAGGAGAACCAGAAAACAAGTGATAAAATGACAGCATTAAGCCCTCATATAGTGATACTCATCCTAAATATAAATGGATTGAATTCTCCAATAAAAAGTCACAGAGTGGCAAGAGGTATTAAAGAATAAGACCCAACAATATGCTGCCTCCAGGAAACACAGCTCAGCTCCAATGACAACAATAGGCTCAGACTGAAGAGGTGGAAGATGATACTCCAAGCTAATGGTAAACAAAAGAAAGCAGGTCTTGCAATACTTATATCAGACAAAGTAGACATCAAGATAAGACAGGTAAAGAGAGACAAAGAGGGGCAGTATATAACGATCAAAGCGACATTCCATCAAGAAGAAATAACACTCATAAATATCTATGCACCCAACACAGGAGCACCAAAGTACATAAAGCAACTATTAACAAAGCTAAAAGAAGCTATTAGTAATAACAATAATAGAAGGGGACTGCAACACTCCACTCACATCAATGGACAGATCATCCAGACAGAAAATCAACAAGGAAACAGTGGAATTAAATGAAAAGATAGATCAGTTGGACTTAATAGACATATATAGAACACTCCATCCAAAACAGCAGAATACACATTCTTCTCAAGTGCTCACAGAACATTCCCAAGGATAGATGATATGTTGGGAAACAAGGCAAGCCTCAATAAATTTAAGAAGACTGAAATAATAACAAGCATCTTTTCCGATCACAATGCTATAAAGCTAGAAATTAATTACAAGAAAAATGCTGAGAAAGCGACAAAGATGTGGAGACTAAACAACATGCTATTGAACAAACAATGGATCACTGAAGAAATTAAAAGAGAAATAAAAAAATATCTGGAGACAAATGACAATGAAAACATCCCATACCAATGCATATGGGATGCAGCAAAAGCCATATTAAGAGGGAAATTCATTGCAACCCAGGCTCACCTGAACAAACAAGAACAATCCCAAATAAGCAATCTCAAACAACACCTAACTGAATTAGAAAAAGAAGAACTAACCAAGCCCAAAGTCAGCAGAAGGAAAGAAATAATAAATATGTGAGCAGAAATAAATGCTATTGAAACAAAAAAGGCAGTAGAAAGATCAATGAAACAAAGAGCTGTTTCTTTGAGAAGATAAATAAAACTGACAAACCCCTAGCCAGACTTAAAGAAAAAAGGAGAAGAAGCTCAGATAAATAAAATTAGAAATGAAAGTGGAGAGATAACAACAGATACCACAGAAATACAACAGATTATAAGAGAATACTATGAAAAACTATATGCCAACAAAATGGACAATCTAGAGGAAATGGATAAATTCTTAGACTCTTACAACCTCCCAAAGCTGAATAAAGAAGAAATAGAGAATCTAAATAGACCAATCACAAGTAAAGAGATTGAAACAGTAATAGAAATCATCCCAAAGAATAAAAGCCCAGGACCAGATGGCTTCCCTGGGGAATTCTACCACACATTCAGAGAATATTTAATACCTATCCTTCTCAAGCTATTCCAAAAAATTAGGGAATATGGAACATGTCCTAACACATTCTATGAGGCCAACATCACTCTGATACCAAAGCCTGACAAGGACAACACAAAAAAGGAAAACTACATGCCACTATCACTGATGAAAATAGATGCAAAAATCCTAAACTAAATATCGGCAACCCAAATACAGCAACACATCAAAAAGATCATACATCATGATCAAGTGGGATATATACCAGGGACACAGGGATGGTTCAACATCCGCAAATCAATCAATGTGATACACTACATTAACAAAATGAGGAATAAAAACCACCTGATCATCTCAATAGATGCAGAGAAAGCATTTGACAAGATCCAACAGCCATTTATGATAAAAACTCAACAAAATGGGGATAGAAGGAAAGTACCTCAACATAATAAAGTCCATATATGACAAACCCCCAGCAACCATCATACTCAATGGGCAAAAACTGAATGCCATCCCTCTGAGAACAGAAACACAACAAGGATGCTCACTATCACCACTCTTACTCAACATACTACTGGAGGTGTTGGTCAGAGCAATTAGGCAAGAGAAAGCAATAAAAGGAATCCAAATAGGGAGTGAAGAAGCGAAACTGTTTGCAGATGACATGATCTTATATATAGAAAATCTTAAAGAATCCATCGGAAAACTATTGGAAATAATTAATAACTACAGTAAAGTTGCGGGGTACAAAATTAACTTACAAAAATCAGTTGCACTTCTGTACTCTAATAAAGAACTTACAGAAAGAGAACTGAAGAATATAATTCCATTTACAATCACAACAAAGAAAAATAAAGTACCTAGGAATAAATTTAACTAAGGAGGTAAAGGACTTATACAATGAAAACTATAAGACATTACTGAAAGAAATAGATGATGACATAAAGAGATGGAAAGAGATTACAGGCACATGGATTGGAAGAATAAACATAGTTAAAATGTCCATACTACCCAAAGCAATCTACAGATTCAAGCAATCCCAATCAGAATCCCAATGACATTCTTCAAGGAAACAGAACAAAGAATCCTAAAATTCATATATGACAACCAAAGACCCCGAATTGCTAAACCAATACTGAGAAAAGAGAACAAACCTGAAGGCCTCACAATCCCTGACTTCAAAATGTACTACAAAGCCATAGTGATCAAAACAGCATGGTACTGGTACAAAAACAGGCACACAGATTAATGGAACAGAACTGAAAGCCCAGAAATAAAACCACACATCTATGGACAGTCCATCTTCGATAAAGATGCCAGGAACATACAATGGAGAAAAGACAGTCTCTTCAATAAACAGTGTTGGGAAAACTTGACAGCCACATACAAAAGAATGAAAGTAGACCATTATCTCACACCATACACAAAAATAAACTCAAAATGGATCAAAGACTTGAAGATAAGTCCCGAAACTATAAAACTCCTGGAAGATAACATAGGTAGTATACACTTTGACATCAAACTTAAAAGGATCTTTTCAAATACCATGTCTTTTCAGATAAGAGAAACAAAAGGAAAAATAAACAAGTGGGAATTCAGACTAAAGAGTTTCTGCAAGGCAAAAGAAACCAGGATCAAAACAAAAAGACAACCCAGCAATTGGGAGAAAATATTTGTAAATCATATATCCGATAAGGGGTTAATCTCCATAATATATAAGGAACTCACACAACTGAACAAGAACAAAATAAACAGCCCGATTAAAGAATGGGCAGAGGATGTGAACATTTTTCCAAAGAAGATATACAGATGGCCAATAAACACATGAAAAGATGTTCAACATCACTAATCATCAGGGAAAAGCAAATCAAAACTACACTAAGATATCACCTTATGCCTGTCAAAATGGCTATAATCACTAAGACTGAAAATAACATGTTGGAGAGGGAGTGGAGAAAGGGAACCCTCATACACTGCTGGTAGGAATGCAAATTGGTGCATCCACTATGGAAAACAGTATGCAGATTCCTCAGAAAACTAAAAATAGAACTACCATATGACCCAGCTATCCCACTACTGGGTATCTGCCCAAACAACTTGAAATCAACAAGCCAAAGTAACATATGCACCCCTATGTTCACCGCAGCACTATTCACAATAGCCAAGACATGGAAGCAATCCAAGCACCCATCAACTGATGATTGGATAAAGAAGATGTGGTATATATATACAACGAACACTACTTAGCCATAAAAAGATACAAAATCATCCCATTTGCAACAACCTGGATGGACCTGGAGGGACTTATGCTGAGCAAAATCAGCCAGACTGAGAAAGACAAACACTAGCTGACTTCACTCACATGGGGAATACAAACAAACACATGAACATAGAAGACAGTTAACTGGTTACCAGGGGATGGGGGATGGGAGTGGGCACAGGGGGTGAAGGGGAGCACTTAAGTGATGACAGACAAGAAATAATGTACAACTGAAATTTCACAATGATGTAAACTATTATGAACGCAAAAATAATAAAAAAATGAAAAAAAAAAAAGAAGACTGATAGCTCCATAGCCAAAGATAAAGTGACTATATAGTTCTAGTCTAATCTCTCATCTACAGTATTTTTGCTTTACAACCCCCTTGCCAGGAATGGAAAATTGGCTTTATCTTGCACACTTAAACCCCATCAGCTGGTATTGGCTGTATAAAAATGGATACTGAAAAGGTTCCCAAGGCCACATCTGGCCTCAGTAGCAGAGTCCAAAAATGGGTTATCATAGTCAACTATGGGTTTGGGGGGAGTAACTGTAAGCAGATATACCATCTATCTGCCATGTCTGGTCTACTGTCTATTTTAAAGACAATTAGCTATCATGCTTTCTCCGTTCTTTTCCAAAATGATTTTCGAGTCAGTAGCACAGCTGAAAATCAACCTTAAGAATTTCTAATACTGTTTAGTGACTAGAAATAAGGACTCCGGTAATTTTTATTTCCTGCCTCACTTGATAATAGAGCATACAAAGAGATGCTCTGTGGACTTAAGAAAATCCCTAGGATTTTCAAGTTTGGAAACCTGAAATGAGGCATGTTTAAACATATCAATATAGTAGAATCTCACACAAAGTAATTAAATGGATTGGGAAGCAGAAAAGCAGGTTTCTAATCCTTTATAACCTCTAAGGCTATTCAGCCACTCTATGCCTCTGTTTCTTACTCTGTAAAGTAAGTGGCTTGGATTCTTTAAGGTCTTTTGCAGCTGTAAAATTCTTTGCTTACTTGGTTGCTTGAGGAAAGAAAAGGTGATAGAGAAACTTTTATGCTGGAAAAATAAATCATTATATAGTAAACCTCATGCCAGATGATGAGAGTACTTGACATAATTCCTGATTCTTAAATCACCAAGGCACGAATTGAAATGAAGAGTAATACAATAGGTAATGGAAAAAAATGTAAACTTTAAAATTAAAGTGTAGTTAATGATATCTCCATACCCTCATAGATGTTGAATTAAAAATATAATAAAGTTTTATGACTTTTACTGCATACTTTAATTCTTTTTGTGGCTTCTTATAACCAAGTCACCTTATAGTTCCATACCCAATTTTGAAAACTAATTATTACTCCAATATATGACCAGCTTCATGGAAAGAAATACATTACCTACACATGATGAGATAAAAAGCAGGAGATCTCAGTTCCAGTCTTGTCTCTACCACAAACTAGCTGTATAACTGGGCAAGTCACCCATCCTCTCCAACCTCAATTTGCTTAGCCACTATAAAAAGACTCGAATAAACTCACTCCTGGAGAAAGAGGTCAGAATTAATTGTGAGTCTCCCTTTAAAAAGAGATTCAGTTTTAGTTAACCTACAAAGAAAGGCACTCGAAACTTAAAGTATTTTATTTATTCAACTACTGAGTTTAGACCTAGTGAACTAAAGAATTAAGAGTATTTATTGAAGAAGGTGAAGATTTAAGTTGACTACGCTCTGCTGACAAAACAGAAAATGACAGATTTCCAGGTTTTCTTGCTATTGATGGTTTTAAGGATGTTCTTGGTGTCAAAATTGTTTTTACAAACAGGCCTGTCTTTAACCGTCTGATATGTGAACTAGGTAAGGTTGGTAAGGTCTTTGAAATGTTTTAAATCATCATGGAAGGTCAAAGAACATGGTTTAAGAGATACTGACAGTTCATAAACTGTATTTATTGCTAATCACTACAGATGCAACTGAACTTAAAATGTTCTTTTATTCTTTCCTATCCTAAATTGAATCCTTTTTTAGATAGACACTTAAAAACTAAGATGATATCTGAGACAGCAATCCAAACTCTGTGGTCTCTCTCTGCAGTAATTTAACAAAAACACTTTTTCTGAGAACTTGTAAGCTTAAAACAATGCTGGCTTTACTTATTCAACACTCTTCCTCACAGAAGAGGGAGTTGGGCTACAGATTCCCGGAAATCCCTTCTAGCACTACATTTGACCATTCTTACCTTAGAGTTTAGAGGCATATTCTACAACTACTGTGAAATGGAACATTCTTTGAGGAAAGATATTTCTGTTTAATTTTATAAATCTGTAAAGTTGAATGAGATTAGTTAACAAGGCACCAAAAGCAAAATAATTTAAAATACTTCTGAGGAAGAGGGAGAAGCAACATTTATTGAGATATCTGTCATATTCTTTACATATACAATTTCATTTCAGTGTCAAAAACAACTCTGGCAATCTTCATCATTTCACCTTGAAATGAAGAGACAGAGGTGCGGTGAAGTTAAGTGGCTTGCCCAGGGACACGAAATGATAGAGCCAGAATTCCAACCCCGGCTTATAACCCTAGACATTACATCCACTGGATGAATTAAGTAAAATACTAAAGTACCCTGTACATTTTTGTGAAATGATTCAAACTATTTGGCAAATAATTTAGACTTTGTTGTCACAGAGCAAATTATACATAGATTTTCTCACTATGAAAAAAATTTGAAATGTATTAACAAAATTATTCATGTTTTTAGAAAACATCAGCGTATTCGTTGATGGACGACACCAACAGAACAGGAAACATTCGTCCTAAGTGCTATGACATAACACATACGTTTCCATGGGCGAATCATGCACTGGCTGAACCAATTTTGGTTAGATCCTGCTGTCTCTCCAGGAAACTCCTTCGAGGATCAATTTCAAGCAGCAGCTAATAAATTACAAATGAATTACAAAAGAACAAACTTTCCCGAAACACGAAAAGTTTTATTTTTTAAAGTACAATAAGCGTGAATCCCCCAAATGAAATGGATAACAAAAGGGGACAGGTGTCATCCTCAGCCCGCACCATGGCTTCTTCACAACCACTTCCAGAAAACCACGAGATGGGAGGAGACAGAGGAAACCTTGAGAAGCTCCTCTTTTGCCTGCTTCCCGCCGCCCGCCCCCCTCGGTCGGTTAGCCACCTCCGCGCCCTCTTGAGGCCTCGGGGGCCCGACGGTGGGGAAGCGGGCTGCGGATGGCCGCCCGCCGGACAAACTCGGGTCCCTGAGAGACACGTCTCTAGGGGCCAGGGTGCCAGTGACCCTCGCCGGACCCTTCTCGCTCCTACGCCCCGGCTGGGCGCTCTCCTTCCCTTCCCCTCAACCTCCGCCTCCAACTCCGTCGGGAGGAGTGGCACCTCCTCGTCACCCTGCCACCAGGCCTTTTACAAACGCCCTCAAGCACCTGACTGCCCTCACCAGCCCTCCTCAGAGTCGCTCGCGAGTCTGGGAGGCCGCCATGCTCTTTCCTTACCTCTCCCAAGCGGGCCTCCCGGAGAGGGAGGGAGGGAGGGAGGGAGGCTGGGCGTCCGGCCGCGCTCGAGTCCCGCCGCTGCCGCGCCCACCGTCGGCTCCGCCCCTTCTCGCTCCCTGCTCTCTCTCCGCGGCCAGAGGCTGGCACCGCGGGCCGAGGAGGACGCGCATGCGCGCCGAGGGTGGAGCCGCTGGGCGAAGAACCGGAAACTTAGACACAAAGTTCCGAGCCCCGCCCCCTGCCGCGCTGCCCTGCCGTCTGGCCCCGCGGACCCGCTCCCGCCCGCCCGCCCCACAGAGCGACGAGTCGGCTCGGCTCTCGTGTGCGCCATGTCTGGTTCCTCCAGCGTCGCCGCTATGAAGAAAGTGGTTCAGCAGCTCCGGCTGGAGGCCGGGCTCAACCGCGTGAAGGTGGGCGTGGGCGGGCGGCCGAGGGGGAGGAGAGGGCGGTGGCGGCAGCGGGTGGGACCCCGAGGCCGAGCTGGCCGGGGCGGGCGGGACCCGCGTCCGGCTCTCGCTTCCCCGGGTTTGGACGCGCGCTCGGCGTTGGCGGTCGGCGAGCAGCTCGCCTGAGAGAAGTAGCGGCGCGCCGGCGCTGGGGTTTGGGGGGCCGGCTGGAGCGCCCTTCCGCCTCAGGACTTTCCAAGGCGGGCTGGCCCTGGGCTGAGCGGCGGCTTTCCGCATTCCGGTCCTCCTCCCTCTCTGCCTCCCGCCCTCTCGCCGCAGAGACTCCGCGGCTCCCCTCGCAACAGCTGCTGCCCCGCGCCGTCCGCGCCCTGCCCGACCCTCTGCCAGCCTCCGCCTCTCGCCGCCGGACGGGGTGTCATCCAACTTTTGTTTCAGAACAGTATTTTTCTTTTGTTCAGAACTTTCCCAAACCCAGTCCCTTTATAGTAGATTGTTACCTCGGGCTCCTCTCATCCGCCGAAAACAGACTTGAAAACGAATTCTTGGGCATAACTTAAGCTATAGGTTAAAGAAGCGTGTTTTCGAAGCGTTCCCGAGTCTCACGTTACCGCAGATGCCCTGCACAGCCTCGTACAAAGCGTGCATTTCATAGCTCTTTGGCACAGTTTGCTGTGATCTGACCTTGGGGATATTACTGGTCCGCATACCCGAGGACGCGGTTAGGGTGGACCAGTCCTATGTACTTTGGCGTCTAGTTAGCATTGACCTTGTCTTGGGTATTTACTTTGGGGGAAAGCCGTCTGTGTGTGTTGGTATGATAACCTGACCTTCAAGTGCTGTTCCAAGTTTCTCTTGATTTTTTAAATCCTCAGTGGATTGGCTTTTTTTGTGGTGCAAGTCACCTTACATGTGAAACACTTACTGTAATTAAAAAAAGAAACAGAAGAATATATAAATCATGCGCTCTGTTGAAAGAAGCAGCCAATTTCCAAAATGCTTTGATTCTGTACTCATCAGGCTAGTCTTTACTTCTCCCTCAAATGTTTTGTGGAGTAAAATGGTCTCCCATTTACCTACTTCCTTAAGTAGAAATGTCAGGGACCTAGCTTACTCAGTTGTGGTCACCTCAGGAGGGAAAGTTAGTTCCCATTAGTCTTGGTGTGGATTCCCCTCCCTTCCTGTCCTTTTAGTGCTGTAGACTCCATTGCTGTTTGCAATCCTTTTCTCTAATCTCCAGATTCTTACCTCATCCCAGTAGTTTATGGTTATCTTGGCTGGATTTAACACTGAAATTCGAAATCATATATTTCTTAACTAATCATTACAGTATCATTCAGTTGTGCCTTTATGGTACATTGGAATGGCCCAGGAAAGAAAAAAATAAGGGGAAGGGGCAAAAAAAAAAGGCTGGTTGAAAGCAGTACCTATAAATAGGGTGCTTAGTCCTAGTCTCTAAAGAAAATGAGATGAAGCCCTCAGACTAAAGTACTCCTCCCATGGCTTTACCATGAAAATACTAGTCCCCCATGAAAGCTCTGCAGAGAGATGCCTGCCTCATATACCTAATTCATTAGGAGGCTTCGGATTGGGATCATTAATGCCACCACCAGTGCTTTGGTTTTAGAGTTCTTGGTTTGTCTCACACTAGGGCTGTAGCAAGGAGGGGAGGGCATCCTACCTTGGAACTTTAAATGAGCTTTTCTTTAGACCCATTGCAAAACGTGGTTGGTTTGATTTCATTTTGTGAATCTATTTTATCTATGAGTCTGTGCTAGGTGCTTTTTTGTGATATTTTATTTGTAAACTAGCACAAGTTTACTGTTTAAATCTTTGTTTGAGTACAGCTGATAAAAATTATCACAAATGCTTGACAACTCTCCCATATGTAGGGTGACCATACACTTTATTGCCAACCCAGGACACTAATAATTGTCAGGATTATAGAGTTTCAACCTCCTGGATGGTGATGATTACAGTGCTTTGGCTCACAGCTTGTTCCAGTTTTAGAGCCTTTGTCTCGGTTCTCCCCACTGCTTGGAATTAGTTTCTCGATGATGGTTTTACTTGGCTGGATCTCTTGTCAGCGATCTCAGTTTAAATGTCACCTCCTCGGAGACACTGCCCCTCAGGTTACAATCTAACAAACCACTCTTTTTTTTCTGCAGAGCTCCTGCCTTTTCCCTTGAACTGTCAGCTCTGTAACAGCAGGGACCTGGCTCTTGCATATTCTGTGTCTAGAAGTATATTTGGCACATAGTGGTGCTTGAGATGTTTGTGAAAGGGAGTTAACTTGGAGCCTTCCTACACTTTAGGCAGAAAATTAACGGAAACTTTACTGTATCCTCACTGCTGGTTAAAGTAAATGAAACCAAGTTATAACGTTGTGAAAAATGATACACCCATTCCTGCCCCCCCCCTTTAGCTACACATTCTTTTGAGGGGAGCAGGATGGCCATTTGTCATAATACTTGTTACCAGGTATTTAAAAACTACTTCTTTACATAGTTGCTAAGTAGACCTATGGAACACATTACCGTGGGCTGTTGTATAAGCCAAAGAGACAAACAGATTCCACGAAGTTTGGATTCTTCTCAGGATGATGGATCCCTTTATCAGGTTAACGTCTGGGTACGACTGTAATCTGCAGGATTTCTTGGTATAGGGAGCACTTGTGACACTCTTACCTCCATTTCAAATGCTGAATACCCAGGCAAACTGGACACCTGCTCTCACTGTCCTTGAGGAGAGTTAAAACTGAGAATAAAGTAAATGGTTTTCCCATCTTCCTAAAACTCAGTTCAAGACTTAGGATATTGTTTTCATTTGGGTCATCTTTTAGTCATTCATGTTCTACATCTGAACCATTCAGTTCATTGTTTTGGTATCTTGCATTACCTTAACCAGAATATATACAAATAGTAGATGTTTAAGTGATACAGGATATAAACAAAATAACGATAAAGCCATAAAAGTCCCTTAAGTTCTGTTTGAGTGACATTGCATACATATATGAAAATTAGTAAATCACATTTAAGACAAATATAGTTTCTTAAAGGAATGCTGCTCAGTGAAGTTAAACCAAGGTTTGCTATCAGTCTTTCAGTCACATGACACTGAGCAGAAAGCTGTCACTGTCCAGTTTTGTAACATTAAACAACTGATGGTACATAATACCAAAACAATGAACTGAATGGTTCAGATTTAGAACATGATGTTCATCCACAGTAGCACTTTTCCAGTAATACTGCTTTCAAGACGAAGTAATCGTTTTCTAGAACTAGAATTTTAACGCTTTTTGTTTAACCTCTAATGTTGTGTACTGCTTTTAATAAAAAACAAGATGCTGCATACCCTCAAGGTTGTACTTGCACAGCCTATTTAGTAATAAACTAGCAAGCTGTGCTATGCTTTGCAGATAAATGGAGTCGTACTGTTTATATATACTGAATCATTTGATGTTTCTAATAAGCAAAACAAAACATACTATAAACTAGAATTATTTACATGCAGTGTTGTAAGCATAAGAGCCTGGTATGGCTGTTGACCTTCAGTTAGTATGTCATCTTCTTTTGAGTTAAGAAAAGTGTGTACTGGGGGTATTTTGAAAGATTTGAGAAGACCTTCATCAAAACATTCTCACTCACTCCTCCCTTGTTTTGTACAGGTTTCCCAGGCCGCTGCAGATTTGAAACAGTTCTGTCTGCAGAACGCTCAACATGACCCCCTGCTGACTGGAGTGTCTTCAAGTACGAATCCCTTCAGACCCCAGAAAGTCTGTTCCTTTTTGTAGTAAAACCAATCTTTGGAAGGTAAGTTTCCTTACGTTAAAACAACAGAACCCCACGTAGTAGGAATAACTCGTCAAGTCTGTCTCTGTAGCACTTACAGGTGACCAAGATCATCCCATGCGCTTTTGTTTAGCACTTCAAGTTTCCAGTCTTTTTGTGAGGAAAGTGAGGATTGATGAAACTTGCTGATTTAGTAGTCTTGAAGACAAATTGTTTCTGTTTTATCATAAAAAGAGGATTTAATAACCATAAAGAGGGTATGGGAGAGTCAGTAGAAAATGTCACTGCTGTGACAAGATGTTACCTTTTACAGCATTGACCTAATGCTATATTTGGGGTCCCTGAATACTGGTTTAATTTTTGAGTATGTAGCAAATATTTAGCCAGTTAAAAAAATCTGCAGTGTTTATGGGGATGACTTTTAAAGTACTTCCAATTAATTTGGATTAATTCTGATGTTATTGCTCTAATAGAACCCAGCTATAATAGGGCAGCATAGCAAAGAATTTGGATTTGTGAACACAAGAGAAAATCAGGAGATAGTTCAATAAGCTGACATGGTGTCAGCATTTGGAGTTGGGAATAACAGGTTTTACTTTTTATTCCTTTTTTTTTTTTTTTTTTGAGGAAGATTAGCCCTGAGCTAACATCTGCTGCCAATCCTCCTCTTTTCGCTGAGGAAGACTGGCCCTGAGCTAATATCCATGCCCATCTTCCTCTACTTTATATGTGGGACGCCTACCACAGCATGGCTTGCCAAGCAGTGCCATGTCCACACCTGGGATCCGAACCAGCGAACCCCTGGGCTGCTGAAGCAGAATGTGCACACTTAACCGCTGCACCACCGGGCTGGCCCCATATTCCTATTTGTTAAGTAAAGATAAAACGAGGGAAATGAAGCATGTGAGTTCATGTTGATAGGCAGTGGATTGGATTTCAGAGGATTAAGAAACTAAAGGATGGGCTGGTTTAAAGCATGCTTATATGTTAATCTGTACTTTCCAATTCAAATGCCAGCGTGTGTAAAAACATAATGTTCAAAAGAGGTATGACCCACAACATGCTGCAGATAATTCAAAATGTAATCCAAGGGCACTACCTTTTATAAATTCAGAGTACTTTAGTCAGGGTGTGGACTCACCAGTATTGACCTATGAGAAGCAACCTTAAAATAGTCATGCGCCACATAACGAGGGTTTGGTCAACAGAGGACCATATATATGACAGTGGTCCCATAAGATTAGTACCATACAGCCTAGGTATGTAATAGGCTATACCATTTAGGTTTTCATAAGTATACTCTGATGTTTGCACCAAGATGAAATCCCCTAAGGACACATCTCTCACACCATATCCCCGTCATTACAGGAAGCATGACTGTAGTGCTTAAAACAAAAAAAAGAAGACTGTGTGGCACACGCCCTTTACAAACATTCTAACTCCTCAAAGTCCAGGAAGCTGCTTCCTAAAATACCATGTTACATAGTTGTGCCCTCCCTAATTAAGCTTTGTAGACTTGAGAGCGTCCAGGAAGCATGTATAAGTACAACATGTTGCCAGTAAGTACAATGATTGGTTAAGTTGGTTAAGATTTTTGAAACACCAGGAAAAAAAACCCTTTGAGTAACAGGTTTTCCGTGAGGAAGTAATTCTTTTTAATAGTCTAGCAACTTCATATTTAACAGTTTAATACTTCCCTGCTTCTGGCAACATTAATTCTTCATGGCAGTTTTTGGAAATTTATTTTTATGGCTTATTAAAGATTCTTTTTAAACCTCTATTTGTGTTGTATTCACTTTCCAAAGTGGTTTTTTTCCTCCTTCTTCTTCTCCCCAAAGCACCCCAGTATATAGTTGTATATTTAGTTGTAGATTCTTCTAGTTGAGCTGTGTGGGATGCCACCTCAGCATGGCCTGACAAGCAGTGCTAGGTCTGTGCCCAAGATCTGAACCGGTGAAACCCTGGACCACCAAAGCAGAGCGTGCAAACCTAACCACTTGGCCACAGGGCCGGCCCCTAAAGTGGTTTATTTTCGTTTGATATAAAATACTATTAAGACATCTGGCTTCTTAATTGGCTGTTAATAGTTTCATTTCACAGGAGTCTATGACTTGTTTAAGGTTACAGATATGGTGGGGATAAGAACCCAGATGTCAAAGTAAAATAATGGCTATTAATCCTGGCAGTATAATAAAACACCTTTGTGGATATGATTTGAAACACTTTGGGCTAGGAAAAGAATATTTGGATGTAAAAGCATTTTTTCTCAAACTTGAATGTATCTACAGTTCGCCTTGTTAAAATGCAAATTCTAATTCAGTAGGTCTGGGGTGAGGCCCTAGAATCTGCATTTCTTACAAGCTCCCAGGTTACACTGATGCTGGTGGTCCTAGGCCCATACCAAGTGGCATAGATGTGAAGAATCTATATTTGAGTGTTTATACTCATAGCTTTTATAATTAAAAAAATAGATAATTTTGCAACAGCTAGTACAAGGAAAATAGAAATTACCATGATTTGCATGCCTAGAAATAACTCTTGTTAACAGATTATATATATAATTATTTTTGGTGAGGAAGATTCGTCCTGAGCTAACATCCATTGCCAGTCTTCCTCCTTTTTTTGCTTGAGAAAGATTAGCCCTGAGCTAACATCTGTGCCAGTCTTCCTCTATTTTGTATGTGGGATACCTCCACAGCGTGGCTGATAGGTAAAGTAGGTCCACCCCTGGGATCCGAACCTGCGAACCCAGAGCTGCCGAAGCAGAACCTGTGGAACTCTAACTACTTGGCCATGGGGCTGGCCCCTATATTTTTTTTTCTTTCAAAAGGAAAAGATTTATGTATTTTTAAAAATAGTGAGGATCATAGTATGTACAGTTTTTTGTTCTGCTTTTAAAAAAACATGAATTATCTTATTTCATTAAATATTCTTTGTAAATGAGATGTTGAGTGGAGGTACTATAACTTATGTAACTTAATTATACTGCATTGAATATTGAAGTTTGCAAATTTGAGGCTTCACTGAGGCCAGTATCTTGGTACCTGTATGTATACTTTACCTAATTACTTCTTTAAGATAAATTTCTAGAAGTAAAATTATTTAATAAGGGATGACATTTAAAATGTAATGACACTAGTCTTATATTAAACTTTTATATTATTCCATCTGGAGCTTGAGAATGTTTTTGCTGGGCCCTTGCCAAACAGATCTGAGCCTATTTGCTGCTATTTTCTGCCTATCTTGTTTTTGTAATTTGCACTGATTATCGTACATGTTAAGTGAAGTTAAACATGTTTTTTCACCAGCCTCTTGAACATTTTTGTGATGGAATATCTAAAATTTTCAAATAACTATAAAGATGAACCATGTATCTACCATCCTGAATTAAATGGTTTACCTTATTTTTAAAAATGAAAGATACACTTTTTCTACCTTTCCATAGAGATAACTTATCCTGAAGTTGGTATGCCCATGTTTTTACTTTTTACTACATATATTTATTGTGTTTTATAGTTTTTAAACATAGCTATTGTTTCTTTAAGGCATAACTATTGCATTACTTTTGAGGTCTGTGTTGATCCATGTTAATTGCCATCATTTTAATGGCTGTATGGTATTCCACCATGTGTAAAACCTAAGCTTATTTATCCATACCCATGTTGAGTTGCATTTAGGCTATTTCCAGTTCTTTACTAATGAAACACTGCTGTAGTTAATGTCCACGTACATATTTCTCTTTGTGTATAGGTTTACCTAGGTAAATAGAAGTGTGATTGCATCTTCTTCCTAGTAGATATTGCCAAACTGCTCTCCTCACTACTATTGCTCATTTCCTAGGGATGTTCAGATTTTTCTCAACTTAGAGACTTTTATATCAACCTTTTTTATTGGGATAGAGTATATTTTGGAAATGATCTTGGCAAGTTACTCTTTAAATCTCTTTATTTATGAACCATAAATGATACATAGTTCCGTGTGGTTGTGAAAATTAAATTACATTTTACACTATAGGCATTCTCATTTCTTCCTACAAACTCTATGTCTTTTTTTAAAAGACTTAGTTTAACTGAAAGCACTTGTATAAACTGACATTAATATGAATGCCCTAAAAGTAATACAAGATGTACTGCTATTCAGAAAAGACTATTGTTCTTTGAGACTTTTGCCCTAATTCACTTTTTTTTCCATTTCAGGTTTTCTAAACCACTGTTCATGAACCAGTGAATTCAAAGGAGAGCTGAATTTGAAGCCTGTATAAAAGCTTATCCCTGTAACACGTGCCATACTATACAAACTTCTGCTTTTGTCAGTCCTTAACATCTACCTCTCTGAATTTTCATGAATTTCTATTTCACAAGGGTAATTATTTTATATACACTGGCAGCAGCATACAATAAAATACTTAGTATAAAAAGTTTTTTTTGCTTAATTATTGGTATTAAGTACACTATGTATTTATTTGTTTTGAATACCTAAGATAAATGGCAGTTTTCCATTGTCCTTAAGAAGGGGTTAAGTTTTTAGTGTTTGTTCCACCAAATCTTCTCACATAACTTTATGTCTTATATTTGCAAGATTGCTAGGGAATTAAAGGTAAATGGCAAACTTTTATTCTTTGAAGGGTCAGGAAGAGGCTGATAATAATACTACAGTTTCTATCCATGAGTTATTTACAGGGTTTTGTTTTAATAACAAATATTTTTAATAAACTCCTTTGTAGGGATATTACCATTAGACCTAAAAGTTAGTTACTTCAGAACAGACGGCTCTCCTAATAAGAATAGTAGAGCAAACACTGGACCTAAGAATTCCATTAGAGGATGTAAGAAAAACTAGAGCTTGAGACAATTCCTGATTGGAGTATTAAACTACAATGTAATGAGGTACAAAGTGGAAAGAAGAAAGGAACCAAAGATTAGCTTTAATAATTTGCAGCTTTGCTTTAAGTCTTTGGTAAACCATTTTGCTTTAAAATTTTTACCCTTCTGAAAGGCTTAAGGGAATGTTAAAAAATCTGGCTTCCAATATATTCATTCAGGAAACAGTTAAAACTATGTACCTGATCCAAGATTAGTCTGGTAGAAAACCAGGGGGTTGCAAGGTATTTACCAAGCACTGTATTTCTCTCTAGCCTACATGTTCCGTGAAAGAGCAAATGGGAAAGTTAGTTTGAATCTTGATTCCAAGTGAAATTACTCACAATGACCCAAAAATAAGAGACTTAAGTTTTAGGAAACCTAAATTACAACTTATAAACTCTCACCAAAATGACTTTTATTTGTATCTGATACATAAACGTGAGTAGCAATTCATGGCACCTGGTAATTTGTCCAGCTTGAAAGAAGGTTTATGAAATCAGTAAATGCCATTTTGAAAAAGGTCTTCTGTCACAAAATAAAAATACGCCTCTTCAGCAAAATCCAATACTATTCCCTCAGTACTTTACAAATGGAATTTTCTTCTACTTGTATCCATTTCCCGGGGCTGAAAGTTAGGGGAAAAAAGTACAAACAATACATAGTTAACAGTGCTAAAAAACTATGGGTTTGTCTCAGACTGAAGAGTCTTTAGGTCTAAATAAAGGTATTGGAAATTACTGTTCAAATATATGTGTATGTAAAATTTTATCATACTTAAGTGAAATATTGCTTACTAGACAAAACATGTTTTAAAATATTGAAGTTTTCATTGATGATTTAAAATGATGATCTCCAAACTTCTACAAAACCTCTATAGAAATAGTTCTCAAGAATGCAGCAGAATCATGTTGTAACACAGGCTTATAAACAGATTGCTGAGTCCCCACTCCTCAAGCTGCTGATTCAGTAGGTCTGTGGCCCCAAAATTTGCCTTCTTAACAGGTTCTAGGTGCTGTTGCTGGTCCCACTTTGAGAACTACTGATCTTTAGGATACTTCAGATGAATCAGGACTAATCACCAGACTCAAACACCATATCAGAGATTAGTTCTTTCTAGCTCATGGGGGAAGAAATTCTTAAGTGTAACTTAAGGTATAAATGCCTAAAGCTTAAAATACATGGTTTCCTTCTCATTCCATACTTTTACAATCATCTAAATGGCTTTTCAAAGAGTAAGCACATACCTTATGGACCCATTCATATTCTCCATATTTAGAATCAAAGGTCCCTTTCTGAAGAGATCGTAATTTTAAGGTAAAACGTGGTCCAAGTTCCTGAATTCCCACTTTCTTTTCACTCTTGAATATGTATCTTCAAAGGTAAAGAAAATAAAAGAGTTAAGGAAATTAGTCTGAATTAACCCAAGTGTTATTTCTTTAACATTATGACAGGGCTCAAAAGATACTTTAAATTATTTCTCATTTTCAATACTTATCACAATACATTTTCAACATAATCCTGTTTTCTAATCTATTTCATGAGTGAAGCCAAAGTCCAAGGAGTTAAAGTATCTTTCTCACCTGTGAAATCTGAAGAAGATATAATCTCGTTGATTGTGGAACGTGGCAACCTGCCTTCCAATAAATTGAGGATTATGGGGAAAGAGAGATGCAAACATACGTCCAATAGAATGACCCAGCCGTGTTGTAAAATTATTCAGAATTATTTCGGGTATGTGTTCTGTGGGGTCCTTGCCTCTTCTCTAGAAAAATGATGAAAAAATCACAATAACTAAGTTAATTGGCAAAACTATCTCATTGTAATTTCAAGTTTTAGAATTTAGATAAAATATTTCAAAAATTTTAAAGTTATTCTGATTAATGACAGACAACCACAGATGGCTTATCAAACCCATGAAATAAGATGTATCTAAAATTATTTTATATGCCGTGAATGCACCAAAAAGAAAGTCCTATTAGCAACGTAACATTTCTAGCAATGAAGCTATGTGCCTGTCTGCCATAACTCAATTCCAATCTCACAAGAAAACTGTCAGTAGATAAAACTACTGGTTTAATCAGGAGAGCAAATGCCCTTATTAAAATCAATCAGATCTAAAAAAGTATCTGCCAGTCAAATACTATGAGGAGACCAATGCCAATCGAATGCATAAAACTTACCTTAATTTCCTTACGCAGACGAACGCTGCTCATTTTAAAATGAGCCGTTGGGCCATTTGGCAAGTGACTCAAAATTAATCCATCTGTTCATAAAGCTAAGAACACACTGAACTCTGTAATCGAAATCTTAAATTGTTTAAATCACTGGTCTTCTGTATGCCCAAAGGCTCCTAAAATTTGTAGCTAGGAATAGGTGGGTGCATGTATTCCTCTGGGTTAATGGAAATTTTCTTACCATACCCCAAACTCGAGACACGTAAGTCAACCTAAATCTCTCAGAAAAACATTAACCTATAGTTGTCTTACTTTTTCTCTTTTCAAAATATGATAAACAGCTGGTCATCACCCTCAATAGGGTTATGTTGAGCATTCAACTAAAGTAGACAAAAAGAACTACTTAAGGTCCACTACTCTTAACAGGAAATGATAAGACAGGATGGGATTCTAGAATAAGTTTAGTGTTGTAAATAGAATGTTCAGAGGCCTTATAACCCTAAAAATGCACACTTCTATAAGTTTATATATACATTTGTAAGATCAGGATATACTGTCATCTTTGAATATCATCCCAAAAGACCAGATACTCCTAAATTCTCTTCTTGAAATCAAGGTTATTAGTGTTTCTCAAGAGACAAGCTTTTAGTCTTGAGATTACTGTACCACAAATTAAAATCAACCAACTAATAAGCATCTATTGATTGTCTACCATGAACAGAGAATTGTGCTAGACACTCAGTTTTAAACTACAAATTAAATATAAGACACCTATTTACTCAGCAGGGTTAGCAGCCCAAGGGTTTTAAAAATCCTAGATGCAGCAAACTAAGATTACTACCTATTTAAAACATTCCTCAAATCTTTGTAGCACAATTTGATTCTTTCAAATACTGAAACTTAAAAGGAGATTGTTTTGCACATCTCCTTAAAAGGAGATCATGTCCACACAATATGAGTTTTACAAAACACACTGCCATCTTTTTATAGTGGCATTACACTCTCCCATTCATCCAATGATGAAATTGGTTATCTTCAATTTCCTCCTCTCCTACCAAATCCTATTTATTGCTTTTTACCTTCCTAAGTTCCTCACTTGTACATCTCCTCTACCCTTACTGTTAATTGTCTTAGTTAAGGTCCTTGAGATTTTCCATCTAGATTATTAAACAGTATCCTGGATGGTCTTCCCTCTCTCTTACCATTTCAAGTACATCTTATAACAGATTGTAAATCAAGTATGGATTTAGGCCTTCATTCTATAAGTAAGCTATGGGACTTTGCTGTGTCATTGGATCTGGATCATAGTTTCTCATGTGCTACGTGAAAAACAAACTAGATACCTCGAGTTTTGACAGCTGCAGCTAATTTCAAGCTACTCTCACCAGACTCATCTACAGAATAAAGACATCAGTGTGACACTCAATGTGGCTCCAAACTATGTTCCTAACTTGTTTCCCCTTATGTCTCCCCATGCTATTTCCTAAGTGGTAGGCACTGACACAATCTCTTAGACACCATACACATTAATCCTATCATGTATTTTTTGCTCGTACTATTTCAAATTCCTGTAATATTTTACTCATCAAGGCCCACTTCAAATGCCACCTCTTTTCACACAGTCAAAATTAAGCTCTGTATCCTCTCAGCTCTCACTGTTACTAACTATAGCACTTGTCACTTGGGTTATAGTCATGTAAATGCCTTTCTTCCCAACTAATCCATTAGCTCTTGGAAGACAGATCTGTTTTTGACAGATACTAGTGCCTACCATATAGCAGATTATCAGTAATTGTTTGAATTCTTTCCTCCTTTTCAAAGATTCACCACGGGTTCAATTTCATCATTTGCAAATTGAAAAAAAATCATAAAATCTAAGGGGGTTAAGAGAGGTAAAGGTCATTTCTTGCAACCTAAATCAATGCTTGAATCCTTTCTAGAACATTCCCATTAAATTGTGGTTTCTGTCAAAAGCAAACTACAAAATTCAAACTTATGAATTCCTAAGTACCAGCACTGTACAAAAAGGTCTGTTTATATTACTTCTAGTCTCCAACACAAACCATGCAAAATAGGAGTTGTCATCCCTATTTCAATAATGAGGAAAAGAGGCAGAGAAGGGTCAGGTAAGTTAGCTCAAGTTTCAGAGGTAAGTGGCAGTAGATCTCAACTGGGGTGGGATTACACCAGTGCCCAGGCCCTTGACTGGCAGCTGCCCACATTTGGAAATGTATAGAGGCATTTTGTTTGTCATGATGACTTGAAGTGAAATTGGCTTTTTAGTACCCAAAGGCCAGAAGTGCAAAACATTCAAAGCTGCCAAGAGTATAGCACAATGAATTATCCTATCTCAAATTTCCATTTACAAATTATGAATATAGGATGTAGGTCTGTCCAGGAAAAGCCTCCATGCTTCCCACCACACCACAACATTTACTGAAATGCCTACTATAGGTGAGGCACTATGCCTTAGAAACAATACATTTAATGTGATCCTGTAGGAATCCTAAAGATAGGTATTATTTCCTACATTTAAAATATAAGAAAACTTAGTGGCCAAGAAAGTGAGTATCAAGTCACAAGAGTAGCAAGTAATAAAGTCTGTATTTGGCATCACATCTGCCTGACCCAAAGCCACTAGGCTACAGTTTAGATAGTTGACAAAATTCTTTTCCAGAATAAGTCAAAAATTTACATTCCTCTAAATTTCTACCCTTCAACATTTCCCATATCTTTAGACAGTTATGTTCCCAGATTCTAATCACCCACAGGCTGAATATTCTCAATTCTTTCAACTTTTCTCCAAGTGTCATCATTAGCAGTCATGATTTGTTATTTTGAGCCCATGTTGAGTCTCTAAGAATCACCACTATTCCTATGAGGTGCTTACAAATTATTCTTTCTTTAATTATTCTACATTTCTTTTCTGGATCACAGCAAAGATTAACCAGTAGTCCACTTTCCCCCTCTGTGCTTTAAAAATCCTAACTCCATTTGCCTGTCTCATATCTTCCTCAAAGAGTAGCACAGTCTTCATTGACAAGTCTGCGCACAGGTTCTTTGAAGCCAGGATATCTGACCTCATTCAGAGTTTCTAGGCCTTATCTTACAATCTCTTTATCCAAGATGGACTTCCAATCCCCTCTTACCAATGTCCTTATTAGTCTGAAGATCATTCTCTGTTGACAGAGAAGACAAAAGCAAATTAAGAGGTCTGATTTCCTAGTGTCTTTCACCAATACTTTGCCATCAGCTGCATTACTGGATATCAGAAAAGTGAAATATCTTTGAAATTATAAAAACCAACACATCCAAGCAGCGTTATACTTTAAAAAATTCCATTCATTAGGACTTTTAGAAACTGCTGTATAATTCTGTATGCAAAAATCTTAGGATACATACGTATGCGTGTGTGTGTGTGTGTATATTTATATATGTTTATGTGCACGGGAGTAGACAATTTCATATTCAGATTAAATTATTTAACTTAGTTATTTCATTAATAAAAATCAGATCTGCATACTGATGGTACCTTAATTATCTGATGCTTAACTTACCCTACCAGGTGTCCAATAGAAAACTATTAATAAATTTTAGGTAAAAGGACAATACCATTTTACAAAGAAAAGAGAATGTTAAGTTTTCTAAAGGCAACAGATGGTGTAAGTGAAACTTATGTACCTATAGTAAAATGCCTCAGATAAAACAAGGATAGAATGTTTACTGAATTGATGAATATCTGCTTCTTAGCAAAAAGTTACTAGTAGCCTTGAAATGACGATGATTTTTTAACTGCCAAAAATAAAGAGAGGAAAACTGACCCTGCCACTTTACTTCGAGGGGTAGCTCTAAAAAGGGCAGCAACTACCTTAAAAATAGATCTTTTCTGGAATAGTTAAGTATTTAAGAAATTTAGTTACTTTGGTATATTAACCCACAATCCAAGCCAAATCAAAATATGGCCAACAAAACACCACATTTCAAAGCTAGTTTAAGTCTATTTTATTTCCTGGAAAGCAACTAGTACAAGTGGATAATGTCACTAACTTCCAGTAAAAACAAGAAAAGCCATAAAAGTTACTTAGATTTTTAAAAAGTAGCTTTTAAACCATTATATATATATATATATTTACTTACTTAGAAAATATATACATTATCCTGACAGTAGGAAAGTCCTATCTATGTTTTTTGCAAATTCTTAATTTTAATAATGTTGACCCATTTAACTGATCATGTTTAAAGTCACTTAATTCACAGCCACCATTCGATAAATAAGTAAAACAATAGCAATCACAAGAACAAATCTAGGCATCCTTTATGTGATCTCTTATCTCAAAACAAGTCATATAGTGGGTTTAAGTGACACATTCACCTTGAATCTGAGACTCATAGAAAAAGGAGAGATTACTCTTGGTATCTGAAACACTGGCAAATATACAATAAGGGCTCAAAACGCAATCCTGTGATACCGTCTCTTGCAACATAAAATCTAGCCATATCAAATTATTTGCAGATCCCCAACTGAGTGAGCTATTTCACACCTCTATCTTTCAATTATGGTCTTCTCTCTGCACTGGACACTCTTTCTCTGTCTTATCCACCTCATTCACCCTTATCCACGTAGCTGAGCTTAAGCATCTTTCTCTGTCAAGTCCTTCCTCTCTGATATCCTCAGGGCAGATTTTACAGTCAGAGTTTGCACTGTCTCCTATATTTCTCTCTTTAATTGTACTACTCATATTTTAGTTTTCTTAGTTTACATGTCTATTTTATCCTACTAGATTACGAATTCCCAGAAGCTGTCTCTTGTTTATCTCCACATCTTTTACTAAGGATTAAAATAATGTCTTCCCTGTAGCCTGTGCTTGATGAATGTCTGCTGAAAGGAGAGGAAAAACTAGTTCACAGAATCTTGGATAGAGATACATAATTTTCTACTTTAAAACTATGTTTTGAAAGTTATAGGGGACATTTCTTTATTCTTTTAAACATATTTTAAATGAAGGTGAAGACAGGAAAACTTCTTTAAAAAACAAAGGATACTTGGTGTTTTACGATCTTCATTAATAACGATCAGATCTGTGAAATCTCTTGATATGCACTGTGGAATAATCTTTTTCAGAGCCAGTCCTCTTCTATAATAAACATGTGAGTTTGGTATAACTGTGGACAGCTGTTCACAGAGTCGTACAGTTCTCTGTAAAACAAAATAGCAAAAATGCTCAAAAGTGAAAAAGAAAAAAATCTTACATGGTATACATTTGTAAGGAAAGGAGTAACGATTACTGTTAGGTAGTATTATTAACAGAGAGCAAGACTAGGGAAAGAATGAAATCTGAACAGTGTTTCATGCTTTATCAAAGGCTGATCATCCTAAAGCAGTGATTCTCAACTTGGGGTGATTGTGCCCCACCAGGGGACATTTGGCAATGTCTGAAAACATTTTCGGTGGTTACGACTAGTGGTGGTGGGGGCGATGGCTGCTACTGGTATCTAGCTGATAGAGGCCAGGGATGCTGCTAAACATCCTATAATGAACAGGACAACTCCCATAACAAAAATTATACAGCCCAAAATGTTAACATTGCTGAGGCTGAGAAACCCTATCCTGAAGAATCAATGCTTAGTGAACCACACATCACCAGTACTACATTTTATTTAGCTTATCTGAAGAGTTAATCTAATAATTAACTCTTCTAAACAAGTTCTTTTAAATAGTCTAAGTAATAAAAGGAAATTAGGGATTCAAGGACTGTACTAATTGATATACTTATTACCCCATGAGGTCTATCTGATGTTGTGATGAGAATCTTGGGAGAAGTTTGTCTGTTGAAGTAAGAAGCAAATTCATCTGTAGCTTCATCATAAGCAACCTGAGAACAGAAAGAGATAATTTTACATCAAATACTCTATACTGGGTCAGAATTTTAAAAGTACGGATTCTATGACAATAACTACCTAGCTGATAGTGGATTTAAGTAAAGCCTGGGTGGGACTTAATGTTAATGGCAATATGAAGAGGTTGGGTGATTTCCTCTCTGTAGAATACAGTATAAAACTGGAAAAAAATGTCAAAAACAATTTCAGGACACAAACTGAGATCCATTTATTCCTGAAAAATGGCTATAGCTGTAGATGAGAATCTTGCCAAGAGCTATTCCATTTCCCACACCAACTTGGTGAAAACAGTAACTTCAGGTCTGATGGTAGACAAGAACCAGCAATCTTAAATCCAGAGGTGGTGGACGCAATTCAGGGTGGGAGGAGGTGTGGGTATGAAAACCCTAGCTTTGCCAGTCTAAGGTTAAAGGCCCAATTCAGGGTAGGTGTGGACCAGTGAGATATTTAAAGGAAAGCTCTGGAAGTGAAACAGCCATAGAGGGGCTGAGATAATCTCTCCACAAATGTCTAGTTGACAGTTAAACTCCAAATGGGAGAGACCTGAGAATCCAGCACACACGAAAAGCAAGGGAAACGTGAGAACTGGCTCCAGTTTTGAATGAATTCCTCAATACACACAGCTCAGTTGGCAGAAGGTATGTATGTCTTAGTGGCTCAAGGCGTGTCAACACAACCTCTGTCCAAATCACTGGATGACCATTAAGCCACCTACACACAGGGATAATCTTGTATAGAGTCAGGTTAAAAATAACAATAAAAAAAAAATAAGTGGAGACAGTGCCACTGTCAGGGAAACAGATTCCACAGTTTAAGTCTAGGCAAACTAGTAAAACAGAACAGCCCAATAATGCTTTAAAAAGAAAACAATCCAAAGATACTGCAATATGCTATCTAAAATGTCCAGTTTTCAGCCAAACATCAGATATGCAAAGAAACAGGAAAGTATGATCTATAATCAGGAAAAAAGCAGTCAATAAAAACTGATTCTGAGTGGGTGCAGATGTTGAATTTAGTAAAAATTTCAAAGCAGCTATAATAAATATATTCAAGGAATTAAAGGAGAATATGGACTTAATAGCATATCCGAGAAAGCAGAAAGATCAACGAACTAGAAAAAAGATTAATAAATATTACCCAATCTGAACAACAGAGAAAACAATCATAGAAAAAGGGGCAAAGCTGGAGAAACTTGCAGGACAACGTTAACCATTTCAACAGTGTGTGAAAAGGGATTCCCAGAAAGAGAGGAGTGAAAGGGGCAGAAAAAAATATTTTGAAGAAATAATGGCTGAACACTCCCCAAATTTGATGAAAAATTCTATAACTTACAGATCCAAGCTCAACAAACCTCACATAGGATGAAAAGAAAAAAAAATACCTCAACACATCAGAGTCAAACTGCTAAAACCCAAAATCAGAGAAAATTTTGAAAGAAATAAGAGAAACATAAATCATATAGAGGGAAATGATGATTAATGGCTGATTTCTCATCAGAAATAATGAAGATCAAAATACAATGGAATATTTTCAAAGTACTAAAAGAAAAAAGCCAACCAAGAATTCTACATCCTGCAAAATTATCTTTCAAAAATAAAGGCAAAATAAGCACATTTTCAGATAAACAAAAACTGAAATAATTAGCTATTAGATCTGCAACATAAACAAAGACTTAAAGAAATCCTTCAAGCTGAAAGAAATTGACACCAGGTGGTAACTCAGATCCAGAGGAAGAAAAGAAGAGCACTGTAAATGGTAAATACGAAAGTAAACACGTAAGACTGTGTGTGTCTGTACACTCTTAATTTCTTTTAAAAAACATGAGATTGTTTAAAGCAGTAATTACAACACAGACTTATGTACAAATGACAATAACAGCACAATAGCAGAAGAAATGAAGCTATACTGATGCAAACTTGCTATATTTTACCAGAATTATGTCAATATATTTACCTAGATGGATTGTGATAAATTAAAGATGCATGTTGTAATTCCTAGAGCAACTGCTAAAAAAAACTCAATATAGCTTAAATGATCAAGAGGAATTAAAATACCATACTAAAAAATATTTAATAAAAAAGGGAAGCAGTCAAGGAGGAACAGGAGAAAAGTAAAGACATAAGATATGTTAAAAAACAGCAAAACGGCAGATGGAAATCTACATCAATAATCAACATTAAATATTAATTGTCAGACTGAATAAAAAAACAATATCAAACCACCTGCTATCGGTAAGTGACACTTCAAATTCAAAGACAAATTGACTGAAAGTAAAAGCACAGAAAAAAAAAGATATATTATGCAAACAGTAACTATAAGACAGTTTAAGTAGCTATATATACATCAGACAAATGGACATTAAGAAAAGAAATATTGCTAGGGACAATAAGGGGCATTTTATATTGGATTATGGGTCTACACATCAGGAAGATATAAGAATTATAAATATATATGCACCTAATAAAAGAAGCCCCCAAAAGACATGAAACAAAACAGGAATGGAAGAAATTAATAAACAATTACAGTTGGAAATGTCAATACTCCTCTCTCAGTAACTGATAAAACTAGGCAGAAATTCAGCAAGAACATATAAGACACAATTAATCAACTTGAAACAACTCTTACAGCAATCTACTTCAAAACAGGAGAATATACATTTTTCCAGTACACACAGAACATTCTCCAGAATTGATCATATGCTAGGACATGAAACAGTTTCTTTAATTGAAGAGGACTAAAATCAAACAAAGTATGTTCCACAACCACAATAAAATTAAATCAGAAATCAACAGCAGAAAGAAATCTGGGAAATCCTCAAATATTTGGAAATTAAACAACACACTTCTTAAAAATTGATGAGCCAAAGAAGAAATCACAAAGTATCTTGAACAGAATGAAAACACAACAAACACATCAAAATTTATGGGATGTGGCTGAAGTAGTGCTCACGGGGAAAACCCGAGGTTTCTTTGATTATATTAGAAAGAAAGAAAAGTATAATCTAAGTTTTTATCCTTAGAAGCTAGAAAAAGAAGAGCAAATGAAACCCTGAAGAAAAGAAATAATAAGGATCAGGAGAAAACTAATGAAATAAAAAAATACATCAAGCAAAAAACTAATGAAATTACAAGAAATCAACACATCTTCCATTAAAAGAGATACTGAAGATGTGAACAATAATGAAAGTAACACATCTTAAAACTTGTAGGATATACCAAAAGTGGTTCTTACAGGGAATTTTGTGGCCTTACTTAGAAAAGAAGATGAAAAATGAGCTATTTAATCAAATACATAAAGACAGAATAAACTCATAGCGTGGAAGAAAATAAACAATAAAGATAAGGGGAGATATAAACGAATTAGAAAACAAAGATTCAACAAGGAGGATCAAAGAAAAAACTAGTTTGAAAAGAATAACAAAATGGATACATCTCTGGTGAAAAGCCCAAGTGAATAATATTAGGAATGAAAAGGGGACATTACTGCAGTCTCACTCATGAACAGATGTACATATTCTAAGCAAAGTATTTACAAACCAAAACAATGCATTAAAAAAGATAAAACATTATAGGTAAACTGGATTTACCCCAAAAATGTAAAAGAGGTTTAACATTAGAGAATCTATTTCATTTACTTCATAGTGCAATAAAGGAGAAAAACTACACACTCTTCTCAATATTTGCAGAAAAAGTGCATAATTATCTCAATATTTGCAAAAAAGCATCTGATAACAATCTATATCCATTCATGATAAAACAAAAAAATCCAGCAAAAAGAGAATAAATGTAATTTCCTTAATTCATAAGAATAATCTACCATTAATGGCACAAATATTAATAATGACACATTAGAAGTATTCTCTTTAAAATCAGGAACATGGTGCAGATGCCACTATTGCTTTATCTATTTATTTGACATTATGCTGGAGGTTCTAGACAGCACAAAAGTGGGGCAGGGGGAGAAATGAAAACTGTTAATGGGTTGAAAGTAAGAAACAAAACTTATTTGCAGAAATGATTATCTAAACATGAAATGAAAACAATATTCAGACAAATTATTAGAAATGAATTTGGTAAACTACTGGTTGGAAGATCAGCATCCAAAAATCAACTCTATTTTTATAAACCAGCAAATAGAACAATTTTCAAAGAGATGCAATTTACACTAATAAAAAAATAAAATAATCAGGAATAGCTCTCACGAGATTTATGTGTAAAACCTGTATGAAGAAAATTATGAAATTCATTGAAATATTTTCAGTATTTAAAGAAGACCTAAATGAAGCAATACACAGAGGGATCCTCAAACTGACCTGATATAGAGTAATTTACAATTTTATGTGAAGGACAAAAGTGCAGAGAACACTCCTGAAGAGAGGGATCTGAGGATGGGGGTGGGGAGAGGCTTCTTGCCCTAAAAGATATCAAAACTTACCATGAAGCTAAATAATTAAGAAAGTGAAAAACTGATACAGTGACAAATTGACTTAAGCAAACAGAAAGCCCGGAAAAAGGCCAAGCAGATACAGACACCTGATATATGACAAAGCACTACAATTCACTGTGGGGAAAGGTTGCACTACTCCAAAAACGGTGCTGGAGAAACTGGTGATATATGGGGAGAGGAGAGGGAGGGCAGGGGAGGAAAGAAAGAAATTGGTTTCCTTTCTCACACCAGCAGAGAAATCAATTCTTGACGCTTAAGTACATAAATGTGCTGGCAACTCTTCAATTCTTTTAGAAAAAAATATGAGAACATATGATCACAGGATAGAGAAAGATTTTTTAAATATGGCAAAAAGCACTAAATATTTTAAAAGTTTAAAACCTAACTATATTAACGACTTTTGTTCATCAAAAGACATCATAGAGAAAGTAAAAAAGAGAATCTATAAATTGGAAGATACTTGTAACAATTATGAAAGTTTAGTTTATAAAGTTCTACAAATCAGTAAAATACACTATCGTATGGAAAAGTGGGCAAAAGACATAAGCTGGACATATCTCTATTGAAAACAGTAAATGCATGAAAAGATGCTCAATCACACTAGGAATCAGGGAAATGCAAACTCAACCACAGTGAGTTAGCTCTTTATCACAAGTCTGAATGTGGATGACCAGGAACTACTCTTATACCACGGGAGTACAGAAATGATACAACCACTACTTTGGAAAACATTTTGGCACTATCTTGTAAAGTTGAACATTTACACACCCCATGACCCAACAAATTCTCCACTAAGCAAATATTTAGAGAAACTTTTACATTTATGCCTACGATTCCCAATTTATCTCCAGCCAAGACCTCTTCCATATCTCATCAATGACAATTCCATGCTTCTAACTGCTCGGGGAAAAACCTGAATACCATCTTTGAATCCTTTTTCACTCACGCCCCTTATCCAATCTATCAAAAAATTCTAGTGACTCTAATTTCAAAACGCACCTATAAAACCCCTCAAAACCTCAGAATCAGATTAATTCTCAACACTCACTGTAACCACCCTGGTCCAAGTCATCATCATCATTATGTCTTTCCTGGATTACTTCAGTAGCTTCCTAACTAGTCTGTTTACCTCTCTAATTATATTCTCAGTATGGCAATCGACTACTTTTAAAAATTAAGTCCGACCATATCACTCCTCTGTTCAAAACCATACAATGGGGGCCACCCGGTGGTGTAGTGGTTAAGTTTGCGTGCTCCACTTTGGCAGCCCAGGGTTTGCTGGTTTGAATCCTGGGCGCAGACCTACACACTGCTCATCAAGCCATGCTGTGGCAGCATCCAACATACAAAACAGAGGAAGGTTGGTACAGCTATTAGCTCAGTGACAATCTTCCTCAGACAAAAAGAGGTTAAATTCAGGCCCAATTTTCTTCACAAAAGGAACCCCAAAAACAAAACAGAAACAAACCATCTAATGGCTCCTCATTTCCCTAAGTGTAAAAGCCAAAGTCCTCATGATGGCCAATGAAGTCACTGATCCAGCCTCTTCCTTTTCCCATACTTTTCTGGCACCTCTTCTACAACCCTCCCCCTTGCTCACTTAATTTTAGCCTGCTGGCCTCCTTGCTGTGCCTCAAAAACATACTAAGCATACCCCTGCCTTAGAGCTTTTGCACTGGCTGCTCCCTGATCCTGGAGTACTTTTCACTCAAAGACGGCTAATTTCTTCACATCCTTCAAGTCTTTGTTAAAAGGTTATCTTCTCTTTGGTGGCCTGGGGTTCGCCAGTTCGGATCCCAGGTGCGGACATGGCACCACTTGGCATGCCATGGTGTGGTAGGCATCCCACATATAAAGCAGAGAAAGATGGGCACGGATGTTAGCTCAGGGCCAGTCTTCCTCAGCAAAAAGAAGAGAATTGGCAGCAGTTAGCTTAGGGCTAATCTTCCTCAAAAGCAAAAAGTACTAAAAGAAACACTTGAAGTACTATACAGAGATTAAATGACAAAAACTTTACCTAGGCATAAAATATAATACATTTCTAGAATATAAACAATTACTGCCTTTTTCTATACCATTACTGGGAAATTCACTTATAAAATAATCTACAGCAAATAATAAGATAATATGCCAACAATATAGCTGAATCACTCCATTATACAACTTGACCAGCCAGTACTTTAAATTAAATGTCAACATATGAATAGGTAATTTATCAAGTGGGGTCATCCAAATTTATTTAAGATGTCTAACATTACCTCTTCATCATTAGGGTCTACTATGGTTTCATCATACACTCGCTGGTTGTCAATGGTCTTGGGTACAGGCTTTGGTGGAGCCTAAATAAAAGAAAAAAGAGTAGGTTTTAGAAGCATTTTACATTAATAATTTTTCATTACGGCTGGGAAAGAATAACAGAAATCTGCAAACAAATCTAAAACTCAATCTGTTGCTCACTTCAACCCACTGCTACATCAATCCTAATGACATCAAGAGGGTTTTAACTCTGAGCAGAGATACATGCAAACTGGAGGAACTGCCAACACCAAATGAAATGGCTTCAAACCAGGCAGAGGCAGCAAAGAGAAGAAACGGGGATCAAAATAATCATCCACCAAGAAGAAAAATATCAAACAGAAAGGAAAAAATTACAAAAGTACACATATATGCAGCTTTGTTCCAATACTTCCGGAAAGCTATTCAGAAATATATAACAAAAGCTACAAATCTATTTCTATCTGCTGAACTAGTAATTCCAGTTTGGGGGATTTATGGTAAGGAATAAAAGAGGGGAGCAATTTATCCAAAGAAATGTGTAATATCACTGTAGTTAATGGAAGTGAACAGCAAATAGGGCAAATGTCCAATCACAGGGTCATGACTGTGGCACTTCAACACTACAGAATACGGTTAGAATCAGCAATCACACACACTCAGCTTAGACCAGAAAATTGTGCAAATGAACTGTTAAGGAGCAGGAATACAGAATTGTAAGCATATGTTAACTAAAACTAATTCAAAATATATGTACACTAACAGTGGTATGAAGAAATCTGAACTGCTGATCTATTTGGGATTTTATTTCTTACTACTCTATGAAACAAATATTAAGTTTTAAGTAAGTTTTTAAAGGAGGCAGTTCTAGGAAGTCATCTTTCAGTCCAAAAAACAAGAAGGGTGATATTTTCGAAATCAATGAAACCAAGAGCTGGTTCTTCGAAAAGATAAACAAAATTGACAAACCTTTAGCTAGACTCACTAAGAAAAAAAGAGAGAAGGCTCAAATGAATAAGTTCAGAAATGAAAGAGGAGAAATTACAACAGACACCTCAGAAATACAAAAGATTATAAGAGAAAACTATGAAAAGCTGTATGCCAACAAATTGAATAATGTAGAAGAAATGGATAAATTCTTAGAATCATACAGCCATCCAAAACTGAATCAAGAAGCAGCAGAGAATTTGAGGAGACCAATCACCAGTAAGGAGATTGAAACAGTAATCAAAAACCTCTCCCAAAATAAAAGTCCAGGACCAGATGGCTTCCCTGGTGAATTCTACCAAACATTCAAAGACTTAATAGCTATCCTTCTCAAACTTTTCCAAAAAATTGAAGAGAAGGGGAAGCTTCCTAACTCATTTTACAAAGCCAACATTATCCTGATACCAAAACCAGACAAGGACAACACAAAAGAAGAAAATTACAGGCCAATATCACTGATGAACATCGATGCAAAAATCCTCAACAAAATACTAGCAAATCGTACACAACATTACACTAAAAAGATCATACACCATGATCAAGTGGGATTTATTCCAGGGATGGAGGGATGGTTCAACATCCACAAATCAATCAACATGATATACTACATTAACAAAATGGAGAATAAAAATCACATGATCATCTCAATAGATGCAGAGAAAGCATTTGACAAGATACAGCATCCATTTATGATAAAAACTAAATAAAATGGACATAGAAGGAAAATACCTCAACATAATCAAGGGCATATGTGACAAACCCACAGCTAATATCATTCTCAATGGGAAAAACTGAAAGCCATCTTTCTGAGAACAGGAACAAGATAAGGATGCTCGCTTTCACCACTCTTATTTAACACAGTATTGGAAGTCCTAGCTGGAGCAATCATGCAAGAAAAAGAAATAAAAGGGATCCAAATTGGAAAAGAAGTGAAACTGTCACTATTTGCAGATGACATGATTTTATATATAGAAAACCCTAAAGAATCCACTAAAACACTTTTAGAAATAATAAATGAATACAGTCAAGTTGCATGGTACCAAATCAACATACATAAATCAGTTGTGTTTCTATATACTAAAAGCAAAGTAGCAGAAAGAGAAATTAAGAATACACTTCCATTACATCGCAACAATAAGAATAAATACCTAGGAATAAACTTAACCAAAGAAGTGAAAAATCTGTATACAGAAAACTATAAAACATAGTTGAAAGAAACTGAAGAAGACAGAAAGAAATGGAAAGATATTCCGTGCTCTTGGACTGGAAGAATTAACATAGTTAAGATGTCCATAGTTCCTAAAGCAATCTAGATTCAACACAATCCCTATCAAAGTTCTAACAAGATTTTTCAGAGAAATAGAACAAGGAATCCTAAAATTTATATGGAACAACAAAAGACCCCGAATAGCCAAAGGATTCCTGAGAAAAAAGAACAAAGCTGGAGGTATCACACTCCCTGCTTTCAAACTATACTACAAAGTTATAGTAACCAAAACAGCATGGTACTGGCACAAAAAGAGACACACAGATCAATGGAACAGAATTGAGGGCCCAGAAATAAACCTACACATCTGTGGACAGCTAATTTTCGACAAGGGAGCCAAGAACATACCATGAAGAAAGGAGAGTCTCTTCAATAAATGTTGTTGGGAAAACTGGAGAGCTACAAGCAAAAGGATGAAAGTAGGGGCCAGCCCCACGGCCAAGTGGTTAACTTAACAGGCTCCGCTGTGGCGGCCCAGGGTTTCACGGGTTCAGATTCTGGGCGCCGACATGGCACCACTTGTCAGGCCACGTTGAGGCGGCGTCCCACATGTCACAACTAGAGGGACCTGCAACTGGATATACAACTATGTACGGGGGGGATTTGGGGAGATAAAGCGAAAAAAAAAAAAAAAGATTGGCAACAGTTGTTAGCTCAGGTGCCAATCTAGGGGAAAAAAAAAAGGAATGAAAGTAGACCATTATCTTACACCATGCCCAAAAGTCAACTCAAAATGGATTAAAGACTTGAATGTAAGATCTGAAACCATGAAACTTCTAGAAGAAAACATAAGCAGTATGATCTTTGACATCGGTCTTAGCAGCATTTTTTCAAATAACATGTCTGACTGGGCAAGGGAAACAGTAGAAAAAAATAAACAAATGGGACTACGTCAAACTAAAAAGCTTTTGCACAGTAGAGGAAACCATCGACAAAATGAAAAAACAACCTAACAATCAGGAGAAGAGGGGCCGGGCCAGTGGCACAGTGGTTAAGCGTGCACATTCCGCTTCTTGGCAGCCTGGGGTTCGCCGGTTCGGATCCCAGGTGCGGACATGGCACCACTTGGGACGCCGTGCTGTGGTAATCGTCCCACATATAAAGTAGAGGAAGATGGGCATGGATGTTAGCTCAGGGCCAGTCTTCCTCAGCAAAAAAAGAGGAGACTGGCAGTAATTAGCTCAGGGCTAATCTTCCTCAAAAAAAAAAAACTATCAGAGAAATGTAAATCAAAACCACAAGGAGATATCACCTCAATCCCATCAGAATGGCTGTAATTAACAAGACAGGAAACAATAAGCATTGGAAAGGATGTAGAGAGAAAGGAACCCTTGTATACTGCTGGTGGGAGTGCAAACTGGTGCAGCCACTATGGAAAACAGTATGGAGTATCCTCAGAAAATTAAGAATAGATCTACCATATGATCCAGCTATTCCAGTGCTGGGTATTTATCCAAAGAACTTGAAAACACAAATTCATAAAGATACATGCACCCTTATGTTCATCACAGCCTTATTCACAATAGCCAAGACTTGGAAGCAACCTAGGTGCCCATCAAGGGACGAATGGATAAAGAAGATGTGGTATATATACATAATGGAATACTACTCAGCCATAAGAAATGATGAAATCTGGCCATTTGTGACAACATGGATGGTCCTTGAGGGTATTATGCCGAGGGAAATAAGTCAGGAGGAGAAAGTCAAATATCAGATGATCTCACTCATAAGTAGAAGACAAAAACAACAACAAACAAACACACAGCAACAGAGATTACCATAGGGGAAGGGGGAGAGAGGAGGGAGAAAAGGGTGATTAGGCGCACGTGTGTGGTGATGGATTATAATTAGTCTTTGGGTGGTGAACATGATGTAGTCTACACAGAATTAGAAATACATTACGATGTACACCCGAAAATTATATAATGTTATAATCCAATGTTACTGCAATAAAAAAAATTAATAATAAAAAGAATGGTGATATTTTCAAATGGTAATCAGCATATTAGTTTGCCATAATTGACTGATTATTGAGAGTTAAAAAGAGACTAATATTGCTTTACAGGATTTTGCAGGTCAAAACAGTCTAATATTGGCAATTTCATGTCATTTAACCTAATACTATTAAGAGAATGCATGGAAAAGCAGAGATTTTCCATTTGGATACAGTCTTTATATTTTTCCCTTCCCTTATCCTTACTTGGTACCTCATCTTAAGAGATGAGAGTGGAAGAATTGTATGTTTTTAAAATTTTGCAAGTGTAAATCATAACCTAGAATTATAAATAAAATGAAAATAACTTAGCTGTGCAATAATGTAGAAATATTTAGCAGTTCTTTTAAAAATTTTCAATAGAAAGGTTTCACTTCTTATCAATACAACAAAAATAGCCAAATCCTTTCTTGATGCATTCTCTCTGCTCTCTTCTTTGCCATAATCTATCCAGGTATCTCACCTTCCTCCCACTTCCCATTCTCGCTCTTCAGACTCATATCCTGTGTGTCAGCTCTCATTCTCACACACCCCAACCCTATAACAGAAGGGGCTCTGTCCTGCCTTTCCCCAGCCCTGCCTGACAAAGAGCCCTTGCTTCAAGTCACAAGAACTCCAGCTAATGACCTAAATTGGGGAGTTTCTTCATTCCCAAAGTCAGGGAGATGTGTCTTTCCTCTCAAACACATAAAGTTAAGTAAAATAAGGAAGTTGAAGTATACATACCATTTACGTGAAATGTTGAAAACATGCAAAACATCACCATTGTGTTTATTGTTTAGGGACCCAAACACACAAAGTAAAGGTAATAAAGAAGTGCATGGGAACAATAAACAGCAATTTCATGAGTGGTTATCTTTGGAGGGGAAAGCAATCAGGAAGAAGCACACAACGGGCTTTGAATATTATTTGCTAATGCATTATTTCTTAAGCTGAGTAAAGGAAAGAAAAGGGTTTATTATTTTTATACAAATGAAATATTTCATAATAAATTTTAAATGAGTGATTTAACATAAATATCAGGGAGCATTCCTTAATATAAGACAGAAAGCAGATGGCGCTTTTTTAATTTACCTTATCACCAAGAGCCTCTCTCTCTTTCTTAAGTTTTTTCTTAGCTGCCAACTTTTCCTAAAGGGTTAAAAAAAAAAAGAACAATTTGAGAAACCACCAGTCACATCACAAACACATACTGAAGCTACAAATTACAAATGCTATGAATACTTAACCTGAGCAATCTTTGTAATGTAGCAAAAAAAAAATCCTGACCCAGATTTTCATACCTAAGTTATTATAAACTAAATAAGCTGGCCAATAATATGATTTCTTTAACAAAGATCTTGCTTCTTCGAAAAAAATCTAAATTGGCGAGTCTGAATATTTAAAATTTCACTAGTTTTATCTTTTGCTGTGAAACCTCAAATTAAGTGAAAGTGCAAAACATATATCCAAACAAGTTAAGTTTTTGTTGCTTTGTTTTGCATTCCTAGCAAGTTGCATCCTAAAGAAACGCCGGGCTATGCTGGTTGCTTCTCTTGAAAAGCACTAGAAACAAATGCGAATGGGAGATGAGTTTTCAAGTTGTTTACAATAAAACCATTCCTGGTTACTGACATATTGTATAACCAAAGCATGCTTTTAAAATTATTAAGAACTTGCAAGGTGAGTTAGCATTGTTCGTACTGTAAATCTGTATCTTCTGGAGATTTCTGAACAGAATGCTTGACACACAATAGAGAATACTTTTTTTTTCCTAGTGTCTGTTTACTCTCAATCCATCAGGTCTCAGATCGGAAATTACACTCCCCAGAAGTCTTCTAAGACACTTTTTCCCCAACTCGCACACCAGAATGGGTTAGATGCTCCTTCTATATACTCCAATAGCACTTTGGCACTTATGATGATTAACACTTAGTTCAGGGCCTCAAAAAATCTAAGAGGAGGTAGGCAAATAAAAAGAACATCGTGTGTGTGAACTTGTATGATGTGCCAAGAATAAGCAAATGCTTGCTTCTAATCGCAGTTTAACCACAAATGAGCACTGTGACCTTGGGCTTTGTTTTTCTCTCTTCCTATCTGTTTACCTCCCAGAACAGTATGAGGATAACAGTGTGAAGAGTAAGTACAATTACTAGGAACTTTACAGGACTAATTTCGGCTAAGAGCTGCTGCAGGAATCAGAGAAACACCATTTTGGATTTCTGTACTCCCTGTATTACGAATTCCTGCAATTAACCAACGGTAGGCGGCCGCGGTGAGCGGGGACACGGAGACTTCTGCCTCCTGGTCAGGAGCGGGTAATTTCCACTAAGAGAGCAGCACCTCTCGCTTTCATTCTCAGCCCAGGACTCTCGGAATGAGCCGTAAGGAAGGGAATCCTTGACGCTTAGGCAAAAAGCTGAACCTAGAAAAAGTCCCCAAAGCAGGGCAAGGACGGCAGGACACAACAGCCTTACTCTCTTACTCTACCGGATTATTCACCGCTGCCCGGGACCCTAGGTAGGGGTGACCGCGCATGTGCAACACCACCACGCAACACCACCACCCACCCACTCCCGCGCGGAGGGAAAACCGCGCATGCGTTCTGCCGCTTCCGCCCCCGCCTCGTACCTTCCGCTGCTGCTGTTTCCACCGCGTGAACATCAAGTGTCGCCGCTGTTTGTTCTTAATCTCCGAGATGCTGAAGCCTGGGGGAAAGGCAGCCGCTTTCGGGGGTTGGACCCCGCTTTCCGTTGCCCCATCTTCAGCGACTGCAGCCTCTTGAGGTTCTTCGGTAGCGGCTTTTCGTTTTAAGGCTTTCTTTCCGCTGCCGCCGCTCTTATCCCCGGCCTTCGCCATGGTGTTTCCTCCTTGGTGTCTGTACGGAAACGGAAATAGCTTTGTCCTTTGACCTCCTCCTTTAAACTTTTATTTCCGGGTCGGAAAAGTTCTTAAAGGAAAATGTAGAATGCCTCGCGAGCTTAGCCATTTAAGAAGGCCCTGAAATGTAAGCCTGAGGAAAGTTTAGGGAGCTTAGCCAGCTGTGTGGACAGTGAAATGCTGAGTTCATAACACCCTTTATTGAGCGTCTGCTATGTGCCGAGCCGTCAAAATATTGGAACAGAAGAGTCTTTGCTGTAGGGAGTTTACATTCTACTGGAGAGAGAACTAAAATGAGCTCGCACATAAATAGTGTGGTGAGCTATAAGGTAATATATGGTATGGAAAAAATAGAACAGGTTAAAAGAAGATGAGGAGAGGCTAGAGGGGGAGGTTGCAACTTTTAGATAGGATTTTCAGAGTAGCCTTCTTTTAAAAAGTTACATTGAGCAAAGATTTGAAGGGGGTAATAGGGTGAAATATGCAGTTTTCTGGGGTAAGCGCTGCTAACCTGGGAAAAGCTGAATATTTAGGAGAAAAGCTGTCCAGGAAAAGGAAACATAACAACAACAAGCCTCCTTAGTAGCAAGGCTGGCATGTTCGAGAAACACCATCAAGGCCAGGAGTCATATGATAAAGGAGGAGAGTTAAGGTGGGAGGGGACAGGAATGACAGATTGTGAGGATTTGGCTTTTATGTAAGATGAGATCCAGATCTCTTGGAGGATTTTGAGAAAAAGAATGACATTATTTGACTTATATTTTAAAAGCATCACTGAGACTCTTCTTTGAAGAATAGACTTTAGGGAAAGGAAAGTGGAAGGAGGGGAGAAAGGCCAGTGGCTTGAACCAGAATAGCTTTAATGGATGTGGTGAGAAGTGATCAGATTCTTTTGGAAGGTAGAATTCAATGAAGGGCATGAGAGAAAGAGAACAGTCAAGGATGACTCCAAGACTTTTGAACTGAGTGGCCGGAAGGTTGAAGCTACCATCAGTTGAGATGGGAGAGTCTTCAGGTGGAACAAATTTGAAGGGTAAGATCAAGATTTCAGTTCTGGAAATACTAAGTTTGAGACTCTTAGTCAACTGATTGTTATTGTCAAGTAGTCAGTTGGGATGTATGATTCCACACCAGGAGAGAAAGGTGTGGCCAGAGATCAAAACTGGGGAGTTGTCTATGTTTTAAACCGTTATAGTGAGTGTAGATAGAGAACTGAAAAAGAGAAGAGGACCAAGGACTGAGCCCTGGAGCAGTCTCACAGGAAGAGCTGGAGAGAAAAGGAGGACCCAGTAAAGGAGAATAAAAAGGGAAAATCAAGAGAGTGTCATGGAAGCCAAGTGAAGAAAATGTTTCCCCAATGGTTGAATTTTGCTATATTCCTTAATTTAACTTTAATTCCTTAATTTAATTTTGTCTCTGTCCTAACAGACAAAAGAATTCATTTTGCTTTCCTGTTACGAGTCAATTTTCCAGAAACTACCATAATTTCAAATGAAGTTTCAATATTAACATAGAGTGTTTTGATAATCCAATACGGTGGTACCATACTGCATTTTTTTACCCATTGAAGTTCCTTTAAACAGGATATTAAAAACATCAAGGGGGCCGTCCCGGTGGCACGGCAGTTAAGTTCGCACTTTCTGCTTCAGTGGTCCAGGGTTCGCTGGTTCGGATCCCAGGTGGGGCCATGGCATCGCCTTGCACGCCATGCTGTGGTAGGCCTCCCACATATAAAAAGTAGAGGAAGATGGGCATGGATGTTAGCTCAGGGCCAGCCTTCCTCGGCAAAAAGAGGAGGATTCATAGCAGTTAGCTCAGAGCTAATCTTCCTCAAAAAAAAAAAAAAAAAAAATCAAAGCTGCATCTTCCAGAATACAAGCCTTGTGAAAACCTGCTGTCAAACTGCAAGTCCAAAATTGTGACTAGAAAACTAAAACTATCATGTCTGGGTTTGAATTGTATAATCCAGTAGAAAGGAAAAAATCATGTTGAGCTTAAAAATCACTGACATATGGGTTTGGCTGCAATAAATCATAAAATTTTGTGTAGTTTATTTAAAGAGGAATAATCAGATCAAAAATAAGGAGGAAGAGGAGGGGAAGCAGGAAGAGGCAAACCAACCTTTATCTAAAAAATGTTCACAATAGCCAAGACATGGAAGCAATCCAAGTGCCCATTGACTGATGATTGGATAAAGAAGATGTGGTGTATATACACAATGGAATACTACTCAGCCAGAAAAAAAGATAAATTCATTCCATTTGCCACAACATGTATGGACCTGGAGGGAATTATGCTAAGTGAAATAAGCCAGACTGAGAAAGACAAACACCAAATGATCTCACTCACATGTGGAAGATAAACAAACACACAGAACAGTTCAGTAGTTACCAGAGGACAGAGTGTGGGGGTGGCCACGGAGGGTGAAAGGAAGCACTTAAATAGGGATGGACAAGAAATAATGTACAACTGAAACTTCACAATGATGTAAACTATTATGAATTCAATAAAAAAAAAAAGAATGTAGACTAGGGCTGGCTCAGTGGTGCAGTGGTGTAGTGGTTAAGTTCGCATGCTCTGCTTTGGTGGCCCAGAGTTTGTGGGTGTGGATCCCGGACCTGCCCACTGCTTATCAAGCCATGCTTTGGCAGTGTCTTACAAATAAAAATAGAAAAATAAATAAAAATAACATCCATGCCCATATTCCTCTATTGTATTTGGGATGCCTGCCACAGCGTGGCTTGAGAAATGGTGCATAGGTCACAGCATGTCTTGACTAGCAGTGTGTGGGTCCGCACCTGGGATCTGAACTGGTGAACCCCAGGTCACAGAAGCAGAGCATGAGAACTTAATTGCTGCACCACCAGGCTGGCCCCCAGTGGGCTCTATGTTTAGATCTGTGTTCAGATCTTGACTCTGTCACTTAGATGCTGTAAAATCTGAATTAAATCACATAATGTCTGTGAGTATCAATTTCTTTATCGGTAAACTGGGGCTAATTATACTGCCACATAGGTTGCTGAGATAATGTATATTAAAGAAACACACCCAATAAATACTAACTAGCTATTTTTATATTTCTAGGTGTAAAAGACTATGGTTGACCTCATGGAGAAAAAAAAGTCATGTTTGCCCTCAAGTAGCTTACAGTTTAGAAGAAGATAAAGCACAATTCTGGTGTAAGTATTGAATAGTGGTTGGTGTAAAGAGCTCCTTAGCTTGAGGTCCATTTCAGTCGTTTACTTTCTAACTAATTGTTTCGTTGTCCATTATTTTCAGGCCCATTCCCAATAGAGTATAAGTTATTTTAAAAGAAAACTCTTATTTTTAATATTTAATAAATTTTTTTGCTTATTTGTTTTACTTCTGACATTTGGGATACCCTGGAACACAACTCTTGGACACCATGTAAGTTCAAGGATCCAGACAAGTACATGACCAAAATTCTGTTCAGAAAATTTGATCTATTATTTTATTATAATATGACTTAAGCTCTTTATATCACAGAAGCCATTCCAAAGGCACAAAGTAGTAATCCATTTCATGAAAATAAGGGATACCAGTTTGGGAGTTGAAAGATTTTTTTATTTATAATGTCATATAACCCTTTGACAAATGCAAAGTAAATTAATGCTTTCTGAAGTAGAATTATGCCATAGAGTTTTTTGGTAAGAACTGTTAAAGAAAAGCCAAAATGGAGGCCACAGTTTGAATATACCTCTAAACCAAACAATCACAGTCACTTAACCAAAAAACTGTCGTGATTTCCCCAAAATACTGAATCTGACCTAAAAGAAAATTTAAACTTTCTTCAGGTCAGTTTGACTTTATAGCTTCCTAGCCAATCAGCTACACACAATTAAGCTTACACAGTGCTACCACCCCAAAAAGACTAAGTTTCTAGTAACCAATCACAATTTTAAAAAATGTGCTCCCTCGTCCATGCCATGTACATTGAGCTGTACCTGCTAAAAGCTGAACTTCTAACCGCTTTCAGCTTGAAGTCTCCCTGTTTGTGAAGTTTGTTCTTGCTCAATAAAATGTTCATATCAAGTAAAGCTCTCTGAATTTTCTTTTGACAGAACAACAGAACTATTACAGAGCTAGCCTCTCATCTGTGGATGTTTCATTGGTACCCAAGAGTTGTTTTTGGCACTTAAACTACTTATCCAAAGGGATTTTGAGAATTACATTTTTGTTTATTCTATACTTTAAGTTATCTTAGCGACTAGTGAGGTTTGTTTCCCAAGCTTTACTGACCCAGGAAGTCAGTTGAGAAGTTTTTACAGGGATTCATAGTGTCACTAGGACTCTCATGATGTCAGGTCTCCTTCAAAAGAAGTTAAAGTCAACAAGAGTAGAATTAATACAATTTTGTGAGGAGGTATTCGAGCCACACCCCACCTACCCAAAACTGAATTAGAGGGACTCAAATACAAAGACTTCTCAGATATTAAAAATCTGGAGAGTAATCCTATGGTGAATACTATCATCTCTATATACTCCACACTATGAAATAGATATAATGCATATGCTGGCCTTTCTAGAAACCAGAAATATGTGTCTTCTCTGGTCATACACATTTCTGATTCTTACCTGACCAGGGAAAGCATCACCAAAATCAGATTGCAGTTTCACTAAAATATCGTCTCCTAAAATGATTTCTGGTTGTTTGAGTTCATCAAAGGAGCTTTTATTTATATCTTTGGAATGTATACGGTGCCTCTGGCTGGTGTTTCTGACTATGGGGCAACCATAAATATGATTTAAATATAGGTCTGGAATGGCTTTTGTGTGTCTAAGTATTTATTCTGTTGATTCATTCATTCAGCAAATATTTATTGTTAGACTTTGTACCAGATCTCTGGCTATGGCAGTCAAAAAGAAACCACGCCCTGCCCTGGAAGCACTTAGGGAGAGACCGACAAGCAAAAAAGCAAATCCAAAAGGTGTGAGAGGTTCTATGGCTGCTACCTTGTTGTATAATCAAGACCAAATTTAGAATGGCATCTTCTCATGTCTTCTTCAAAGAGCCAGGTTAGGTATACTTGTAAGTCCTTTCTTGGTAGCCCAGAATATATTTTCCGTCGAAATTAACCCATGCGTAGTTTGTAGATCATCCAGACCAGAGACACGAATATTTACTTGTTTGTTTTCAGCCAATACTGTTTATCTTTTCCTCATATTTATGTCTTAATTTTTCATAATCAGAAAGAATTACTATGTGAAATAAAATATTCTCTACTATATCATTTCACAAACATAGAATATAGCAAATATTCTGTACAATTATCAGAGACGCAATATTTAAAATGAAAGGTAATGGAGCATAGTCTTTAGCTTAGACTAGCAGTTCTCAAACTTTTTGTCTCAGAACCCCTGTACACTCTTAAAAATTGTTGAGGACCCCAAAGAACTTTTGTTTATGTGGGTTATCTCTATCAATATTTACCATGTAGAGATTAAAACTGAGAAAAATTAAATATGTATTTAATTATTTAAAATAATGATAAACCCATTATATGATAACATACACACGTTAAAAAAATGACTGTATTTTGCAAAACAAAAAAATTAGGGAGAAGAGTGGCATATTTTACATGCTTTGCAAATCTCTTTTATGTCTAGCTTCATAGATTTATAGCTACTATATATAGATTTATAACTAGTTCTGCATTTAACCTGTGTGACAGACCATTTTGGTTGAAGTATATGAAGAAAATTTGGCTTCAAACAGGTATGTGGTTGGAAAAGGGAGGAGTATTTAAGACCTTTTTCAGCTAACTATGGCTATTCTTCTTTGATATTACACCAAAATTTGAGAAGTTGTAAGTTTCTTAAAGGTTAGTTGCAATTTATAATTTGAAATCATATCAATAAACTGTTCCTATTCTTATTACATTAAATCTGTTGGTCTCTGGGCCGGCCCAGTGGCGCAGCGGTTAAGTTCGCACGTTCTGCTTTGGTGGTGGGGGATTCGCCAGCCCGGATCCCAGTTGCGGACATGGCACTGTGTGGCAAGCCATGCTGTGGTAGGCGTCCCACATATAAAGCAGAGGAAGATGGGCATGGATGTTAGCTCAGGGCCAGTCTTCCTCAGCAAAAAGAGGAGGATTGGCAGCAGATGTTGGCTCAGGACTAATCTTCCTAAAAAAAAAAAAAAAACTCTGGTCTCTCTTGCATTTTGAATGGATCTTTTACTCTTGCGTGATTTTGTAACATCGTGCATTCATTGATTGTTTTGGAAAATATTGGTTCACTGAATTATGTGTATCTTCTAAAAGTTGACGCATTTCATTACACAGTATCAAAAATTAACATTTGTTAAAATCACTACTAATCTTAGCAGAAAAGTCTTCAAGTACTGGTAAGCTGACAAGCTTACAGTGGTGCATAGAAGTTTTCCAAAATTCTGATTTTCACTTAAATAGGGGCTTCCCGAGCTCTAGATCACTGATGGCAGTGCCCATAATGCAGTGCAGGATGTGGAAGCAGGGGTTTAGAGGAGTTGTGGATGGTGAGGGCCTCTTGTTTATGTACACTTCCGAGGGCCATTTCTCAGGCTATGCCATCTCCCTTACCTTCTTTCATCTGTGGACCCATGAAGATTGGCTTACTTTTCCATTGCCACCAGTAGTTGGCAAGAGCAACCTTATCATAAACCCTGAGTATATCCTGGGAGACTACTTAGAGAGGCAGTCTGAGGGGTGCTTTGTGGGGGTCCTTCTACCCTATTCATTTGTGCAGGATGCAAGCCACCATCTCACCATATGATGAATCCTAAGGCAGTGTCTTGGGAGAGCCAAAGTTTATACTGTTTGTTGCTTCTGACTAAGGTTTTTCTTCTTTTCGAACCTGCTTTGGAAAAGAATGTGTTCTGATAGCCTCTCCTCTTCTCTTTGAGGCAATCAACAAACCTTTTCAATTTTTCTGAACTTTCCTTTTTTTTTTCCTATAGCAACCTAATGAAATAGAAATAAAGGCTCCTTATCCTTTATCCCTTTACACCCTAATAAGGATGATGAGGTCCTGTATAATGTTGGTCTTTGGCTCCACAAAAATCGAAAGAAAGCTAAGCTTCATTTAGGGGGAATAATAAAAGTCAGTAGCTTTCCTGAAATTTCCATCCCAAGAGCCAGGAGGGCCTCTGGGAGAAAGAGAGATAAGGAGATGGAAGAACAGTCTGAGGAACTGAAGGTGTGTTTATGAGATCAGCATTAACAGTAATGATATGGGCAGAAACTGCAGAATTGGATTGCACTCTTATCCTCTTTTTTCCCTATGTCACTCCTACTTACCAGATTGATGCTTGGGTAAAAAGTGGAGATTAGGGATAAAGGATCCCTCAGTAAGTGATCAGTTTCCAAAAGTTTCCACCATGTTATAGTAGACTCCGGTGAGATTTTGTTGATTTAGTTTCCCTACAATTGTCCTTTCTTTTTTCTAAAGCCTAGAGTTCCGGATACAGATTAGTATATTCCAAAATTTGCCTTAGTCAAAGGCACTATTTCTATGACAGAGCCATGCTAGGAAGTTCCAGTGTTCTCCAGAGATCACTAGATGCTAGAACATCTTGTATTTGCTAAAACCTTGCAAAAGGTTACAGAGCTACTTGAAGTATGATCCATGGACCAGCAGCAATGACATCATGTGGAAGCTTGAGAGAAATGCAGAATCTTGGGGTCTACCTGCAGACCAACTGAAAGATCTCCAGGGTTCACAAACACGTTAAAGTTTGAGAAACACTGCTGAAGATGATGTGTGACATCCCTCACCCCTATTAATATCTATCGATCAATCAGAGGCCTTGTTTCAGGCAAAAAATTTATAGTTGCTTTATAACAATATTTTGTTATTGTTAAAAACAGTATTTTGTTATTTTAAAAATAATCATATTGCTTGAAGGGAAGACAGACTGGTGAGAACTATTGTGGAAAATTAATATATTTGTTTTATTTTCTTAGTCCCTGCACAGACTTGGGATGAGATTTAACAGATCCCTTATCTGACTGGTAGGCAACATATCAATCCAGAGACCTATGAGTATACCTTGTCAGGACAAAATTGTTTTACTTTTCTTACAGGCAACTATCAACGAAAGTGATTCTCAAAGTGTAATACCAGGACCAACAGTATCTACATCACCTGGGAACTTGTTAGAAGTGCAGATGCCTAGGCT